ATGAAATTCAAATACAAACATCGCGAACAATGCCGTTTATGAACCTGTCAATCCGAAACACAATTGGGATTGTGTGAATTGGAATCAGTATGGATGGGCCGAGTATCAATGCGATTGCTTAATCACTCGACACGACGCCTGTGAATTGGCGCCAGCTGCTAACTTGCTGCAAATATAATGCCCATGAGTGCATCTGCGTGGGTATACTTATGTTTGTTCAAGTACTCCCAGTGTTTACTTACCGCCGTATTATCATGTATTTTTGCTTTTTTCATACAAACTGCACTCCTTGAATCCTCATTGGTATGTCATCTCACTCTATGAGAGTGAGGTGGTTTTCAGGGATCCGATTCTTCCTGGATTATAGGTGAATGTATTCTGCGTGTATGTATGCTTATGTAAGATGCGTTTCCGTTCTCATTGATTACCTTTGTATATGGGTAATATCTCCTCTATTCGTAATTTTAAATTTACAAATACCGACTTTGGAGGTTCGACCGTCAAATCGAAAATGAAGTGTTTCGGCAGAAGGGGTTCGTAAATATGAAACAAAATGGGGTTCTACCCATACACGGCTTTTAATTGAAAATCAGTTTTGGTATGTGAAATAAATGTGACAAAATTATTTGAAAAAGTTATTTTTACAAATCAAATAGGGAATACATCGAAAAGTGCATTGGAAACTCTTTATTGTTATGGACATTAGAAAATATTATAACGTGTTGAAAATGATATATTCTTTTTGTATCGGGAAGTTTTAAGCTTTCTTGGAATTTCCATTTTAATCCATGCCTTAGCAACAAAGCCGGTGAAAGTATACTTTCTAAATCTCTAGATATGTAGAACCCGTGACTTACCTAAGAATCTTCATTAAAAACCTTTTAATTATCGATATACAATTTTGTTTCAGATACCTGAAACAAACAAATAATGCCTAAAAAGGATTACCTTCCTTGCTTAAACTCAAGCAACCCCGATTCAAAAGTTTAATTTATAGATGTATCTGTTTAAACTAATTGGGGGTGTAATAGAGCTATTAACCGCCTCGAATGACAACACCCCTTGGTGCGGTCGTTTTGTGTTTAATGTGGGCCAAAGGTAACACATTAACATGAACAATTTAAGTAATTGTGAGTGGCAGGCCAATCCGCAACCCTCTCTCTCCGCCGCGGGGTGGCTAATTTAAACATCGAAAAATGTATATTTTAATGACCGCCTTGGCTGAGTTGGTATGCCAACACTTGACAAGTGCACCGGGATATGCACATAGCACTTATTAGGACATATATAATTATGTGTATCAGGCATGTTCACAATTTTTTGTCGGCACATATTTTTAAACGAACGCGAGAGCGATGCGAAGAGTGACAGATTGCGTGGTTTGACGAGAATTTTGACAGATGGCTCTTTTCCAATTCTGCTTTTTGATCTGACAATTTCTGGGCTACATTTAAAAGTGTTTTGTTATCCTTCAGTGCGCCTTGTTTGGCAAATAGGTAATTTAAATTTAAACGAAAAGGGGTGACGGATTATGGCGCACAAAAAAGAATACAATTTACAATACAGTTAATGTCAATATTACTGTCACAATATTTGGGATTATCTTGATGACGACACAATAAGTGTTTGAGACACTGAAATAAGACTTATTACAATTTGGAGGAAAACAAGAAAGTACTCTATGACGACAAAAAACCGAGTCCTCATGTCAGTGGATAAAACGATTTCTTGTTATGCCCCTGCACCCTTGCATTATAATTTAGGTAAAGGTTTTATTGCCGCATTAAAGGAGTCTTTTATGACCCTATATTACTTATACATAATAGATAATTAATACCAACTGGCTCGATTTAGGCATAATTTCTTTCTGTTTTTGATCAAGCTATACTTTATAGGATCCTTTTTCACTTCTTGACTGGGGTTTTAACTTATAAATAAAATTGATACTGATCAAGAATAAATATAATCTACGTTTTGACCGAAATCTTCTTCCTTACTGTGGAAAACACTTTCGCCAAAAAAAACAAACGCGATGAGAATTAAATGATTTCTATTTTTTCCAATAATATTTACCAAGTTTTACATTTTGTTTTTAATATTTTGGTTAAAATAAAAAGCGAATGCTACGAATGCCAAACTTCTTAGTCGAGTTTTAGTTTTATTTATAAAACTATTATTCTATGCCTAATGTAAAATCTAAGATGTGGGCAAGAAGTAGCACTTTCCCAACACAAAACCATATCCGTCTCCTGCAAGAACCCAATCCAGCTCCTAGCAAAATCCAACAACAGAATTTGTAATGATCTCACGCACAAATATAGTCCTTAAGCCCATCATATTTAATTCCCTTACATTATAATCTGTAAATACTCAGTCGAGCGGTAGGCTACAGCAGTCAGTGCTCCTAATAATAAGTTACATTATAGTTTAGAAAATTAAGAGTTCTCTATATTAATAAAATATTCTTTCTTTTCAGGCCTTTTGATGAAAAAGTTGTTTTCTGTTTCATTCATTTACATGTACATAATTATTTATATATTATCCAAGTCGATATTCAAAAAGATCTCGTTGTACACTATTTTATTGTGGTGACATTTTTTTTTGTCTCATTAAGAGAAAGACGCCAACGTCCGTGATATAATCAAAATCATAACATCCCTAGGCGTAAATTATGGGTTGCCACATGTTGGGTTGACTTGTGGGTAGAAAAAAAGAAAGCCACGGGCGATTCGTTTTTTAACGCCACAAGGGCGTTCCTTCTTCCTGATGGAGAAATTTGGGTATCGACAAATTGTCACGTATCCCTTACCACTCTGGATGGCCAATATGAAAATTGTTTTTTAACAAACGTTGGGGGTTCCACTAGCAGACCATCTCTTTGAAAGCGTCAGGAATTGTAATTACAAATTTGTGTTCCAACCACTCGGCACGCATCGCACTCAAGTCAATTTCGGGGTGGTCCGTGGTTAAGCGACCGTGTAATACTCAATTCTCAACGGCTTCGCTTGGCCCCGCCACTTGCGGTAATAAAAACGTTTTAATAACGCTTTCCACTTGCAGTTGGATTAAAATATCAAGATAAAATAGGTAAATTTTTGCAATTTCATCATTCAAGATAAACAAAAATTAAACATCACTCTATTCGTATGGTAATTTAAATATTGATTTTGATTGTTGATTAAAGATTAGAGTCTTCTGTTAGGTTGGTATCTATATTAATATCTATCTTAAAATCTCTACAGTTTACAGTGAAAACATGGTACTTTGTAGCAGATCGAAGGATCGTAAACATAACAGAATTTTTGTAACTTTTAAGATGGTATGCCAATGAATTAGTATTTATTTTTATACAATGTCTGAAGTTTTCAAGCTCCACAAATATTTTCGGTCTCTCCGACTTCCCACTTTTTCCCGACTGGTAAACATCATGCTGCACCCAAGGATCATCTGATATATATCTAGCATGAATCCCATATCTCTAGCTGATCATGCGTTTTTGGCAATATATTTCTATTCCTTTTTATTATATTAAAAATAATGAGTCAAAGTTTAACATCGATCATAGATAAGTAGACGAATGTTTGTTTACCAAACTCTTCTATAAAGTTATATTATCTGATAGCCACAACACCAAAGGTATCACACAACGCACAAAAAAACTACACTCGCAAAGGACTGCAAAACCAAGCTTTCCAATACTACAAAAGATCTCCCTAAACACCCCAAGAAACTTTTCATTCAAAAACACAAGCCTTAAACAGACAACTACAAATTTCCCAACCCAGTACTCTATACTTTCCTTCGAAAAGCCAATCCAACTCCTTGCCAATCTAACTACAGCAAACCAAAACAAATCATCTTATTCCTCCACAAAGTATTAAGTTAGTTCTTAATTTATAACTAATAGTTAGCTTTATATAAAAAAAAAAAAAAACAAGAAAAGAAGCTAAATTCAGCATGCCAAAGTATATAAACCTTTGCAGACAGAACTTCGATTCCATACAATATAAATTATATATATTTATGTAAAAAACAATGAAGTAATACCTGCTTTCATTTCATTCACCTTTACATAATATATTTGCAGTTTTACATTCACAGATTTGCATTTTTCCTCTACATCTAACGATCGATTGTATGGCACCTATATGATATAGGCGTCCGATTTTCATAAAATTTCATATCTCAAATTTGATGAAAATCTGTTGAAAACTGAAAAAGTTGTAATTTTTAATTGTATAAAATTTTAGATCGTTCCTATGGAAGCTATATGAAATTGTAGTCCGATTTTTATAAAATTTTACACAAAATTTAAGACTAATATAAAATGGCTATACCTCAAATTTGATGAAAATCAGCTGAAAACTGAAAAGGTTATAAATATAATTGTATTAATTTCTCGATCGTTCCTATGGGAGCTATATGATATAGTAGTCCGATTTTCATAAAATTTTATACAAAATTTTAGAGTATAGTAAAATAGCTATATCTCAAATTTGACCCAATTCTATTGAAAACTGAAAAAGTTAAAAATTTTTTTGTAAAAATTTTCCGATCATTCCTATGGCAGCTATATGATATAGTCGTCCGATCCGGCCCGTTCCGACATATATACGAGTGAGAGTATATAGAAGGCTAACTACAAAGTTTCATTTAGATAGCTTCAAAACTGAGAGCCTAGTTTGCGTAGAAACGGACAGACGGACAGAAGGACAGACGGACAGACGGACATGGCTAGATCGACTCGATTGTTGATCCTGATCAAGAATATATATACTTTATATAGTCGGAGGTGCCTCCTTCAGTGCGTTGCAAACTTTTGACTGAAATTATAATACCCTGCAAGGGTATAAATATATGACGCAAAACCGCAAAAATATATGCACAAAAATATATATGAAACGACTTACTTGTGATTTAATATAGAAGGAAACACATATTTTATATTATACTCCTTTATATTATTGTTATGACTTTACGAATCAAGAATTGCCTACAAATTTAATTTAGAAAATTTAATATTAGGAAAAATAAACTGGAACATATAAACAATGGCATGCCTATTTCGCACCGTCCTGATTTGTGGCTCCCGAAACTAGTACCAACAGCACCACCGGAACGATGTACATCCACTGAAAACAATATATATATATATTAAGTTTTATATGTATCATTTTCTTGTATTCCATGGACTTACATATTTGGCAAAGAATCCTCGGTTGTCGCGAACTTCTCCACGCTCTCTAGCCTCACGCTCGCGCTCAACTTTCTGAATAAAACCCGCCGTGTCTGGCACAGGAGCCAACTCTGCGTGGCGGATCAAGACATCTGTGCTGAATTGTGATTCTACTAGCTTGTTTAAGTCCTCCTGGGTACAGCCAACGCTGCCAGGGCCTGCGTCCTCAGAGACTGTTATCCCGGTGACGAATCCAGAGGGATCGAGCGAGATCCAAAGCACGTCGTTCAACTGTGCTTGCAGCAACCTACAAGCTTTGTTGGATGTGATGAACTGCGCCTTGGCACCGTTTGAGTAAACTACCGTGGCCTTTAGACGGTAGAATTCGTTTTGTCGGGCAAGGGTCTAAAATTATAAAATATATATAAATGTGTAAATATGTATAAATATCAATATAAATATAATGGATTAATATTAAAATCTTTATAGTGTAAATTACTTTTTTACATCTTGAACACCTGTATTTTTAACTGGTTAACCTTTGTACAGCATTGCAGGGAAACGTGAAGGCGGCAGCTATTTAATCATCCAGCGGACATTCGCCGGCTTCTAACCCTTTAAAACCATAACCAGAATTACCTTAAGCATGTCCAGCTCAGCCTCGCTTAAAGCCGGCTGGGCTACATTTGCCAATCCGGAGTTCAAGCTTGGAATGGTCACATTTCCGCGGAAGGAGAAGCCATCGGGCACAAGCGAGTGCTTCAGCTCCACCGTAATCCAACTGTCATGTTCCAAGAATGCCTATGAAGGAAAAATATGATTTGATGTTTACAACTCACAACTAGGAACTTACCCAGCTGCCAACCACAGCACTTAACATGGCGAATAACACCAATTCCATTTTTAAATTCATTTTCCCTGAAAAATTTTTATTTTCTATTTGTGAATTTAATGAGGGCTCATCCGAGCAAAAGAGTGTGACCGCGTGTCCACCTTTTTAAAATCCCGCAATCCACAGCAAAATATATACTAAAACATACCAACACTGTCAACCTTTTATATAGTGAGTTTAGTAGCTACCAGGTAATACGATTGAATAACTAACTGACTGAAAATATCGGATCCTGGATATAGCTGTTCTATACAAATTGCCATTTCACTATCCCTATTTTCTCCACCTCTACAATGTGGCTACAGAATTAATATAAAGCAAGGCTTTTACCTTATCAATTCAAATCATAACACTTAATAATAATAAAAGATAATCACAAAAAAAAGTTTTATCTGTCCACTCTTTGGGTCGTTCACAATCCGTATGTTTACAAATTGACAGCTGATTAGCAATGTTACTTATTTCCCTGTTTTGGTGTGAACACTGTGATGTATTTTCTTTACGAACCTTTTTTTGAATAATGATTGATAACTCCTAGGACTACCCTATTATAGTGATATATTTTATTTTCGTTTTAATCGAATAAAAATATTTTGAAAAACCTTTGCAGTCATTTGAATAATATAAGATAATATAATAAAAATAAGATGCAAATATATTGAAAACCAACAAAGCTATAATTTTTTCTATTTTCCGATCACATCACAAAACATAACTATTGAAAGTAGACAGCTAGCTAAAAACTGAAAAACTATTTTGAGTTGTGATCATAACAACTTTAGCATTAGTATAAAAATTCAAATATCAGGCTTCGGTATGTGACAAACGAGGTCAACGGCTCCTGATCAAGGACATTTTATTTTACTGATACCCAACGCTAAAACATATGATTAAGCCATATTCTTCTTGGTATTTATTTCAGCTCGCTTTGGTTTAAATACAACTTTAGATCAATATTTTACTAACCGCAAAAGTTTTGTTACTTTGAAATACACTCCGAAAATTGTAGTTAACATCTTTAAATTATACACCATTCTTTCAACCAGTGGTTTTTACTCTCATTATGTTGGGACTTAGTAGGCCAGTAGAAGATTTAAAAATATGGCAATGTAGCAATAACTGCTGATCTAAAAAATCCCAACCATAATGAGGGCACACACAGAACCAGCTTATATTTAAGTTAATTTAAAACTGACAAACTTTCTCAAAAAAGCACAATCTTTTATAGTTGCCGATGAGAGATTAATGATAGTGCAATAATGTTGGTAGAAACGTATTATGTAATGGAGTGAACATAAACTAGATACCGTTCAGTTTCAATATTTAACCCTCTAAATTGCAATGTCCCTAATCTGTTTGAACATTATTATTAATATATATATTTTATAGGAACAACTTTGTAAAAACCCAAAAAAGCAACAAAAATTAAATATCTTTTTAATTAGCTTTCAGAAAGTTTAGGGCTAACATTGAAGTTTGTTTTTTTTTTAAATAATGCCTTAATAATGAGATTAGAGTGTTAATATCAAATGAATAGTGAAATAAGATAGAAGTGCTGTTGTATGGTTTTAAAACGAGGCAACATGAAATCTGAGAAAACAAAAAGTCAAGCATCACTGCTCTCCCCACTAGCTGAAAGTTTTGAACCAAAGTATTTCAGACTCCGTGTTAAAAATAAGTCAACACAGTTCGCATTGGAACCCCATCATGTGTGGTCGTAAGAGGAAAAATAATAAAAAACAATTACATAATGGTCTTTACATTTAAATAATATTACATTGCCAAGCAAAGAGGATTAGATCTTCGGGAATTTTGTGACAAGAGAAACTGTTTTTGAATTGTGAACAATTGAAACACACAAATGCTCGTTGTAGTTGAGGTCCCGAAGCAGCTAAAAAACGAAAATTAATAAATTTAAATTGGCATACATAAACTATTAAATACTTTATTTTTTACCTTCGGAGTCACAAACAAATACTGTGCCGAGCCATGTTTAGTGGCTTCCTTCAGGAGCAAATCGAAAATATGCCGTTCATTTTTAGCGTCCATGCCCTGGTTTATTTCATCAACGCATCTGAGAAAAAACTTTTAAATCTTACCAAGAATTTTAAGGCATTCTTTCTAATTACCTGAAGGGCACTTGAGTGACATGCTGCAATGAAAGTGAGTAAATTGCAATTGATACTGCGCGTTCGCCGCCTGATTGAATAAACTTATCTAATGGCTGTAGTTGAGCACCTCTTCTAAACTGGACCATTATCTGGATGCCGTATGAATCAAAGTCATACTAAGAACACAAAGTCAATAGCAGATTCTTATCGAACAAGAAGTTACTCACTTTATCGGATTTAGAAAGGATAACTTCTCCGACGTACTCGATTGATTGCATGAATTCGCTGAACTTTGTACTTATCGTTTCCACCAAACTGGTTAATTTAGGTTCCCATTGGTCATATAACTGCGACATTTCCGATTCAATTGTATTCGTCTCGTCAATGAACCTTTGAATATTGTCTTTCATCAATGTAACTTCATTCTTCAGTTCCTGATAATTATCTAGTGTCTAAAAATGTCAATTATAAACTATTATGACTTTTCTTAATAGTTTAAATAATTAAATTGCTTAAGTTACCTCTGAGTTTATGTTTTTCATGCACTCCAATCTGGCCTGAAAATCGTGTATAGCCTCACGCACTTGTTGTATATCCATGCTACCAAAATTTTTAAATTCCCTCTTAAAGGGGAATTGTGAACTGGAAGGAAGCTCTCCGTTGCAAAGCCGCTGTAGTTCACTTTTACGTTTGCCGATATCGTTCATTTGGACCTCCAAGGATTGCAGCAATTGCTCAAACTCTTTCTGGAAATTAAATATATACATTTTTAAAGCGATGCTATAATTAGTATAAATAATTGTTGTAGTGTATTTTGCATTTCTTACTGTTGCCGAATTACTCAGAAGCTCGTGCTCCTTCAGGGCGTCGCTTTCACTTTCATGTTGCGCATTATAAATGGACATCTTAGTTTGGGTAAGTTTTTTTTCGAGGTCTAAAATCTTTAATGCTTCTACCCGTTTGATCAGTTTTTTTTCGGATTCTGTTATTTGGTTCATATCAATTTTCAAACTATTAAAAAAATTTATTTTTATTGCATCCAAAGCTGAAAATGCCACAAAAATTGTATTTATTTATACAAATGTCTTTGAGTTAATATATACTTACCATCAGCTTCTTGCAGACTAGCCAGCCTTCTTCGCAGTAGTTCAACTTCGCTTTTGAGATTATCAAAATGAGAGACTTTCTGCTTGAGTTTTTTCTCTTTTTCCAGTTCGTCCTTTGCAGTGGCTTGGAAACGAGCAAACTCGTTATCTGTCCTTATTATGGCGTTCCTAATGTTATTACTTTCTCGCATAGCGTCAGTATACTGCTTCTGCACCTGTGCCAATTGCTGCGAATCAACAGCGATCAGTTGATTTTTTCCATGGATAATGCTTTCCGTTAGTATTGATTCGGAGCGATACCGAGATGCCGTCACCACAAACTTTTTGTTCCCTTGAAAATGTATTCAAATTTGTAATCAATTTAATAATTTAGTAATAAACTATTTATACATTTTCAGAACAAATTAATTTTTTATCTTTCGTAATGAACGTTATTTTTAAAGTTACACATATTTTAATTTTTTATATTATTTTAAAGAAATTTAAACTGAGATTTGGGTTTACACTGTCTTATGAAAATCTTCCGATCAATTTGTTATATGTTTGATATGATCTCAAAACTATTGTCTTTAATATCATTTAAGTATAAAACAGTTTCGTGAGTGAATAATCAATAAATATATACACTTGTTCTTACCACCAAAATAGACTCGAATAACTTTAGGTATAGATGAGGTGTGATTACCAACAGCATCAGTACCAATAGGAATGTTATGTATAGAATACGAAGCGCACAACTTGTTTATTAATGGTATCGGACCGGTAACAAGATCGACGAGATATGCATGGAACCCCATAGCTCTGTTTTAAAAATATATCAAATTAATGAGAATAACTTTCAAATTTGACAATACACATACCGCAGCTCGCTTTTAGGAATACTTGGAGTAAACAAGCACCTATCGGCCGGCGCACAATATATAATATTTACTCCCAACTTCTGCTTGACACACAGTTCGTTGATCAAATCAGACATATCGTCCTTATCCTCACATGCAAATGCGAATAAATCTCGCTGTCTAACAACATTTTCTAGGTATTTTGCATCTTCATTGTTTTGCATAGTCAGCTAAATAATGTAAATAGTAAATCAACTGCATTAAATCAATCAATTATGGCAATCAAAGCCAAAACTCACCTCTAGTATCATGGGATCATAAACGTGTAGTTTATATCTTTCTTTGTTTTGAGATACCCAACTCATAGCTTTGACCAAATTTGGATTCTTCACTCGGAGCTCCTATTATGAATAGTTTAAAAGTGTTTCAATGAGATATGAGTGGGGTCATAAGTATTGTAGGCGCTTAATACTTACTTCAATTTTTTGCAATTTTACATTTTTTAATCGATCGATTTTATGCTTATAGGCTGTGATTTCGGGAATCTTTTCATCGTTTAGTTGTTGTTCAAGCCGTTTTCGCCTATTGTACTCATCCATTGCTTTAGCACGTGCCGAGGCCACCGACGCCTTGGTCTTTTCCAGCTCCGACACAATATGCGATTTATTTTTATTGAAATCTTCTAATTCCTCAGTTTTATTGTCCACGAGCTGTTGGACTTTCTCTGCTTCTGTGGCGTTTCTCAACGACTTTTGTATATTTTGCTATTTGAAATTTTACCTCATCATTAAAAATTATGTACCGAAAACTAAAACATACCTCCAGAAGACAATGGTTCTCGCGAATTTTTTGTTTTAATGCATCTAGTTGGCTAATAATACCATTTTTCTCAGACACAGCTCTGTCTAGTGAACGGGTCTGTATTAAAAATAAACCAAGACTTTGAAATGTAAATAAATATTAATGGGATGGGTATTACCTTTTCCAAGTTAGCTTCTTTAAGCTCAATCTTTTTCTTTTGTATTTTAGCTTGAGCCTGAATCATGAGGTTGAGGTTTTCTTTCATTTTGTCGCTATGAATTTTAGCCTTTTTAACATTTGATTTGATTTGCGTGGCCTTTTCTTCTCCGGCCTGGACTTCGACCCACAATTTCTTGGCGGTAAATACTTGTAGGTTTTGCTTAACTTCCTCACGTTCCTTGTACTGGGCCACCGTAGCTTGTAGCCTTGAGAATTTGAATGCAATTTTATATATTCAATTTAAATTCATTTGAATGTACTCACTGTTCTAAACGTTTTTGTTTTTTGGCAAGATCGTTTTTCATCTTTTCTCGATCAGTATGGACATTGGTCTGCTTTGTGCGCATTTGTTTTAGGAGAATGAAGTTGTTGGTGAGCTCGCTGTCACACACGGACGACATTGTATTGAGGAGTAGTTCCTGCGGATTCATCTTGGAAAAATCCTACAATATGAAAGAATTAATATTATATAATTTAATTTCAGATGTGAAAGTAAACAGATGTACCTGAACTCGGTCCTGTGGGAGGAACTGACACAAGTTATTGACTTGTATGTTATAGGCCGATACGGCACACAGAAAATTCTTTTTAGTGGTGTCCTTGTTGTTTACGGAAAAATTCGAAGAGCCATTCGAGTTTATGATGCGGCAGAAAGTCTCCGTGGAATTGACTACCCGTCCGTATATCCGGATGATTATTTTGGCAGAGGTCTTGTTGCTTTGAATGTAGTCGGAAACGCTGGATGAGCGATCCAGAAGGTGCGGTTCTCCGCCCAGGCCCAAAATAATAGCGGAGACGATCGTCGACTTCCCACTGCCATTGGGTCCAGTCAGCACGTTGAGGTAATGCTTTGGGTGGAAGGTGATCTCGCTGTAAGAGCTATCAATGGAAAATAATTAGAATTGCTTGATTTACGCATTGGATGTTTCGGATGAACGTGAACATACACGAAATCTTTGCAGTAAACCGACTGTATGCGCCCCACTAGCTTCTCGGGACTTAAGGAACCGTGTCCCGCCATTGCGAGGTCTAGTTTTTCCTTTGCTTTTAACGTCTTTTTCCTAATAAAATTCGGAAAATTGTTTAAAATACGAGCCGCGCTTTTTTACTTGGGCTGGCAGCTACATAGAGCTGGAAATAATTCGATGACGCTTCCCAATAATATCGATAGAGTATCGATTGTTTTTGGACTATCGCGTTGGATTAATTTTCGCAACCCTACATTTCTCACAATTTTATCCCAAAAAAAAATTTTGAAAAGCAAATCATCCAAAGATAAAAAGAAGTAACTGTTAATCAATCAAGAAAAAATTCTTTCCAAAGAAATTAAACTTATTAAATACAAATCAGTAGTGTGTTTTGTCAATCAAAACAAAAAACAAAAATGCCCTGCTTCTTAAGGAAAACATATAATTATTTTGCAAGATGGAAACGCACATTTTGTATATATCTTTATATATACAGATATATGTATGATTTCATTATCTTTAAAAATATATTTCTTGTAACAAATATATTAATTTTAAAAAGTTTTGAATATTTATTGGCCAACATAATAGAGCTGAAGTTCTAGCTACTTGACATTCACTGTTGAAACGATTCGATAACACAAAGCTGATCGAGTTTCTTGCATCGCTATTGAACAGAAATTGCCTATATTTAATTCCGTAAAAATATGAATTTATGCAAAATAAACGGTATAACAAGACTTCCAGTCCTGCGGTCATGCATGCAATTCTCCAGCGCGGCTAATTCGGAACTGCAGTCATTCGAGGAAAGCGAGAGGCAAGAGAACTCATCATACTCGCAGCCTGTGGACAAATCCGGCTTGCAGCCACAACACAAAAATGTGCTCCTTGGCAAGACACCCTACGAGGAGGCGCATTCCTGGATACATTTGACCGAAAAGTATCAAAGACAGGCTTTCGGGAGGTACGGAGCCAAGAGTAACGTTAACCCAAAGATCTGCTTTGATTCCCGTGGACAGACTGCCCCAACCCAAGTTATGCAACTGGAAACCCTGCTAAAAATGCTCGAAAAAGCCGTACGCAAAAGGCCGAAGATCTGGAGAAGATCAGCGCCCGCGAAGAGGACATAGCTAAGAAAATGGAGAAGTTGAAGCAGTGGAAGGTGGACTTGCATGCGAAAATCGCCAAGCGAGAGGCGGATGCTGCTGCGGCAATAAAACGCAAAGAACGTCTGGTGGAAGAGGTACGCAGGCACTTTGGATTCAAAGTTGACACCCGTGACGAACGGTTTAAGGAGATGCTGGAACAGAAGGAGAAGGAAGACAAGCGGAAACAGAAGGAAGCCAAACGTAAAGCGAAAGAGGAAAAGATGATGGCAAAACTGGTGGAGAAGACATCATCATCATAATGTTAAAATATTTCTTAAGCATGGGAGCTCTTATTTGTTGTTCTTTAAAAAGGAAAAAAAACCCAAACTGAAATAAAAGTAGTAAAACAGGTTTTTGCATTTTAATTAAAGAAAACAAAAGGTATCTAATAAAATGAAACATTTATATATTTAAATAGTTATATTTATCATTGTAAAAAATGTATGTGGTTTGCTCTAAAGTGATTTGATTTTATACTATATGGCATAAGATTTATGATTTGGTACCAACTGAAAACTGATATTTGTTCGATGGTAGCACATACATATGTACATATTTATATATACATTGTATTCACTAGATCAGTATCTCCAACCGAATTATGTTAACCATGTTCGTCTGTCGAAGAAATACCTGTTCTCGCATATAATAATTGCAATTGCTATCGTAGATTACTATATTGATTGAGTTCCTTTCTAAATTTCTCTACAGCTCTACAAATACTTTAAATTAAAAATTAAAACAGACATTTCCATCCCAAGTTTTAGGTTTTGAATATCTCATAATCAGGTACTTCTAAATTCGAAAAAATGAATAAAATTCGTCTGACAAAACAACTATAACTGTAGTGTTCTTTTGACTCCAAAATATATGTTTTATTATTACAGGCTACTGAGAATTTTTTTTTTAATGAATTTCTTTGTTTAGCACACGGAACTGCGCACTGACATTGACCCCCGGCGACTTGCGGTGTTGCTAAGACTTTGTTTTTTTGTGACAAATTCCTCCTCATTACAACTCAAACAGGCGTTTAAATACATCACAAGGTCCTTGTTTCCCAGTTTCATGGCAATTTTTTGTGCGTTTGCAAGGGCTTCTCTAGTCTGTTCAAGCTTATGTAGAGCAGCATTGGCCTTAACAATTACAAGGGTGCTGAGGAATTGCCATATGTTGCTATTACAGTTTTTCGCCTCTAAAATTAAAAAGGGAAATTAAATGTCGTCAAACTTTGATTTTAAGTGTAGTATGCACCATGGATAGCTTTGCGGGCGTTGAAGCAGCACTCGTCATATCGATTTGATTTAAGATGCGTACAGGCAATTTGATGAAGTAAATAGCATTTTTCGATAGGGTATTTTGCAAACACCATACGCTTCTCGTAGCGACTTATTATGAATCTATATGGGCAACGAAAAATAAATTAAAAACAAAAAATGATAAAGGCCACACTACCGTGATTTCAGCATTGTTGGATCCGAGGATTCTGTATCCTGATGCGTTGTGCGATCACCAAATACAAATGTTGGTAAGTCTAATGTCCTCTCCGTGGGAAAGTTCAGTAAGCGAAGCAGAGCATTTTTATCAAAAAAGCGGAAGTTTTTTGGAATTTGATACTGATCCACCAAAGCCAATGCCAATGTATTGTAGACCTCGTTTAGAAATTCGAATTTCCACGGCATGGTCCTGTTGGTTTTCTTAACTACATAGTCTCCCATCACTTCCTCTACATAACTGGACAGTTTCTGTAAAATTAATTGAGTATAATTAATAAATTCTTCAGTGTATTTATTGAAATTTAATATCTAGATACTTAAAAGCGGCAAACTATTTGTGGCCAACTTTAAGAATCTACTATGCTCATTTAAATACTGTGCTGTAATTTTGTCAAAAGTTTGCATTGAAGAAGTCATTATGACCCCATAAAGAGTGTTATTTATGAACTTTGATTATAGTTTTGTAGAAATAGGATGACTGTATCATATGGAAATTGTGAAACTGTAAATAAAATATTTATAATTTTTCGCAATTTTTAATACACTTACAAATTAAAATAATGTTTTTGAAATTAGATCAAAGCCTATTTATTATATTTGAAAGAATGTTTTATATTTCTTCTGTTAGGTTTCCTTTCCATTTGACCAAATTAATAGATTCTAAATGATCTAATCGCAACAGCCATGGTATACAACCTTCGGCGCACCGAAGTTAGTTTTCCAAGTTGTTTAATTTTCTGTTAAAACATACCGTTAAATTTTTAGTTTTCCGGAGGTGTTGAATATTTCGTAGAGCTGAGATCATATTACGACGAGTCTGGTACTGAATTCGAAAAAGATGATCCTCACGAAATTTGTCCATTAATTTCTTGTTGGTAAACTTTTGGAAGCGGAGATGGTACATTGGGGCTCGTGCTTGCAGCATTTTCTTTAAATGTAATAAAAACTTACAGGACACAAAATGTAATGTTAAAGGATTTGCACTTACCATAAACTTTTTGACTTCGCCATATTTTTTTGTAGTTAGTGCACGTAGAAAATATCTGCTGTTTTTGCACTGATCCAAAAGCAAACTCGTATTTCTAGAGAAAATATTTGTAAGAAAGTAATTGATTGTGGGCTTCATATGGATATTACTTTTGAATATGCTTCAGAAAAATTACATCGATCCACGACCTGTCTAGGAACATCTGGTTAAACACATCGAAGGCTCGGCTTCTCCTCGCGATTTCAAGGGGAGACAGAATAACATCCTAATAAGTTCAAGAATTATATATATATATGTGTTAAATGCTTGCATAAAACATTTCTCGATCTTATAAAGTGTATGCCATAGAGTTGTGTGCTGAGCCAAAAAGTATACTTTATTGAAGGCCTAAACTATTTAATTGCATTGTTTCGAGCGCCCACGAAAAGAGTATACATTCCGACTACCCTAAGTTTAAAAACCATATCAGTTTAGCCCATGATTAGAACAAAAATAGATTTGAGCAATTATCATTTGTTAACAATTTTACTTATACTGTTTTGATAACTCGGCCTCCCATTACTATGCATACTATAGTTATATGAAATTTAATACCAATATACATTATACACACTTTGATCTCCGGTATGCTTAAGACGTCGCATTCGCCTTGTTCCTTCAATATCTTCCAAAGTGGTCTTTCATCTATTTTAAAATTATTCCTGGCTTCCGCCAACTGCACTATAAGTTTTTCATTTTCAGAAATAAAATGAGTCATCGATTGGTCGCATGCGTCTGCAATATTTGCATCGACCTGAAGAATTTTAGAATTTAAAAGACGCTTAGAACGAGTGTTCCTATCTTACCAAAATCAGTCGTTCATCAAACATCTTTGTTTTATTTCCTTCAAAAAGACGTGCATTGTCGTGAAGCTCTGCTTTTGAGTTTTCCAGCTTATTCATTTCATAAAGCGCATTGCAAATTTCCAAGTTAACAGGGGCATTATCACGATCTAGTTTTTTTAACAGGCCTGAAGAAAGGTATTTAAATTCGCTGTAAGCAAAAGGTAATATTGAAATATCAAATATTAGCTAACGTTTGGCCTCTAAGCTGTCCTTTAGAGCACTTTCAGTGAGGGCATTCTTGCGTTTGTTTATACTCCGGTGGTAAAAAGTCATCCAATCTTCTGGTGCGAGACTCAGTGCCTTGTCATAATAGTACATGCCAAGATTTTCCCGGCGCCGATGGCAATAATAAGACCCCCAGTCCTTGTAAATGTCATGCTCTATTTCCGGGCTCCAGTCTAATTTCATCCATATGGGTATCGCTGCCTCAACGCCTTGCGATGGTGCTTGTGTTATTGAGGTCATTTTTTTTTTTTTTTTAATTATATATATTTTTTGTTTTGTTTTTATTGGATTTTTGAAGCTAACTGATATCCATTTTAGGGCCAAAGCGACTTTTATTTAAATGGTTATGTGATGAGACAACACGATCTACATTATTCAAGCGAAACTTAGAAAGTTTGATAAAACATGAAGTTAAACTAAACATCCAAATGAAATGTAGAATTTGCTTGCTTTATTTATACCCAGTATCCAAAGGTGATCGGCATCACAAGCCGAGTTGATTTAGCCGTGTCCATCTGTCTGTCTCAAATAACATATCAGAGACTATAATGGCTAAAGGTGAACAAATTCTTATCTGTGACAGGATAATCAGGTTTAAAATTGATCCCCGAAATCCATAACAGCAAAAACGAAACTGGTAATGTGATATATAAGTAACAACTATAAATCAAGAACACTTCATTACACATTCATTTTAATAATTAATAAATAGTCGAACAATAAATCGCTTGGATTCATTATTTGTTTTTGCATGACATATGAAAGACTTGTGTAACTTAGAAACTATTTTAAAATATAAACATGATTCCTGATAATCATAGTCTGATTTTGATAATAGGTAAACTTTAAATAATGAATTAAATAATACAATTACATTGTTTGGACAGAAGTCAAAATATTTCAAAATTGTATCCAAAGCATCCTTATCAGTCTGAGATGTGTGTGGTTTGGTCCAGAGCCACAAGTGTATTCTGAAGTTAGCTCCCACATGCGATAATCAACTTCCACTTGCGAGGCCAGTAAGCCGAGGAATTCAGAGCCTGCGCAATAACCAACGAAGCTTCTGCCTTACTCAAGTTGGTGAGGACATCTGAACAACCAAACAGTTGCTTTCCACCTGTCTATGTGGCAACGCATCCAGCTGTCTAATATCCGTGTTTTCCATTTAGTTAGGATATGTTTTCCACGAATTTCGAAATTCGGAATACCAAAAGAACGAAACTTAATAAGTGTTAAATCGGAAATTGCTGTGAAAAGTTTAAGTGACTGAAGTTCGATTAAAATACGAAAAAAATATAAACTTATAATACGATTTATATTCCAGATAATTATAAATTCGTTCAACTAATTTTTGATGTTTTTCTACTGCACACTTTAATCGGTTAATTTGTAAGATTAAAAAGTTTTTTTTTGTAGCATAATTTGCTTTAAACTAAAATCTTTAATAAACAAAAACTATCCAATAATAACTGTGAATTGTGCAAATATTAAAGTCGCGGGACAATTAAAGAAAAAACTCATTGAATAGAACTCATAAAAAATATATTAATTACTTAGTTAATAATTCATATACTGAAGAACTACATTCAAAGGTAATACATAATTTTAAATAAATCAGAAAAATGTTTTGACACTTTGAATACAATTAAATAATCTTAAAATTTTGAAATCTTTTTATTTCCATGCTTTTTAAGAAACACAGTATACCCGAATAAAAACCAACTATGTAGTTGGTACTTTACACATGGAAATATATATGTATGCACCGATAAAAGCTTGCTTATACAGGTGCATATCATAATTCAATCCAAGGTGAACTTTTAGGATTGAAGACCCTAATTTACGGGAAAATAAAATACTATCATCACAATATGCTATTTGGGGGAAACACAATATTAATGCAGTAAGATTAATATTAAGCGAGAAGTAATTTTACGAAGAATATATTTATTTTAGTTGGCTGAGAAGGAGAGCATTGTGTATAAGAAGCTTAATCGTTTCGGCTATTTATCTTCGTTTACAAGAAGCACTCAATAAACCCAATAAAAGCAAGTGGCTTGCGAATATGTCGTACGAAAATTCCCATATGTCCATATATAATTATATTCAAAGTTAGGCGACACCTGCCATCTGCGGAACGTATAAATGTACTACATGCCATCTTGCGGGCACCGCCACACAAGTAATTAGCAACACGTGGCTGGATAAGCGGTAGGAGGCTATCAGAGGGGTTACACAGGGTTGAGATTGGTCACCGGATAAATGTCCCTAATGACCAGATGCAGGATTGGATAAGGCGTCTCAAGAGGGCTTCGGGCTCTCTGGGGGCCAAATTGGCTGATTTACGGATACCCTTAGCAGATGCTTCTGGGGAAGTATCTTTGTTTATTATTAGGAATTTTAATATTTGCAGCATAAATCCAACTGTCTTCCTAATTACACATATGCCCTCGTGTTTGCAAATTTTGTCAAATTAAATTTACGTCTGAACGCACCTGGTTAGAAAGTTCGCAACTGCGTGAAATGGTTTGCTTCGCTAAGCCAAAACCACTTTCAGTGCTTAGTTTGCTAGGAGACACATTCATAATAATGATAAATTCGGTTGCCAAAATACTATATGCACGAACTTTTATTGTTACGAATTTGTTTGTTTGTGTTGTTGTATGAACTACACCATAGTTAAGCCCATTCAACATGGCTTAATACATCCGGCCAAGGTGCTGCTGCTACCGACACCTGCAACACACAATAAAACTACACACACATCTGTCTGCGGATGTGAAATTTAAATTAGTTCTGGTTTTTATTGTTATCCTTTAGCCGAAGAGTTTCTGCTCACTTAATTGTAAGTATGTATAAGCTTTCCTGAGCTCACATAGTCTTATTTGCTTATTACCTTAATCGCAAAATGAAAAATTTAACAGGTTGAGAATCCGTTGATAAGATAGCATCTGTATATTTAAATAACGGTGGACATTATAAGTTAGCTCTTATGAGACGTGTGGAACCAAAATACTGTGATGATAATTTTAAAACGAGAAGCTTACTCCGTACTTGTACACCACTCATATTTTTATTAAATTAAAAGCAAGCAAAGCCCTGATTTCAATGAATTTTAAATTCACTCAAAGCGTGTAAGACGACATTATAATATCACTTGATGGGCTATAATAATAAACAAAATATTCGCGCTTTTTTCGTAGGCTAAAGGTGGAGAAGCTTGCATCTTGTTGTTTATTTATGCCATTGAAAATAAAACTAAAACGTGATGCCCAAGTGACAAGAGATCCGAGATACCCGCTCCCTACGTTAGGAAGTTCCTTTGAACTTTTTTTTTAACTATTACCCTGTATTTATTAAGACAAGGCTGGTATATTGGTTTTATTTGAGCTATGCCAGAGACCGTTTACAGAAAGGTCCATCCATTTAAAATGAGCAAATATGATAACATTAAAAATTGGTTAGATTAATCGTATTGAACGAACGAACTTTCGCAATTTTTGTTGAATTTTGATGAAAAAAAGTCATAAAAATACATGTTTTGTTTTGATACCAACCTCTTAAACAGAAGCATTTTGCTTAGAATTTTTCTTTAAAAAATACTGAGAATGCAAAGATGCGATATATATAAAACAAAAGAAATATGCGGCTTCCAATTAAGTTAAAGTTAAGTTAAAACGTCCCGTACGCGATTTCCAGTGCGAATCTACTACATCCTGTAACAAAAACTTGTAACCATTTTTAAGAGGCATCAGTGCAAAAATGTTTAAAATTAGTTGCATTAAAAAACTGCCCCAGATCCACCGGATTTGGTGTTTAAATTGTTCGACCTCAAACGTCGCTCCCGTTTAGTCCCGTGCGAATCGCTTCAATTTTGCAATTATCTTAAAAATTAATAAGCCTTAATTCCATCTTTACACCAATGAAAGACCTAATAAAGCGCTACTTGTTAAGCCTTTCATCTGAAAAAAAAATCATTTTCTTATGACCGACTTAGGAGTTGTACGAATATTCGTTACATTATATATATTGGTATCATGGAAAGATTTTCCATTTGTTTCACATTTTAACACAAAAAAAAAAAAATAAAGGCCTGATATTTATTTTGATAATAATAAATAACAAAACTTAGCCTAAACGCAGCAAGGAGCTCCACCTTGATAATTAAAAGTATGTTAATAAAAATTAAATACACTTTAAAAGACAACCCAACTAAAGTTGAATAAAAATTTGAAAACCGAGTATGAAACTAGTCTATCAAATTAAGGTGATGAATGCACTTTCTTAAACTGATCTACTTATCTGGTAACTTAAGATTAAATTTTGTTGCTTTTGACGTAAACAAAAAAATTACTCATTCTGCGGCAGGAATACAGAGCCATATCTATATATATCGGCGTACATACAAGTAAACTATATCTTATATAAGCATATATGTACATATGTACATACATATGTACCTGGTGTGTATGTATTTATTTACAATTTAGCCAAAACCATGCCTTCTTATCTTTTTAGCGCTAGACTGCGGACAGTAATCTGCGGGCATCTAAAAGATACAGTGGCTGTATTATACGATAGCGAACGCGAATTTCTTGAATCCATAAAAAATTAAACGGAAATCGGCGTGTGCCATGGGTTACGCTAATATTAGCATCCGCCGCTAAATATTCCATTGTACTCGAGCTACAGAAAAGTAATTAATTTACTTTCACGATGAATTCATCGACAGATTCGTCATTTTTAGAGTTAAACACTAATTTAAGCAATACGCCGGATTTATATGCAACGAGTGTTAACGAGGCCCCGTCATACGGATCAGGAACCGAGGAGTATTATGCCTGCGTTACCTTCAATTGCTCGGAATCCGAGTTTGTGGCGTTTGTCCTTGGGCCACAAACCTTACCACTTTATAAGGCGATTTTGGTAAGTCAGTTCGAAGTGGTCTCTTAATTTTAAAGCAAGAGAATATTAAACCGAGGGCCGCAAAATAAACCAATCTTGGAAAACATACATATATACAATTAAAACAGTGGATATATTGATTTGATATATTGATTGTCAGCATCCGATAGATTTAAATAAATTTGTTAAAATTCAAGGCCCACACACCCAAATAAAATAGAAAATAAAGCCGAAGATTTCACTTTTATTAACCATATTTCAGATAACCATTATTTTCGGAGGCGTTTTTATAACTGGAGTCATAGGAAACCTCTTAGTATGTACAGTGATTATTCGGCACTCGGCCATGCACACGGCGACAAATTACTATCTCTTCAGTTTAGCTGTTTCGGATTTGCTGTACCTACTCTTCGGTTAGTTAAATAGAAAATTTGACTCAGAACCCAAGCGCCTTAACCTTCCACATTGTTATCATATTTATATGCATTCAGGACTACCTACGGAAGTGTTTCTATACTGGCACCAGTATCCATATCTCTTTGGGATGCCGTTTTGCAAGATACGCGCTTTTATTTCTGAAGCGTAAGCTCCTTTTCAAGTCGAATATTGTTTTCGTCTTTAAATCGAATCAAATTCTTTACAGATGTACTTATGTGTCCGTATTTACCATCGTTGCATTTTCCATGGAACGATTTTTGGCCATATGCCATCCATTGCATTTATATGCGATGGTTGGCTTCAAGCGGGCTATTCGTATAATTACAGCTCTATGGATCGCGAGTTTCATAAGTGCCATACCCTTTGGCCTGCTCTCAGATATTCAATATCTCCAGTACCCATTAGGTATGCAAAAAGACTTGAATGCATATCCTTTCCGGGTTTAATATTATTTCTAAAACAATTACAGATGATTCCCGCATTGAGGAATCAGCATTCTGCTCCATGTCCACTCAGACCGTGACCATGATACCGGTGTTCGAAGTTTCATTTTGCATATTCTTCGTAATTCCCATGATACTTATTATAATACTATATGGAAGAATGGGGGCTAAAATTCGATCTCGGACAAATCAAAAGCTGGGTAAGTGTGTTGATTAACTCGGTATTTGATAATAAATTATATTTATCTGAAAAAAAACCGTTTAGGTGTGCAGCATGGCACCAATAATCGAGAGACCCGAAACTCACAACTGAGGAAAAAAACAGTGATACGAATGTTGGGTGAGTTTTATCATATTCAAATGCTGGAATTTTATGCTAATCGAATGAATCAGTATAGCCGCTGTGGTGATAACGTTTTTCGTGTGCTGGTTTCCGTTTCACGTGCAACGACTTTGGTTCCTCTATGCCCAGGAGAATGACAATTATTTGGACATAAACGAAGCACTCTTTTCGATTGCCGGATTTGCTTACTACGTTTCATGGTAAACAGAAATAATGAAGCCTAGTTAGAACAAAATTAATATCAATCTTTGGTAGCACCATTAACCCGATAGTGTACAGCGTGATGTCAAGACGCTATAGGGTCGCGTTCAGAGAACTTCTTTGCGGAAGACCTGTGGGTGCATATTACAACAGTGGATTTGCCAGAGACCACTCCAGTTTCCGGGAAAGCACCGCGACTGTGCTTGGAAAGAACGTTAATTACGACAGGGTTCATTCTGTAAGTAATTAATCCATATATTAAAAGGTGCATCTACCTAAATTTCCATTCAACTTCTTAGGTTCACGTTAGGTCCAGCCGGCATCAAAATAATAAATTCGAAACAGACTCCATTTCCTCGAATAGAGTATTAATAAAGAAAACCTATAGTCTGCCCCTGCCCAAGGTAAATAAAGGAAATGCTCAATTGTATTAACTTCATAAGGCCTTACTTTATTTAACACATTCAGATTGCCTTTCTGTTGGTACTCAAATCATCATTTACGAAGATTTCAAATTTATTTAACAATTCCTTTCTATGTCTCTCCGCCTTCAGTCGTCAAAAGTTTGTTACTAAATAAATCAAATTAAAAAGTTATTTTTCTCTCAACAGTTCATAGAACTTTCTAACTCCCAATGCTCACAGTTGTTTACCACTCACGGTTTATCCTTGCTTTGTTTACATGTGCACCTTTGGGATCTTAACTTTTGCGGTCAAGTCGAGAGATTCAAAGCACATGTGCTGAAATTACAAATATAGATACAAATGTTTGAAAATTCAAGGGTGCTTAGAAGAAGTGGGGAATAATATATGAAGTATATTTGTGTTTCTTCATACATTTAATTTCTGCACTTAAATCTTCAGAATGCGGACTCCACTGTTCTGAGTACAACTGACATTGTTATCGTACTAGAAAATAACTCCACTGCTCGACACACAGATGCTGAAGAGCCCAAAGTTGACAACGACATTTGGATTGAACATGAGGAAACTTCCATTTAGGCCTGGGGCCCGACCAAAATAAAAACATCCATAAAGAGATTCCATTATCCCTACATTATATATGTATAATAAAAAATATCACCTATTATAAGAAGAAATTTCTTAAGTGTATTAATTTACTGTGGTGAAGGAAGGAATACAATTTGTATTCCCTTGCAGAAAATAAACTTATCCTGATTTTCCTAAGTTATCTTAAAAATTGGCCAAGAAATTAAAGTATTAATTAAAGAAATTTTTAAATCACAATTGAAAACTATATCTGCGATATATGCGAATAAATGGAGGTAATGTTTATTTTCATATTACTGAGATATTTTAGACCGAAAATTTAATTTTTTAAACTAAAACTGAGCTAACATAAATTCGCGTGAATACCAATAATATTGTATAAAAGCATTAAAAAAAAAATTGAAAGAAGAAGTTTCTGAACTACTAATTTGAAAGCAACCAAAAATAACAGGGCTTTTATGAACGAATACGTAAACGAATGTTTACGGTTTCGGATACTTTGCATAACAATAATCGAAATTATCTTTCCATAGCTTGTTCTCTCCAAAGAAAAGCACAAGCACTGCCAAATTGACGACAAAAGCGAAAGTTGTACCCATTAGTTGTATCTATAATTATAATACATTTTCACTTTTTCTCGAAGATAAAATATCAGAGGTAAATAAACTCTTAAATTCAAAAATTGCATATCAACGAATCTGACATTCTTTATCCGTTATAAGGCAATGAAATGCTGGCATTATTGGGATATCCGCACCGGAGGTCTCCAATTACCTGTGGGGTTCCCAAAAATGTTTCTTTCTATAATAGCTTTGAGTTCCATCTGATCTCATTTACTTTCACCTGCACTTTAGGTAGGCAAATTAAAAAGTAAATCTGGTTAATAGATGTGTCGTTTCCGAAATGATACCACTGTGCTCCAGAGGTTCGGGCCCAGGTTCGAGTGCCTCAGCTTCTTAATCTCCGGCAGAGATGTGATCTCTCAGCAGCTACCAGGCCACAACATCCACATTTCTTCTGTGGCAGAGTCTCAAAACTGGTTTAGTGGCCAGCCTTTCCGATGGATTCCAGCACACAGCTGGCTCAGAAACGTTCCATTTGTAACTCAGTGGCTTTCCAACCGACGACACCACCGAATTTCAAGAAGAAAGTGATCGGATAGTCAAGACCCTCGATTGATTAACGGTTCTTTGGCTTTTGAAGAGCAAGCGCTGAAGAATGTGGTCAAGTGAAGCGTCTAGGTTTTGAATACGTAGATCGTTGCAACTGGGTCCGAAAACGAAGCTTTGCCATAAGCGAGCTGCATTGCCGCGAGACGTCCCATTTTATTTGAAACAACTGGCCAGATAACAAAGAAAGTGAGATCAAGTCTTCGAGATCGTGGCGAAAGAAAAGAAGCTTGGCAGCGAGCTTCGCCGAAAGAGACTTTTTGCTTTTGGCCCCTGCGGAACTGACAAATGTCAAATACGAATAGACTGTCGTGGAATTAAGACGCGTTACTGCCACTGAACGAATTTCGACACCTTGTTTTGGCGGCCCTCAAAATGTCGCAAAGTGCCATTAAATCAGTAGCCCTTTTGGGGGCAATATTTCTGTTCGCCTTCTCGTTAAGACAAGTGCTGTGCGATGACAACGGCTTAAGGAATTCGCGATTAATGCAATTCTTCAGTGAACCCCAGCCGCATTTCTACCACAACCGACCAAGTCCCGGACTATTGCCCAGAATAAGGTCACGTTCTGATAACTTACCCCTACTCTCGGTAAACCCAAACAAGTTCCCGAAGGATTTCTCACTAAAATCTCCCCTACCTGCAACGGTTCAGCATATAATGCGCCGTGAACATTCCGGAAGTGTTCCTTCCAATGAACCCATCAGGCGGTATCACTACGATCAGAACCAGCCCGGGCGATTTGCCCATGTTAAAGATGCTCCGGTTTTGGATGTTGGGAAAAATCAATTTCCTCCTCAATATTTTTCCGAGCAATACATTCAAAATTTCAAAGCCTCACCGCGATTTAATGGGAATATCATTCTGAAGGATCAAAAACCAGTGTACGCCCCTATTCAACAGCATGCAATCCCCGTACAGGCTTCTCAATATTTGCATTATCCCAAACTTCTTGGTCAACAGGGAGGCAGTTTCAGCCTTGTTCCCTCTCAACAGACCGCCCTCCAAAACAATCAATTTCCGCAGGAGCAGAAAATGTATTCGGTTCACGAAGAGTCGGATAATCTGTCGAAGCCAGGCTATAATCAGGGAGTAAACTATCAACCGGCCACGCCTCATCTAAAAGAGGCCAAGGAGGCGCAGGATTATTTGCAGTTTATGAGCACCAACGAATACTTTTTGCCCAAACGAGATCCTGATTATAAAAAGTTGGACGCCGAGCACGATCAGCAGAAGCAGATTCACCCATATTCACACCAACACCATTTGCAGCACCAACAGCAACAGCAGCCTCACCAGCAGCAGCAACATCTGCATGTGCAGCACCAACAGCAACACCCACAAAAGCAACATCAGCAACCACAGCAGCTTCAGCCACATCTTCCCTATAAATCTGGTGGTCTAGACAACTCAGTCTCCTCCAGTTACAATGAACCCATACAAGTTTCTGATTTGTTCTACCAGCAAGACCCAGCTCCTGCGAATTCCGCAGTGGTTCGGGGAAGTTATCAGGCTGGTCAGGATGTGTTCGTGGTGAAATCCGACGGCAACAAAGCTGTCAAGCATGTAGTCTCAACTCCCATGTCGGTACAAACGTCGACCCAAACGCCACCGAAGGGTCAACATCTTGGAAAGAGTCATAAGAGCTATACGCCAGAGCCAGTGAGATTTGAATTCACCGAACAGGATGCGATTAGGGGATCTATGAAATACACTCAATCCCCACAGGCAAATCAATTTTACTACGAAACGGTCGCTCAAGCAGTCCGGGATCCGGTTAAAACTCCTGCCTCTGTCAAGGATCTCGCTAAGCCCATCAAAGAATACAGCGACGATCCAGAAGACAGTTCTGATACAGAAAATGGAAAACAGGTGAGATGTAATATATGCCACAATTCGGAGTCGGCTCACTGTGGAAGCCTTAGCTAGTTAATTATAAAAATAGATAAACTTTTCTAATATCAAAAGAGCTTTTCTAACCATTTGTCTGTAGGGGAAAGAGTTGGCTACTTGCGATCACTTAACAGTATAAATTTTAGCTTTTGAAAAGGAAAAGAATACCGTCGAATTACCATATATTTTTCTATACTTATTATTTTTAGAAAATACAATTAAACCGATAATTATATATCATTTAAAAATAGTGAAAAGTCAGAAATATAAAAATATTTTATAAAATTTTACAACGTTGGACAAGGGTACAACGGATTAGACCTTAAGGAATAAAATACCTATTTCATCTAAATCAAATTAAAATAAGTGGTTAAGGAATACTTAAAATACAAATTGTTTCCTTTTAAGGTTTTTCAAAATATCTAAGCTTAAGAAGAACATTCATTACTGTCTGTTTTGTTATTTAAAGTACTTAACCTATCAGTCTTGCTTCTAAGATGTGAATCGTGTTGACATAATCAAAGCAAAAGGATGTCGTTTTTTTCACATCCCCACTTATTTTAAGAAAGGCTCTCTCTCTAAGCCAATGTCAGTACATAAAACCTGTTTTTTTAAGCAGAGCTAGAAAGCAATTTCACGCTTTAGTATATAGCAAGCACCAATAGTATATAATGAGAATAATGGGAATTCCGCCCGCCGTTCAATTTGGCCAGGGTTACCCTACAGTTTTGTATATGTTCAATTATTTATTTTATCAATAAATACTTATAAAAGTAATTTTTTTTTATCATTTCAGCAGGAGGATCAGCAGGTACACACTGTGTCAAGTGCTGCTACTGAAGAGAATCAAAAAGATACGGAAAATTACTGCGAGAAAATCTGTGCCAACGTGTATGATGAGAACGATGAAATAATTTGTGGATCTGATGGTTACATGTACACGGGAGAAACACAACTTCAGTGCTATTCATCTTGTCTAAATATAAGTATGTTCATAATTAAGAGAACTTTTCCATTATTAAACTTAAAAAATTTTCTTTTATTCCAGGCGTGACTATTAAAAGCAAAGGATCATGCACATGAATATGAATAAACGATAACATTAACTTAATTTATTTTAGTGACTATAAGATTTGAAAATTTAAGTGTATTCTTTGGGTGGTTTCTGTCTAGAAATGGAAAATTGTTTTTTTTTTTTTAGGTTTTGTCGATTCTATGATGAAATTTAAATATTTAACTGTTCAAATCTCAATTCTTATCTATTTATTACGAGTGTAATAAAATGATACCAAAAACGCACTATCAATTGATACGTACACTTTTTAAAAATACATTTTCTTAAATACTATTATAAGGATTAGTCATTTTCAAAAAATTTACAGACAATTAACATGAAATATAAGTATAAATAGCAAAATGCATTTTTTCACGTCTGGTTTTGTAATCCGGGTATACCTGATGTAACATTTCGAGAATTATAATACCAAGACGTTGCCTTATCCAATTCTGCATTCTGGGAGAATTTAAGTTGTCTCCTCTGTAGAAGGTAAAGGTAATAAAAATCAAAGTTATTGCCAGCTGGCAAAATAATGTTGCCTACCAAATTATAAAATGTGGATTAAATTTTTTCGCAGTCAAAATAGTAAAAATGTGTTTTTGCCCATGTTTCAGCCTGGAATGCATGGACCCTAGCCATACTGAATACATAATAAACTGCTAAATAATAGTTTTAATAGTTAAGTGATTATTGATTGCACTTTTGAATAATCCTAGGCGTGGGAGCTGACGTATGCTGCCCTATCGGCAGCAACCATCATATTGGGTGCGAAAAGATTCATCGATAGGTTTTATCGATTTTAATATCGATTTTTCGGCACATCCCTAGAATGCAATATTTTTTTATTTCGTACCCTGCTTCGTAAAATTTTTGTGAAAGTAATTGAATTTTCAAGCAAAATACTCGATCTTCTTGTTGACTTTTGCTCACGTCCAATGCAATCGACCGTCCCGTGTAGAAGTCTGCTTCCCCTGGACTACTAGAAAAAACGCAGTGTCGTAATATGAAAAGTTGTTAACTCGAGATACCTTTGAGCACTACAATCATACTTCGCAAATACTTCGATGCGAACGGTCGGACAGTGGTAGTCCGAGCCTGAATTCAGCCGCATCCCTGTGAGTGGATTGATTCCAGTAAGAGACTGGAGCGAGCTAAGTGGAGCGATCCGACCATGACATCATAGCCAGTTGTTGTTGCATATGCTTCCTGCCCCGAATCAAATGTACATAAATATGTATGTATAGCGGTCGTACCGCACAAGCATACACATGTACGCATAAGCGAAGCACACATATGTACATACATATCCGCACACGAGACGATAGAACAAGTGACGTACGGTAGTGCAATCGAAACCCATGATTCATGGAAAGCATACACCTGAATCCCAATTCCAATCCCAAGGAGACGGCACCACACAGCTGTAAGCGATATTTCAGGCGGTCTGCCCATATACACTTTAGTGCAAGAGTGTGTGTTTGATGGAACGTGAAGTTACTAGCACCCAGATCCGCCCCCGCTTCCCTAGTAAACACAGGCAGGCCGCGGATCGCACCTTAGCTCTATGCTGAGCTCAGGTGGAGCCTTATTAAACAGATTGCCCCACCGCGCACGTCTCATCTGTCTTGCATTGTTTGATTTCAGATTAAACGGTGTGGCCTGCTGCTGAAAATCTTGCAAAATTGGACAAACCCTTTGTGATTTTGTACGACAACAAGAGGTCGTACCTGCGAACCGTGCTCGGAAGGGAAGCGCCATCAGCGAAGATGGTACTACTTCCTGCACCACGCAACCTCAAAGGTAGGTGGTTATATTAGTAGTATCCCAAAAAATTATACTTTTTGTTCAATGAAATAACTATGACTTCCAGAAGATAAAGCAAAAAATATAAATGTATGTTGATACTAATTAAGCTATCTAGAGTTATATTCAGTTTATGTTTGGGCACAAAAAAATGATATAAACAATCCGATTCTCGATTTTCTCCACTAAACTAAACCGTGATTTGACGTGGAAGAATATGTAACAAATATGTGTACTACCCGATACAAAATTCCATATTATTTACGCAAACTCCACATTCCGTTCTCTTTTTAGGAATACCTTCATTTCTAACGAGGAGCAAATTGTGCAGGGAGCTACTATACAAAAGTCGCGACACCGTTCGTTTAATAGGTCTGCCTCTTCTAGGCATAACCCGAACCAGACATCAAAACTAAAAGACACTCTGAGCAGAAAGCCCAATCGCAAGCAAGACGCACTTTCTGTACACACAAGCACTAGCGGCACCAGCAGCACCACATCGATCCAGTCATCACCCATTGAACCATCTTCTTCTTTGCCAACGCTTTACACCACAAACACACCACCGGCTTCCAGCAAAGGTAACCTATTTTTGCGGGTTTTGCGACGGTTTTCCAGCAATAGCAACTCCCCAACTGGGAAGACCGGAGTGACCTCCGGAAATAAAGACGAGGCAGCGAAAGTCAACGAAAACAACAACGGCACCCAAAACGATCGACCGCAAGCGACTAACATTGATGTAGATGTGCTTCGCTCTCCAGTCCTCCAGCGCAGGGAACACAATGAGGACAAAATGGATGGCAAAACCGAGACGCCTGCAGATGCCATGAGCCAAAAAGCTGGTGTAGGTTCGGGCAATTTAAAAAGAAAAGACAAGTCGACGGCCAAGGGGGCAACGCAAGCGGTTGCAGTCTCCGACACTAAAAAAATGGAGGGCAGGAAGTCTTCTTCGGACACGGTGATCGAGCCGTTAATTAAGCAACAAGCTCCACTACACTCATCCAAAACGACGCCAACGACCCTGACCGCGAACTTCGTTCAAAACATTCGATTTGTCCGGAAGAATGTGGAGCAATCTGGCAGAAACACCAATCCCCTGCAGTTTGTCGAGCTGGAGACGGAGTTTCCGCGCGACTATGATGACAACATTGAAATGCTGTCCCGCGAGGCGGAACACTTGGAGGAACAGTTCCGGACGCCCACGCGTTCGAATGCCACGGATGCCACCTCTCACCAAGTGGCGGGCATCATCGAAACCATAATCACCGAGGCGTCACGGAGTCTGGCAATCGAAAAGACTGAAGACGATGTGCCATTAAAGTCCTCCACCAAGCACTCGAGCGGTGTAAAGCGAGTCGGCTTTCAGGTCGAAGAGAAAGATGACACCGAAATTCTAAACGAGAAGCAGCCGAAGAGCATCGATGATATTGTCAAGAAGTTGGAGACTACCGAAGCTAGTGCAGAGGAGACAGCTGCCACCAGCGGCACATCCACTGATGCTTCTGCTTCGCTGGTGCCCTCTACAGCGGCGTTGTCGACTACCTCGTCGGCCACATCGATTACCAAGAGCAAAAGCGATGAAGACGATGATCCAGTGGCCATGTCGCCATGCGGCCGGTTCTTTAAGTACGACAAGGAGGTTGGACGCGGTTCCTTCAAAACCGTCTATCGTGGTTTGGACACCTTGACTGGTGTGCCAGTCGCCTGGTGCGAGTTGTTGGTGAGTTAAGAATTACGCATGTACATATGTCTATTAAAACTAAATCTTAAATAAGATAGGAAGCTAGTTTCGACACGGCGATGTTTATATACCTTCGCATTTTATTATTGGAGCATAAAGAATCAATCCCAATTGGTAAAATAAAATAAAGATACAATTTATGAGCCTAAGAGCAATCGCTCAATAAGACATCAGTGTCTTGTATTCTCTTTTGTTGTCTTCTTTTAATTTCATTAAAATAGATCGATTTTAAATGCAAACCACACGTTTTTTTTTTTTTTTTCAATGTATAAAAATATTTATTGACAAATCTATTTCAATTTTCAGGACAAGCAAGTAAAGAAAAGTGAACGCACCAGATTCCGCGAGGAGGCAGATATGCTAAAGAAGCTCCAGCACCCGAACATTGTGCGATTTTATACATACTGGGAGTTTCCCATTGGTCGCAAGAAGAATATAGTACTAGTCACCGAACTAATGTTATCTGGAACTTTGAAATCGTAAGCCCATTGTTTATTTATTTCTTTTTTAAGAAAATATTTATACAAATTTGTTTGCAGCTATTTAAAACGGTTTAAGAAAATACACCCAAAGGTATTGAAGTCATGGTGTCGCCAGATTCTGAAAGGACTTAACTTTCTGCATACTCGTCAATTTCCTATAATTCATCGTGATTTGAAATGTGATAATATTTTTATAACTGGCACCACTGGCAGTGTTAAAATCGGCGACTTGGGTCTGGCAACATTAAAGAATCGCTCCCATGCAAAATCTGTGATTGGTACGCCGGAGTTTATGGCGCCAGAAATGTACGAGGAACACTATGACGAATCGGTGGATGTCTATGCATTCGGCATGTGCATGTTGGAGATGGCAATCTCCGAGTATCCGTACAGCGAGTGCAAGGGTCCTGCGCAGATCTACAAGAAGGTGATATCCGGCATTAAGCCAGCAGCGCTGGCCAAAGTGGAAGATCCCAATGTGCGCGATATTATTGAGCGGTGCATCGAACTAAAGAAGGAAGACCGTCCCAGTTGCAACGAACTCCTGGAGTCAGAGTTCTTCGATGAGGACATCGGTATCCGCGTGGAACCCACGGCCTCCGAACAGTTCCTCTCCGATCCTAATATCAGCATCATAGAGTTTCGGCTGCGTTTCATGGATCCCAAGAAGCGTTCGTCCCGACATAAGGAGAACGAGGCAATCCAGTTCGAGTACAACATCAAGCATGACGAGTACGAACAGATTGCTCAGGAAATGATGAAGGAGAACATTATATCAGAGGATGACTCACGAGCTGTGGCCCGGCTGTTAAAAGTTCAGGTTGTTTCTTTGCTGAAAGAGCGCGCCCAGCGCCAGACGCAGATCAAGCTGCAGAATGAGAAGTCGCGCTTAGAAAAGCTGGCCCTGCAAAAGCAAAGGGAGAGTTTACCCACAAACGTCGATGAAGATGAGGAGGACGATGAGGAGTCTGAGGATGAGGAAGATGGTGTGAAATGGAATCAGCGCCTCCAGTTCAAATACGACATGCTAAACACCGATTCAGAGACAAGCCTCGCTCTCTCTACAAACAGTGCAGAACCACAGATGCTCTCCACGCGCTCGAACACTTCCATCCCAAACACAAACCAGCAGCCGCCAGTGCAAGTGCAAGTCCCTGTGGCCGTTTCTCAGTTGATCTCAGTGCAGCCACAGGTCCCAGCCATTGCCATGCAACAGAAACCAACTGTGCACTACATCCAGCCTCCGCAGCTTGCATCCTATCAAGGTTCGACTATGCCAGAAATGTCCAACAACCAACAAGTTATTTCGCCAACGGGTAGCCAACAAATGCAGCAGCAATCCAACGTGGCACCATCAACCATCAGTCATCAACAGCAACAGCAGGTTAGCAATCAGCAGCAGCCGCAGCAGCAAATGATACAGCAAGTGCCACAGCAGGTACAGCCACAGACTGTGTTGTCCACACAGCAACATGAACAACCAGATCAGCAAACGGGGCAGATTCAGATTCCCCTCCAGCAGCAATTGCAGCAACTAATGCACACGAACGTACAGCCACCGGACATGGCCCAGCAGCACCAAATTGCCCAGCAACAAGCCCAGCAATATTTCCAACAGCAATCGCAGGCGCCTGTCAACCAAATACACCCGACTCAACTAGCGCAGCAACAGCAGCAACAGGCGTATGCGATGCAACAAACAAATCAACAGCAACAGCTTTCGCAGGCACTTCAAATTCAGCAGCAACAGCAGATGTTACAGCAGCAACTTGCTCAGCATCAGTTGCAACAACTCCAGCAGCAACAGCAGCAGCTCCAACAACAACAACTGCAACAACACCAACAACTGCAACATCAGCAACTTCAACAGCAGCAACAACAATTTGTGCAACAGTATGCCCAGCCGATGCCGCAGCAATTAATTGCTGGATCCCAAGTGATGCCTGCTACCATGCAGATTCCCGTGCAGATGCAAGTGCCATCTACTTCGGTGGCCCCGGTAATGCAACAACCATTGACTCAGACGTACAACCAACAGGCTCAGCAACTACAGTCTCAAGTGCCTCCTCATTCTGCTGATCCACAGCAACAACAGCATGCAGGATTTGCACCGATAACTAATCAGCAACAACACTCACAGTTTGTTCAACAGCAGCAGCAGCCGCCGCCGGCCCAGCAACCAATACAGTTGTCCTTGCCATTAGAGCAGCAATTGCAGCAATTGTTACACAACCAGCCACTACAACAACAACAGCAACCACTGCAGCAGCAACAACAACAACCACCGCAGCAGCAACAACAACAACCACTGCAGCAGCAACAACAACAACCACTGCAGCAGCAACAACAACAACCACTACATCAGCAACAACAACAACAATCTATCGCCCAGCAACCTATTGTCCAGCAGCAACAGCAACCGTCGATGCCGCCGCAACAGCAGGCGGCACAGCTGAAAAACGTTGTCCAGCAGCAGCAGGCACAACCTCAATCGGACGAACAGGTGAAGATGCCTTTGCAAGGCATTCAAATCCAGTTAGAAAGTCAGCAGTTCAGCCAGATTAATCCAGAGCAGCCAGCTGCTGCATCGGAGATTACGTCAATTAGCAATAGCTTAACGCTTACTAATCTCGAAAGTGCGTCGGCAGATACAGAAAAACTAAAGCAGCAGCAACAGGGGAACGCCAATGCGAGTCGTGCACAGAAACCGAGACGTTCCAACCGAAGCGGCAACGAACGGATTCCCAAACTAAGTGTTACCAGTGTGGACGAGGGAAGCGTTATAAATTGTCACATGGAAAACAAGCTGAAAACGATTACTTTTAAATTTGACATTGGAGATGTGAATCCCGTTGAAATTGCTAACAAATTGGTAAGACCGAATTCCCAATTGATAAGTTAATTTTTAATCGTTCATTATCTCTTTTAGATCGCTCAAGATTTGCTTTCAAATTGCCAAAGTACAGTATTTGTGGAAATGATCAATGAAATTGTTGACCAAGTTAAACAGAATCCCAACCAAATCCCTATACCAATCAATTATCGCCGCAATATTGAAAAGGTACATCGCTATCCGCAAAACTATATTCACAGAAAAATCTCTTTGTTGCTCAATGAAGACCATTCTTACGAGACTTTAGGGTTTTTAAAACGCAGACGCAAGGATACTTACTGTTTCTTCGATGCTTGTTAATCCAAGATTGTTCATCACTGATGAGAACCAACAATTTCTCAATAATTTTAATTCAACGTAAAAATGTCCATTCGAAAAAAATTGTTTTGGGATGTACTTTTCCCAACCGTCAACCATTTTCAGACAAACTCCTTTTTTTAAGTTTAGTGTCAGAAAGAAATCATAGTTTTCTTGGAATGCCTATCGTATTTCAGATATAATAGCTGATAATACCTATATCTAGAGTCTCTCTAGTTTACATGTTCATATAAATGGGTCAAATTTCTTTCCGTTTTCTTTTAAAAGATGCAATCGATATAAATTCGTACAAAAAAAAAAAAAAAAACTTTACAAAGCGATTATAATTTCGATATCACAAAATCCATGTTTTTTGATTGTTTGATCTATCCCTAATATAACTAAACAGGTCCGACACGCGTCTCTAACTCGACAGCGTTCCACGTTTAGGTCACACCAAAGACATAGATCTGTAAGTGTTGAGTGCACTGGGCTTATGTAAACACTTATTTATTTCCTAGCTAAAATGTTTTTACTTATCAGGATGTTTTAATTTACTTTTAAACATGATTCGAAAATTACACTTATAGTCGAGATGTTTTTTAGTATTATTTTCCATAAATATTCCTAAATATTTAAAATTATTTTCTGTACTAAAAATTTCAAAGACAATCGAAATATATAGCGTAAACGATTTGATTTTGACAAAGACCTTATAATAACAAAATGTGTAGCGCCATATGATTTTTTTTTACTAAAATTTTTTCGTGTTGTCTCTCTTGAAAGTTGGTTCAAAAGCCAGAGAGAGGGAGAGAGAGAGCCAGACGCACGCATGAACAGCGGTCGAGCATCCCCAACGTGTTCCATATGTCATCAATGGGCCGATGTCATCAACGTGCCGACTTCTGCATAGACGACGATCTTATTCGACTATTGTGTCAGGACAATATCTCATGCAGTCTCATTTATGTTTATTTATATTATATTACACTAAATTTATAGATGAATTGATAAATTGGTTGCTGATTTATCGATGAACATTTTACCTTAAATGTCGATGATAGGCTCAAATTTGATCAATAATTCTTCAACTATTCTTCGACTATTGATCTATTTATCAATAGTGTCTGACCAGTGCTGATACGTGATCACACATATAATTTTACAATTTATAAGCGCTTTAATATGCTTAAATGTGTCTTGCAGAAAAGTGCTTGCATATGGTAGTTCAAATATATCATGCATATTGTTATTATAACGTTTTTGATTTCACCTTCCTTTTGTGAGAATTATCTGCTGTCAGCAATTGAGGCGTAAAATCAACAACAGTCTTACTAGTTTTGAACTAATTTTATAACTTCATAACTATAAAATAATTAAATTAGGTAAAAACTACACTTAATATGTTCGTCTTTGAAAATGTAGCCTAGGAATATTGTATTTATCTTCTGTTCTCTCCTTACAATGAGAAGGGATTTTATATTTTCATTTTCGGTTTATCGTTAAAGTTTTTATTTAAAACATATGCACTTTCCCTTTTCTTGATTACTTTGACTCACGTTTAACACACTAATTTTAGCGGGATGAAACCGCCAGCGACATAACCAAGATGTTCGAACCTACCATCCATGGTGTTGAGACTCTGACCTCCGGGGGAGGAGGCTCGGATCAAACGAACACCACTTTGACCATTGAGGCCAAATCGCATGTCTCTAAGATAGCAAATGCGCAAGAACCCCAGGGAAATGTTGGCACACCGCCGACCACCACTTCAACACTGTCATCATCCTCAACTGCGTCAAGGGACGCGCCTAATAGTAGCAACGACGTAACTATAGGATCCGGTTCGGTGTCGCGCAAGACGAGCACAGCCTCCGAATACACATCGCTGTCGATTGACTACATGCCCGATAGTAACATTACGCCAACAGGTGCAGAACCCGTACTTGAAGAAATCAGGGATAGATCAAAGCCATGCTCCCTGGCCATTGCTCGGATGCAAAAGCTCCTGGAGTCAACTGGCAGCGGAGCTCCTCGGAGCCTCAATCTGCCCTTAAATCGACACCTTAAGATCCAAGAAGACCTAAAGCACACCAGAAGCCTGGACGACTTGACCGCAGTGAAAATTACATTTGACATGCCCAACAAGACCTACGTGGAATCATCAGAGGACAGTCAGCCAGCGGCAGTCGAGGCCGAGAGGCCCAAGGATAAATCAGGCCACGCACAGGCAACTACTAATCAGGGAGCTGGAGCTGCAAATACCTTGGAGCAGCTGAAGATCGAACTAGAAAACATAACGCATGCCCATGCGTTTGCCTCAGCTGTAGTGGCCTCTATCAACAACCGAGCTCCTCACCAGGCATCTCCGGCCATGTCATCGCTTAAGGCTTCTTCTGGAAATCCGCAGACACAAGAGGTAAGAACACCAGCAGCAGCAGCTAACCCATCTTTAGTTATCTGAAAGAAACCCTCTCATTTTGAAGATGGTTACCACAGTCGTGACTGTATGTCCGTATGAACTCGTCGATCTATTCCTCGACTATAGGGCCGAAGACAATATTAAAAAAATAATAAATAAAAAACAATATGTTAAGTCACATTTCATTTTGCCTAGCTCAACAAACCAAATAACAATGTTGGTGGATCAACATCCTCTGTGGGCCAGAACACTCCCAATGCAGCATTGACCTCGGCTAGGGGCTCTGGCTCCTCTCTTTACAATTCTCGGCGCACTTCCATCGACAACAGCGTGGGCTCCGATGTGCACCTGCAGACTGCCTCTAATCTTGAAGGACTGCCTGTTGGCAACTCGGATCCGACTCCGACCGACTCCACGCCTGGTAATGAGAGTCAACTATCCAAGCAGCCCAGCCTGGAGAAACAACCCTCAGCTACTTTGATTTTGACTAGCTGCAGTGACGCCCCGCAAAGGAATCCCAGCAACGGATCACTTAATCAGAACTCAATTGCGGACTTGGAGAAGAAATTAGCAGCTTTGCGAAACGCAGATAACCCCGAAGAGGTAAGTAGTTCGTCAACGTCTCCAATTAAAAATAAATTTTACAATTCCAATTAATTATTTATAGCAAGTGTCAGCCACATTGTCGACAGTGCCTAAACAGGTTGAGGAGGCCATCAACAGCAATCCAAGTGCCCGAAAAATTTCACGATTTAGCGTTAGTCGTGTGCAGGAGCAGAAGGCTTCAGCTGCGGCTGAGGAGCAGTCACAAGGTCAGCTTAAGATTGATCTGCAGGTGGCAGGCTCTGCGTCTGGTCAAGTCCAGAGCAACAACTCAGTGCAGAACGGTAGTGTAGTGAACACACCAACCACTGAACTTATAAGCTCTCCAATTCAAACGGTTCCGCTACCAATTAACGGAATCCAGCTGATTTACCAACAGCCCCAGCCGGTTCACCAACTGCCTGTAGGTAGTAGTGCCTCTTCCACCTCAACAACTGGAACGAGCTCTCAGTGCATTGTGGTGCCTCAAGTTGTCAATCAAAATGGATCAACACAGATGCAACAAATGCCCAATATGCAAACACAGCAGCCTCAACAACTTGTACATCAAAACATGCCCCAACATGCCCTAAACGGACATCCAAATATGGTCACCGCCATTCAGCAGCAGGCCATTCCGATGCAGTCAATGCAGCCGCAGCAGCAGCAGAACCAAATGCCTCTTATGTCGCAGCAGTCAATCCTGATGCAGCAGCATCAGCAACAGCAACCGGGCAATTCACAGGCATTCAACGTGCCTGCCACACAACAGCAGCCATTCATGCAAACACAGTCCAATCAGCAGCTTCACTCTCTCTCGCTTCCACCCCAGGTGGTGAGCATGGCTCAGGGAATGCCCCACCAGCTGGCTCCCATGCCATCGATGTCTGCCCAACAGCAATTGATATCGCAGCAACAGCATCAAATGCAAATGCAATCGCATATGCAGCAGTCTTACAATCAGCAGGCAGGGGCACCCCAAACCTTCCAAGGTGCCACTGTTGCCAATCATTTGCTGCAACAGACACCGTTGATGGCGTCCCAGCAAACAGCACAGCCTATTCAACACGTTATGCAACCACTTTTCAATGCAACAGCTGGTGAAGGTAAGTACTTTGAGTATATAGTTGTTTTTAATATACACAGTAGGTAAGGAAAAGAGCTTTAACCTTTGGTAAACAAACTAACAAATATATAATATGCTGATTAGACATTATAACGACAAGGTGCATAGCACCTATACATTTTGCAAGCAGTACAATTTTTAATTCTAAAAATATATTTAATGTGTATTATCGTTTGATCTGCTTCCAAAATGCGTACTACGGTGGAGAATGAGTTGATGTTTTTAAAGTATAACCATTTTAACATAGATCGCCAATATATTTACCATTACAGGCTAATCTTAATTTATTCTATTCTGTTGTACCTTATGTATCAATCATAAATGTTGCTCTATAGGATCTCTAGCCCCCAAAGCTTATAAGTCATTTACTATTGATCATTTTATTGTGGTCTTTGAATATATTTTAAATATAATATTTTCGGTAAAAATATCCATGGATCATGAATTTATATAGGGTTATTATTTATTGGATCTGAGCTTGTCATCCGTGTGAGATCTTATTTTAATATATCCTCATGTATCTTGCAGTTACCGAAGAGCCTGTATCTCTAGCAGCTACGCATCCTCATTTGTTACCGAGTGACATACAATCCGTAAGGACCTAACCTACATACTTTATTTAGTTTAAACAACAAAAATAAAACTTCCTCCGCAGGACATTAAGCACAACCTAGACTCTCTAGTCAACCAATTGTGCAACACGAGATTGGGTACGAACCAGCACCAACGGCTGTTGCTCTTACGTCAGCGACAACTCATTGAAGAGGACGAGCTGCGCCTAAAACATTATGTGGAATACGAAAAGTTTCAGAAGGCTCTGCGCCAATGTAAGATGCAATATTCCTCGTAAAAAATGGGTTATTTTTCTTATGTGTTTTTTTTTTTCTTTTTCAGCAATTAGCACAAACGTTCCAGCGACTGCCGCTTACTATTCACCCGCTGCCGCACAGCTTCCGACTAACTTGGCAGCTCCAGCAGCGCCGTCCTCAGCAAATCAAACATCGACGAGCTCCGCAAACACATAAACATAGCACTCACCTTTGACAAGCCATACCCACAACACTACTCTATTTTCTCGGCAATATAATTCGCTCGAGTGTGAGAATGTCGATATTGAGGTATATTTTAAGCAAAAAGTTGTCGAATGTCACGGGGCTGTCTGTAAATATTAGTCAAACACTTCTTGTTAATATGCCATTTATTTTCCCTTCTCTATGTTTCAGTTTCTAATTTCTTACTTATTTTTTCGATCTTGGCTTTTGTTTAATTGTTTAAAGTAAATATTACATCTTTAGGAACTATTTAAGAAAATTGTACATTTTATTAGAAAAAAAAGAACTGTAAATAAACATTTCGATAATGTAATAATATAACAAAGCATATAGGAATATTACACAATAATCATCATTTACTCAAAGTGATGTATAAATACTGCGTAGTTACTAAATAAATAACTTATTACCGAATTGTTTTCTTTATATGTATATTCCACTACTTGGAAAGACAAAAATCTATAAAATGGAAGCGATCTTCTAAATGAAGCTGTATAAGTAACCAAATTTCATTTCATTTCCAAACGGATTGGTAATGATTCAAGAATATATGTATGCTTTAACCTTGTTGAACCTGGCTAATAAAAGCGATTAAATATATTATCAACCGAAAACTTGAAAAAATAAATGGCTAAAGGGATTGATAAGTTATTCGACTAAAAAAATTAAACCTATTTATTGCTCTAGCATGATTAAACAATTAGCTGCGACGTCTTCCGCCAGCTTTTAATTTAAGCGTAAGTAACATATTTAGCTCAGAAAAGAAAGCAAGGTTGGAAAGAGGGTTGAAAAGCGTTTATGACTTGGCACTTTTATTTTTTTGTTTACCAGTTCTTAAAAAACTACTGTTATGATTAATATTCCGACAGACTGGGATGACCTAAATCTCAAAAAAAAAAATACCATTATAAACTGGAAAACTTTGTATATCGCCAATCTAAACAAAATTTACACAACTTTGAATTTATTTTTAACAAGAAAGGAAGAAACTAGTCAACTAGCAAACTAGTCTCTCAGTTTTGAAGCTATCTAAATGAAACTTTGCAGTTAGTCTTCTATATACTCTCACTCGTATATATGTCGGAACGGGCCGGATCGGACGACTATATCATATAGCTGTCATAGGAATGATCGGAAAAGTTTTACAAAAAAAATTATAAAATTTTTAGTTTTCAACAGAATTTGATCAAATTTGAGATATAGCCATTTCATATTATTCTACAATTTTGTGAAAAATTTTATGAAAATCGGACGGCTATATCATATAGCTCCCATAGGAACGATCGAGAAATTAATTCAATTAATAAGTATAACATTTTCAGTTTTCAACAGATTGTCATCAAATTTGAGATATAGCCGTTTCATATTATTCTACAATTTTGTGTAAAATTTTATGAAAATCGGACTAATATATCATATAGCTCCCATAGGAACGATCGAGAAATTTGAGAGGAATGAGAATGACGGTGGCTGTTGTCGGAAGACTGACAATCGCGGTGGCGATAACATTTTTAGTTTTCAACAGAATTTAATCAAATTTGAAATATAGCCATTTCATATTATTCTAAAATTTTGTGTAACATTTTATGAAAATCGGATTACTATATCATATAGCTCCCATAGGAACGATCGAGAAATTAATACAATTAAATCTATAAATTTTTCAGTTTTCAGCTGATTTTCATTAAATTTGAGGTATAGCCATTTTATATTAGTCTTAAATTTTGTGTCAAATTTCATGAAAATCGGACGACTATATCATATAGGTCCCATACAAACAATTGTTTGATGTAGAGGAAAAATGCAAATCTGCGAATGTAAAACTGCAAATATAATATGTATAGGTGAATGAAATGAAAGCAGGTATTACTTCATTGTTTTTTAACACAAATATATATAATTAATATTGTATGGATTCCTATTCATAGAAGTTCTATCTGCAAGGGTATATAAACTTCGGCGTGCCGAAGTTAGCTTCCTTTCTTGTTATCTACTAATTTACCGATTGTTATTTTGATATAGTTGTTCGATTTTTATAACGTATGGTAAGAAAACTATCTGCGATACGTTTAAAACTGAGAAACTAGAATGTGGGCTTAAGGAGGAAGTAGACTTTTTTTGAATTTTCTGTTGCTGGATTTGCTAGGAGTTCGATTGCGTTCTAGCGGGAAAAGGATATGGTTGTGTTGGGTAGTATGTGTTGTGTATATACCTTATGTAATACATAAGGGACAGGACATTTGCTTTGTGAGTTGTATGTGTCCTATTGATTATTATTTCTTGTTGTCTGTTAAGGTTTGTGGTTTTGAAGGAGAGGGGTGCTGTGTGCGATCTGTTTGTACCATTGGCACGTTTGGTTTTGCTGGGTTGTATTTTTTGAATGGATGAGTTTTGGGTGCAGAGTGAGGAAGGATTAAGGAAGATGTAAATGATTTTATCTATTGTGCAAGTGTATCTCTATGTTTTCTTTTTGTGGGTTTGGATAGTTTGCCTATTGAGGTGTCGTAAGAATGGATCAGTTTAATTGCGAGTTTTTCGGTTGGAGTTTGGGTCTGTTTTCAATTGTGTTTATTTTTGTTATGATCAGAAGATTGTTAGTCTGTGTTGTTCTGACGGCCCAAAGGGCTGCTCGTATTGCAGGGGCAGGATTTGATTCGATTTAGCGTGGAGGTTGAGGCTATCCTGAGATGGGTAGGCAAAAGTCAATTTTTGAGATAAGGATGGAGCTAAGAATTTGGATGAGGGAAGTTGTGTTGCAGTTGAATTCTTTTGAGAAGAGGTATTTTATAATATTTAGGGGGCGGGAGAGGGAGGTTTTTACCTTATTGATGTGGGAGTTCCACTTATAACGTTTGTTTATTGTCAGGCCTAAGATTTTTGTAGATTCGATGGTAGGAATAGTGATGGGCCCTCTAATTATGTTTGCGGTACAGTTTCTTTTCCGGCATATTTGCAGGAGTTTGCATTTCTATAGAGAAAGGGACGTACCTGAGTAGGTGGAATATTGCTGACTTGCTGGAATTGGATTGAAAGATTAATTTGGGGGTTTTTGTTGTGGTTGTGTACAGTTATAAGGTGAAAGTGTTATGTCTTGGGAGGGAGATGATGTTGTTTAGTGAGCTTCAGGCAATATTATAATACCGCTCCAAGGTATAAACATATGTAAATATATATGGTTATTGCTCAATTTTCCCCAGAGAATTATTATTATAATAGTGGTAACTAACTTCTCGATGTTTTAGGCATAGACCAAAATGTAGAGAAATGGTACACAGTTTAGGAAGCTTTCATAAAAACCGCCTAGACCTTAAAGTTTTAATAGCATTTCTTTATAATTATTTATTTGTATACTAATGGATTTGCTTAAGAAAAGTATGAACAATTGTAATTTTACGAGTAAATGTAATTTATTGTAGGACTTATTTATTTCTGATTTTGGGAATGATCGCCACTTTTTTGCAAGTACAGGAATATATTACAAAATTTTTCACTTGCTTATGTCTGATTTTTAAAAGAGTTTCGGAACGTAGTAAACAATACATTTTATTTGTTGCTTTGAACATTAAAGTGAAATTAATAATACAGAATGCAGGAGCATTCAAGGTAAAGAAAACAATAACAAAACACGTGAAACGAATGCATTCTAATTAGACGACCACATCCATGGTGTCTTTGATCTCATTGCCCCACTCGCGGGCCATAATCATGATCTCGGTCATCGACAACTTGGGTCCGATCAGCGGGTTAAGCTGCGTCATGTAACAGCACAGCCAGCTTTAATGAAAAAACGTCATTGATAAGTGAGGTCATGTGGGAAAGTGAGTCTTGGACTGAACTTTAAAAGCTACATATGTAAATACGTAGGTAATACTTACAAAAGCCAGCAGGTTGATGCGGTGAGCATAAGGCAGCATTGAGTCACCCTGGAAACAGTTTATTGCTTAGTGGTAGTCTTACTAAGTTAAACAATAACTTACCCCTTGTTAGGACCTCGGGCAAAAAAGGGGCAGATAATCCCAATGAACGCCCAAATACAGGTGATAACGATCGGAGGCACCCACTCGGAAACCATCTTGCGGACTCAAGGATCGACACGAAGTGGTTTAAGGAAAAGTAAAAAATAAGAAGGAGCTGCGATCACGAATCTTTTCTCGAGTAAAAATATCACATGACAGCCATGGGACTGAGGCAGAGCTGACAAATAGCGATGGTACTATTGAATACATCGATAGCTTTTGGTTTATTCAACTTCGTTGCTGCCCTGAAAAAATCTGAGAGATCGATGGATCCAAATTGTTGTATTTAAAAGAAAGAAATAAAAAAAATATATATTAAAACACCCAAAGCAATTGGATTTTAATTTAATTTAAGGTGGTCCGGGACTTGTATTTTAGTATGACATTCGTACGCTTTCAAAGTGAGAAAATAAATGTTAGGAATCAGGCAAAGCAAAATGTTATTGCTCTTTCAGACAAAATGTCAACAAAGAAAATTTTAAAATAATAAAATTCATAAATCTTAATATTTAATTTTGTTAAACTTAATTGTTGAACAGTTTCTTTTTCTTAAATTTAATTAAGATTCCAGTCGAAGGTTTCATATAGCAGTAACATTTTCCCTTATAAGTTTCATATCCTTTCGAACTTTAAATTAATAAAGTCCATGAATACATTTATCTATTTTTCCCTTCTTTTATTCATCAGTCCAATAAATAATTATTATAATTTACTTTTTTATTGAAACAATTTTGAAGCAATTTTTATTTCCAGGCTAAAGATGTCAATTATTCAAAGACACTTACGGCAGATGAAAAACGGTGCCAATAGGCTATAACATTACGAATATTTGACCATCGATCTATCGATGTTTCAGTTATCGATAATGAAGATAAGTCCATCTCATCTACAACTATTCAGCTTACGCCATTGATTTTCGACAGCATAATTTAGCAAAAAGGTGTTGTTAAAATGTTCCAAAACAGTGCTGCTCGCCTATTGGTGCCCGCTCTCCGTAGTGCCATGCAGAGCCGTTGTCAGTCGGTCGTTTCCGGCCCACCCACGAAGCACGTCTCCACCGCCGTAAGTTTTCCCGGTTGCATAACGAAGATGTCTACCCCGGAGGAAACCAATTCCCAGTCACCAAGTCATAATTGGTATTATTTTTATTGCAGGAGAAAGTTATCCTGGGCGGCGGCATGTGCGCTGCGTCTCTGTTCATCCCTGCATGGGTGCTATACCACATTCGGGATTATAAGGGCGAGAAGTAATCTAGCGCCATCAGACACATTTAGTTAATACCCATGTAAAGTAAAGAATGTCAAAACATGCTAGGCGTTTTCAAGAAACGGAAATAAACAAAGTGGATTGAACCTTATGCAGACCTGATTATTTCATGGTATACTATGACTTATACGCCGATTTTGTTTTTTAGTTTCCTAGTCACTTAATAGTTGAATCTTTATATAATTAGTGGAATTTGAGTATTTTTTTAGTCTTTAATTTACGGTTTATTGATAAGTTATAGGCTATGTTTCGTTCACAAAGAATTTACTTAGTAGCAGAATCCGGAAATTTTTGGTTGTTTCTACATAAATTAATGTATCAAAAAATTCCTACATGACTCACTAAATATATTTATATATGCAAAGTAGATGGAGATTTGGTCGAGTTCTACTGTGTACCGCGGAGGTCCTCGTGCGATATTTAATTTACGATAACGGCTTCAGGAATGCGATTATAAGTTTTTTGTATCTCAATAAATGTTTAATTAAATTTTCAGCACAAAACTGCTCAACTATGACAGGCCTTTTATATTTGATTTTTAGTCTATAAATTTAAATGTTGATACAATGAGAAATAATATCAATAGCTGATCGGACTTCGAAATATCCTCAAGTAAATTAAAAATTATTACGATTATCTTAGGGTTGCTAATGGCCACGAATTTATTAAATGAAAAGCTAAGAATACCTCTAGTAGTTTTGTTTTTAATAACCATTAAATTTACAATAACCGTTTTGGATTTCTTTGAATCAAAATTTAAATTAAACCCTTTTATCAGCAGCTGATGAAATTTTTTATATATGTATTTTCACTTGAAGCGTAATTTGAAAGGGCTTACAAATGATTTTAATGGGCATATAAAGTTTTTAAACGAGCTTATAAGTTATAATCATAGATGCGTTTTATTTCTCCTGTGAGTCCTTGGCGTCGTTCTTTTTATCCTTGTCCTTGTTAAGGGATCCGACAGCATCGCGGACAGCTTCAGACTGGGGATCAACACCAGGCAGATTCTCTAGCACACTCTGCAAGAAAGCCGGATCACCAATAACCTCTGAATAGTCCTCGTCCACGTCCATGGGAGCATTGGCTTCATCAGTTTTCGGGCGCTTCGCTTGTTGGGTAACCGTATCATCGGAAGCGTCCTGCATCGACATCTGCATGGCAAAAGCAATCTGTTCCTCCTCGGTCATATTGGCAAAGTCCGGCAAGTTGTCCTCGGGAGTTTCAGTGGACAACGCCAAGGCCCGTTGGAGCATGGCTTCTTCAGTGTTGGCTTCGCTGCTTGCTGCGGCACTTTCGGTATTGCCCTGATTTGAGCCGCCACCAACCTCACCGGTAGTAGGTGCTGTGTTGTCGGTATTAGCACGACGCTGCTCGCTCTCTTGGCGTTGGCGCTGCTCCTCCATAGACACGCGCAAGGCAAGAGCAAGCTCGGGATCCTCATTGGGATCCACTCCAAATTCAAAAACATTGCCACCCAAGCCAGCACCACCCATGCCGTCTTCGCCTTGGATAATGGGCGATGAAAGCAGAGCATCCGACAGAGCAGAGCCTCGGGGTACACTAACCAAGTGAGAGCCAGTCCCATCCTTTCCATTCAGGGCGTTGATGAAGGCGGTCAGCGTCTCGTTGTTGTTGCCATGATCTCCGAAGCTGACAATATCCACGTTGACCTTCTCCTTCTTCAGACGCTTAGCCTGCTTCACCAAATCCCCTTCCTCGTGATTGATAGGCGAACCCACAAAGACCACGATGCGCATCTTGTGATTTTTGCCCTGGCGATGTTTTAGCACTAGGTGGGCAATACGAATTCCGGTTAGAAGGTTAATCTCACCCTTCGGCTGGATAAGATGCATTTTCGAGAAGATCCGTCCCACATCGCTGGTGAGCGTGGCCAGCACTTCCACGGTGCTGGAAGTTAAACGTACCAAACCATTATAAGGTTGCATACGATAGCAACAGACTTACTTGGACAGAGTCATCAGCCCAACGTTGTTCTCTGGATTCGAACGCAGCTTGGTAAGGCAGACGAGATTGATGCCATCTTTTTGGACGTTCAGACGGGTGGGGAAGTAGTCTCCATTGCGCTGGTAGTCGCTGTTATCAAAACTGGAAAAACACTAATTAGAGGCACCGGAACAAGCTCTATTGCAAACAATACGCAAAAACTTGCAGGTCTTTAGCTAATTTGCAAAACTAAACAGAAATTTACCATATCATAGTACTCTCCAGAACCATTTTCGTATTTTTGCTTGTCACTTTGCCACTGAACTAAAAATTTGTCAAGGCTGCCAGATAGGTTTTAGGTACGCCTATCGGACGATAACTCGATATATTTACTGGTATGAATTAGTATATTGTCCTATCGCGTTTATGGTATTTTTAAGGGTACTTATTTGTATAAAGTATTTAAGTTTTAAGTCTGGTACTAACAAAAGAACGGAAAATTTAAAGAGATTAATCTGCACGAAATAAATACAAATGATTTATTTCGCTTTAAAAATCATAGCTGTTTGTTATTTTGACCTAGAACGTTTAAGAAAAAATTTATAAAATAAATCTTTAAAATCATACAGTTAAAAACTTTTTAGTTCCACCCTGCCATCAAGGGCCAAACACACAACAACGTTTTAATTGTAAAATTAGTTTTGCATTGTATCCATATTTAAAGAACACCATTTAAAAGATTAAATAAAGTAACATTGATAAAATAAGAACTGTTATATATATTATTTCGGCTATGAAGATTACGCTTAATCCGATCATTAAGCTCATTATGCCACCTGTGAGAGCTAAAAAAAATTATTTCTAATCAATATTTACAACTAACAATTTTAGAAAATTTTATACCCATATATTCGGTGGGTCCAGTATACGAAGTCCTCACACTGCTTCTAAAATAATTGTCTGTGTGGTAAAAGTTAACTACTGCCAGATTTTGTCGTATATAATCACTTGACAAATTTTGAAAATAATCACTTTTGGATCTAAGGTTTTTTTGACTAAATGGTGTGGTAAAAGCATCCGGATAGAAAATCAGATCGTGACAGCTGGTCAGGCAGAGCTCTTTGCATTGGGTAATATTAACGTCGAAGATCTTTATCTCTGCCTTATTCAAACAGTCGAAATTAGCCACATCACAAATTGAAGAATTCGGGTAAATTAGTGGTAAATAATACGGAATACAATTGCACCATCTTAAAAAGAACAGTGAGTCACACTCTGCTTCGCAATTTCTTCGAGTGTAATATCTATAAAAGAGTAGTTCTTCTTCGTCGCTAAAAATACACTGCCTCTTAGTCCTATGAATATTTCGGATATTAGGTAATGCCTCAGTGCTCCTGGCGATTATGCGAAAACTAGTTTGATGGCCAATCATTACGGGCAATCCAGATTCCTTTAAACGCGGTTGGTCAATGGGATTATACAGAAGCACCTAATTTAATAATTAATATACATATTTTTTAGTTTCTTGCTGCATTATCGAAGAAAACTTATATAACCTTAAATCCCTGTCCATTTGTAGAAGAGCAAAAGTAATCGTCGACGTGCCCGTTTAAAATAATTTGAAGACCCATAGCTGTTCCAACACCAACTCCTGGGCGTGGATAATATCTAGATGGTAGTCTTTAGGATATCCTGAAATGGGATCCCAATCGACAGCAATATCGGCAAACCTATCCGAAGATGTGTAGTCTCGAATGTAAGGTGACCTTAAACGTATATTTATTAAAGATTGTATTTCTGAATAAAATCGAAATGATATCTTTTAAAACGCATAATTACAAATAAATGTATATAACGACTTTATAAATAAAATTAATACCATCACGACGACTATGGTTTTGACTCTGACAGGTACATACATACATATGTATGTATATCCTGGAGATTGATCTTACCTAAATTTATATAGGTAATAGGGATGCAAAAAATTAAATATACAACACAGCCCCTCATCAACAAATATTTCTCTAAAGATATCGGAGCAAGGTATCTTTTCTTGGTGAAATGTGCATGATACTATTAAATCCTCGCACTTCTCAGAAATATTTTTTATGAAATTGGGAAAGGTTTCATTCGTATGCTTATTCTCCATATACTGCGAAAAATTTGTGTCCTTATAGCAAGTCTTTTGCAACATGGCGTACCCTAGCGAACCACTTAAAAAGATAATTACATAAGAAGATTAAAAATGTTGTTCAGATATGCATACTTACGGGATCAAATGCTCTACTTTCGACTTTTTTGCCTGGTTCATATTACAAACCGTAATAGCCGGAAATGGAATTTTGTCTATAGGAGTCATGGTAGAACTTACTGCATAAATAATAATGATAGCCATTCGTTATTAGTTATATTGTATTGCAGGAAAGTATATATTAATAAAAATATATACATTCTTAATCAGCATCAACAGTCGAGTCGATTTAACCCTGTCTGTCTGTCTGTTTCTACATAAACTAGTCTCTCAGTTTTAAAGTTATCGAAATTAAACTTTGCAGTTAGTCTTCTATATACTCCCACTCAATTTAGAGTCGGACCGGCCGGATTGGACGACTATATCATATAGCTGCCATAGGAACGATAGGAAAATTTTTGGAAATAATTTAATAATAATGTTTTCTGTTTTTAACATATTTTTATATTATTAAAAATATAGCCAAACTACTCCAGGTACTACCCACCCTTAAATCCAATAAACCCAAAGCTAATCCCAACTCTTATCGCTCTCATTCTCTTAACCCATGAATAGCAAAAGTCTTTGACAAAAGTCTAGCAAATCTGATTAAGACAATCTACTATTTGTAGACCAGTTAGGTTTTTGATTTCGTTAGACTAACATGTATATATTTTTTTAATGGTTATAGATCAACGACGTACTTCCAATGATTACTGGGGTGTCTTCCCATTTATCGTAAATTCCCAATGCCAAGTTTATAGACACGAATACCACCGCAGCAGAAATTAGTATAAAATACATTTTTATCCACCATGCGAAATTATTGCCATCAATAATATATTTTAGTACTTCTATTGACGTATTCCGAAGAAATCGTTTCTCTGTTTTTTGACGAATTTTCAATATTTGCACATGAATATCTTTTAACACACTCATGTTTTTATTTGAGTAAAACGCGACTAACTTCTTAGACGACCTAACGGATAATGTGCCAAAGTAGGTTAATTACTTTACGCATTTGGAGAAGTCAATTAAATTAGACCAGAAAACAAATTATTCATTACCTATTTGAAAATTACCAGTAGTGTACCCATTACTGCAGCGCAATCAGTGGAAATATGTAATTAGTGAGTCGTGCCGTCGCCCGCATGGATTAAAAAAAAAGATTTGTGAAAATAAAAACCAATTTTGATTTATTGAAGCAAACCACACAAACATTTGTAAATTGACGTTACCCTTCTCAAGCTACAGGCTTCTTTAAGTTATATGTACATATAAACATGGAAGCATATGTAGGGTGATTGCCATTAACATAAGATAAATGGACAACGGACAATGCTTCACACTTTTAGTTTTTAATGTTTCGCTCATCTCTGTACCTAATGGAATGAACAAATCAAAAACTGTTTCTTCTCGCTCTTTCACGTTTTTTGTATGTATCATTTAAAATCATTTCCGCTTACAAAATTTTAACTATATGTTAATACTAGCTGTTTAGATACACTTATGTATTTATTTTTATTTTTGCTCCAATTGTTTATCTTGGTTTTTTTGGTATATTAATATATGTTCTCATTTAATGCATTTTCAATGCCCTTGCAGGTTTCATATAGTAATTTTCCTCGCGCTTAGGTAAATCCCTATGGTTCTATAAAATATATAATGAAAACTCGATTATTTCAGCAGCAAGGGTCGTACGGAAACAGGAAAATAAAATACTACAAAGTTGAATGGCGGTTATAGATGGCGCGAAGGTACAGTTTTGAGACGGCCGTTAACTGTCCATGCAAGCCACGATACTCGAACTCCCAACCGAGTAGGGAAATAGAGTATTCAAAAAATTATTTAAAGATGAAAGTGCTGTCTACAAATGTCGGAAAAATACTTTTAAGAGAAGTCACACTTAAAAGAATTTTGCGCGATCGAAATTGGTCTCCCGCCGTATTGGACTTATCGATAACATTCCTACTTTTATTGATTTTAACGGTTTGTTATGTGGTTGATTTCCATTGGCGCGCACTTTGGTCACACTATACAAGCGAAAAAAAGATTGTGAATGTGAGTGCATAGAACGACAAAAGCCAACAATTTGTAAGTGATTTGGGGGAAAAAAAAACTTTTGCATTAAGTTATTGCTATTGTCGCTAAGCCATCGAATAGGAAATTGTTAAAATTGCTGACGGGTGATGGGGCTCTGTTCATACTCAAGAACAGTAATCCTTACATCGCCTATAACGTACACATACATATCTGTACATACAAGTACATACCTACTTAGTTTCGCATATTAAGCTACGATGCTAAGAAAAAACGTAATGCCAGAGACGTCTTGTAAATGCATTTCATGCTGGTTTTCTTCTGTAATTTGCATAGCACGCAGTGGTTATGTTTGTACACCAGTGCGTATGTACGCAGTTGTTGTGTTTGTATGTACATATGCATGTACATTTACGCAGTCTGAGGGTAAGTACGCACAGTGTACATATATAATAACTAAATGCAGGAGCAAAACTTATTGCACACTCTCAAAGTATATGAAAGACAGAGCTAATGAAAACAGTGGCTTTTATTTTTAGGTCATCGTTGAGAGTTGTCAGATTTGTAAAATCAAACCCTTTTGCAATTGTAAAGCAAAATGAGTGCCGTCAAAAGCAGCGATCCAGCCATCAGCGGCATGGCCCTTGGCCGGAGTCAGACTATTTGTCGCTACTACGTGCGGGGTATTTGTCGGTTCGGTGAGCTTTGCCGCTTCTCCCACGACCTAAGTCGCGGCCGTCCGGAATGCGAGGAACAGCGTGCAGAGGTTGTCCCGACAGAGACCCCACGGCCCAGCACCAGCTGCAGTCATAGTATCAGCAGCACCATTAGCCAGCAGCGAAACTGGGTAAACGCACCAGTGTTTGTGCCTAGCCAAAAGCGAATTCCTCCTGCCAAGGAACAGAGCGAGGTGTCAGAGGCGGGGGTGGAAACCGACACGGAGGCCGCTTCTGGCATTGAGGGGTTTCACCCCGTCGTCTCCTGGGCTGAAGTTGTAGGCGGACCATCGTCACTCAACAACAAACGGGACTTTACTTTGATCAAACCCGCTTCCTTGGACGAGATCTGTCCCTACGAGAGCCCATGCGTCTGGGGAGAGCATTGCCCATACCGCATCCACATGGAGCTGTGCGAAATGTGCGACCAATATTGCCTGCATCCCACGGATCAAGCCCAGCGCAAGAAACACAACCGCGAGTGCCTGCAGCAACACGAGCAGGCGATGGAGCTCTCATTCGCAATTGCCAGATCCAAAGACAAGACGTGCGGCATTTGCTTCGACACGATCATGGAGAAGGCTGGTCGCGAAAAGCGATTCGGAATCCTGCCCAATTGCAACCACATATTTTGCCTGGAATGCATTCGCACATGGCGTCAGGCCAAACAATTTGAGCATAAAATAACACGGTAAGTGATGTAGAAATTACCAACTGTTTTATTTAATATTATTTTTCGATTCGGGGTACGGCATCATGCAAATAACAAATTTCCGCAAAATGATTTTTTTTAAACAAATTTTGCAGAATTTATGTCTAGTTTACTTACAGAATAGATGGAAATATACAATATTTCTGGCATAAAATCTTTTAAAAAAATTTTTGTTTATATACTACTCTATTACATTTTTTAATTCGCTTCAAATGTTTATATTGCTAGGCACTTATTAAAGATTATTATTTAATTTTGTAGAGCCTGTCCCGAATGCCGCGTGTGCTCGGACTTTGTCTGTCCCAGTGCATTTTGGGTGGAGACCAAGGAGGAGAAGGATAAACTGCTCAATGATTATCGCGTCGCCTTAGGAGCCAAGGACTGCAAATACTTCAAAAAAGGCGAGGGCAAATGTCCCTTTGGTAACAAATGTTTCTATAAGCATGCATTACCCAATGGAGACATAGTCGATGTGGGATTACCGAAGCGTACTCGAAAGCTACAGAGCCAGACTGAAATAATCGACCTACTTGATGTAAGTACTAATTGTGTATTTATTAGCGTAATATTTGATTTGGATTTTAAAAAACTGCAATAGTTGTTTTAATATTAAATTCAACTAAATGATTAATGAAAAGACTGCCTAATATTATCCTTAAAAACAAAAACTACGAAATATGATTGCAATTATATATTTTCTAGATTTATCTGTGGGACTATGTTGACAGGCGGGATTATCATTGGCTTGAGATATTTTCAAGTGATGTTAGTGAAAGTTCCGATTTCTCAGATGATGACTAAGCTTCTGAAGTAAAATAATAAACAATGAATCAACCACATGCCGAAAAGCACACAAATTTGGATATACTGTCGCAGCGAAACGTAATCAATATTCAAACGATATATATAAATGATACTGAACCAAATATCGAAAGCGAAATTAAACAAAAAGAAGATGTATTTGGGTACCAAATTTAGGTTTACATAAATATTTATTCTCCACTTAATGCAACGAAATTTACAGCAACTTTTCCGTACTTGTATTAAATTAAATTATATTTAATACCATTAATAAGTGGTTAAACTTAAAGACCTAAACGAACGTTGATATATCATTAAATTTGATTACACAATTTTAGAGATAAACAAGCAAGAAGCAAACAGTACATTTTCAAAATAGGTGATATAAACATGTAAACTATGCCTTTCAGACTGAATTGTAAAGATAAAATACATTCTTAAATCGGTTTTCTACTCATTTTTGATCTTTAACCAACTACCAACTACAACTAAGCAAACGCACACAGCAAACTACATGTGTACGGGTGCGAGTCTATTGTACGATTGCGGAATGATAGACATTAAATCTCGAAACGTTTCCCTTTCGCCGATAAATGAAATTTTTGTTATTGTTATGAGCCCTTATGTTAGAGTATTCCTATTGCCTACCTACATATAATTCAGTATATTTGTAATCGTTGGCCACGCGCATAATGCCAAATGTCTTGCACACAAACCAGAACACTATATGTATGTATATCCTCTAATGTATGTATATGATTTTTAAGTTTATATTTTCGAAATGTACCTCTTTAAAATGTTTTCGTTTTTACTGATACAAATGTAATGTGTTGTCCGAAGCAACAATTTAATAAACTAAGGGAACTAACATATGTAAACCCAACATGTTCAAAATTAAATGAGGAATTACAATTAAATGAAATGAAAATCTCAATAATTGCATAGATTCGGGTATGCCGCCGGTCTGTGGAACCCATTTGTATGTGATTCATAGTTGACAAACGAAAAAAAAAAACAGATATCTTATGAGTAATTGGTATTAAGTATATATAGTTTTAAAAAGAAAGAATATGGTCGTTGAAATATGATATAGATTGTACAGTTCAGCTTAACAGCTCAACAAATACATGCTTTAGAAACGCCTTTGTTCCCATATCTATCTTTGTATCACAAAACCCAGTCTATACACAAGTTGTTTGCAAATCAAATGGCTAAAATAGCCAAGTTGCTTAACAGTATGAGGGTGCGCAGTTTAGTTAATAAAAATTTTGTAACTTTTTTATGTGAAATTATGAGTTTGCCTGATATTAACTCCTAAAACCATCCAGAAGTGATATTTTTCTATAATTTGTGAACTGGATTTAAAAATAAATTATTCAACGGAAAAAACTCGTAAATCAAAACATCATTTCAAGTTACTTATACTTGTAAGAAGAAACAACATTCAGGCTCGTTTAAAAATTAAATATCTTTTAAAGCGGATTTATACCAGGAGCCTTGAATCGAATACTAATTGTGCCATTTCCCATTTTTAAAATTGTTCAAAACAAAAACAAAATAACCAGTCTGGCTGAAGTTGTACCTAGATTAGATTAAAAATACAATTTGTAACATTATGTTGATAATAAAAAGCAGGAAAGAAATAAATGAATATAAAACTAAACCCAACGGCGAATGTCCTTATTATATATAATATATTATGGTATTATTTTTATTTGCCCAAATATTTGAGTCCCAACAGCACAGCTGTTAAAATATTTTAATTCAAATTGTTATTCTGCCAGGGGTTGTGGCGGTCTCCAAAAAAATATTTTTTTTTATGATTTAAGAAATAATGCAAATAGTTTTCCAATATTTAATGACGTTAGAACGCTAGTAGTGAATGACCAGCATAGCAACCCACTAAAAAATTATTTTTCCCTTCGTGTTTCTCAAAACTACTTTTTTCAACTGGTTGCCGAATTATCTCATATACGACTTAACTGTTCTCCTTGAAATACATACATATCTATGTATACATATGTATACATATGTATGTATACATATGTATGTACATATTATTTTCATGCAATTTCACTTTCTAGTTCCTGGTTCACTCAGTCGTTCCAAAATTTTTTAAACTTGTTTTTCTTGTCAAGCTGTATATTTTAGCGTTACTAAGTACGTATGTGTAAAATTCAAAGCTCTTATTTTTCAGCGATTTTATTTTAACTAAATTTTAGCTAAATGCTCATTAGAGTCTAAAAAATTTCAACTTAGCTTCCGTTATCATAGGTTAGACAACATTTTGTTAAGCACTTCTACTACATGAGCTAAATTTAATTGTTTTAAATCGTATCGGAGGGAATACCCTAAATTTTATAAGCTGGGACTTTTGCTGAATTGAAACTTTTGTTAATTATCGGTATACGGTTACACTAAACAGCTGATGAATGTTTGTTTATTTACCGGATGAAGACCTACACTAAAAGTACTTTGATAAGATGACTGAAAAAAAGCGCTTTGTATGCATTAATTGTGGCCATGGAGTTAAGGAACTTTTCAAAAAATACAGCAACACCCTAAAAACCACCCATTGTGTAAGAAAACAAACCAAATACGTATTTATATACATATGCACTTAAGGCGTTATTTTGGGTCTTTAATTTTACAGGAGAAATGTCATCAGATAACGGATAAGTACATTGAATTTGAGGAATTTATTATTTTAATAGATGCCCTTTTGTTGGATTCATTTGCTTTTCGACACATCATATATAACGGGGAATTTAAGGTAAGATATTTAGTCCACACACATGTCTTAGAGGTTGGATTGTAAAAGATGTTTTTAAATTTTAGATATACTGGAAGGTTTCGTTGGTGGTGCTGCTAGTGGAATCCTTTGCGCTGTGCCGACAAAAGCTCACAGATCCGCCACAAGCCGACTTGCATATCCACGAGAAAGGTTTCTATACATATACGCTTCAAAATATAGGAGGTAAAAACTTAATATCTCCTGCCATGCAAAACCATACGAAAAAATTCTGAGCTTCGCTATGTATTACAGACTATTTGCTCATGACGTTGCTACTGTTGATGATCACTGCTACCCTCAGCATTGAATGGATGAAGAAAATGGGCGTTCGTAAATTTACATTAATTATTTTCAAAGTCGTTTTGATTTCTAACCTATCAAAGTTCTTTCTTTTGCCAATACTGGTATGGCGCAACAATACAACAGTATTTGGAAGAAGCTTGCACCACCTTTTGGTTATGGGCCACCACCTTTGTTCACTGGTCCTTGCCTACGAGGCTGTTGGAGCAACTAGGAAGGTTTTCCGATGGTGGGCATTTACATTGGTAGTTCTTGCATTTATTTTAAAAGAGACCACAAGGCATTTTGTCTCTCTTGTGCTGGAAGATAACTTTACGTAAAAACTAAAGGAAAGTTAGTTGAAAAAACCATTTAGGTCGGGAACCCTTACAAATTATACTCATGTCAACTACCAAATAAAGAAGAAAAAAACTAAAACATGCATACATAAAGCTATAAAGTTAATTTATTAGAATGACTAATTTACTGTGAAGTTATATGCAAATAATAATCATTTGATAAAATTCTAAATTCATAAGGCACGTACAAAGTTCAGAGTTGGTGAAAATATGTTGAAACACGGTGATAAAATAATTTGTATAACCTTGCAGGATTTTATAAGTTTAGTCATAAGTTTACAAACGCAGTAAAGGAGTCATTCCCCACCCTATAAATATTCTTGATCAGCATGAACAACCAAGTCCGTCTCTCCATTACTACACAAACTAATCCCTTAGTTTGCATTACAATATAGCTGCCGACGATCAAGAGATTATTAAAAAAAATATAACTTCAATTTTTTTATATATTTACATCTACTCAGAGATTTTTATTAATGATCCAATTACAATCTGCAAGGGTATACAAACTTCGGCGTGCCGAAGTTTTCTTCCATTCTTGATTTATTTTAATATCGGGAAATTAAAAAACTTTTGACTAAAGTTATAAAAAGAGATATCCGTTGCTGTAAATCTTGTTTTAGAGCCAAATCGGAAAGACGACGGGCAGGTTTTTATCCACAACCACTCAGCTGTTCAACCTTAATTATTTTTGCTTAATTTAATTCTGTTTAACTACTGTGTGTTCACAGAGTGTAGAACATTTTTTAAATGTTTTCATGTTGTGCCTTAAGAATTTCTGTGAAATTTTTAACCATTTTCGGAATTTGGGAAAACAATTGCGTATATTGTAGAACCTCGACGAGTTCCAAGTCTTAGAGCAATTTAAGCTGACCTTCAACCAAAAAACAATACCATAGCCTTACCTCTCGATCTCATCCTAAAAAATGAATAATTGGCTCTAAGCGAAGTAGTCAGTTGTATCAAAACCAATATATGTACATATGTATGTAGCAATGAACAGAGGCAAAAACCAAATCACATCTCAACCATCTTTGCCTTAATTTCGACCCTATGAAGTGTAGCTTTGTACTATGGATCTGAATCTAACGTTGCGTACCTGTTCGGCTCTCAGTTTTAGAGATACTTTTAAATCATCTTTCGTTTTATAATACCCAGCAGTACCATTCATAAGTATGTCATACATTCAAAACGGTGTTGTTGATGAATTGTCGATGACTTTTCATGCAAAATAAAATGAACACAAGCATGTCCACGGTTCACACCAGTAATAAATCCGTCATCAATTATTCAACAATATTTTAGACCAATAATTTATTATTTAATTTTTTTTATTATTCCTGTTTGGTTTTTATTGCCTTTAACTCCATTTAATGGTAAAACGCAAATAAAAACGCATACCACGGATTTATTGTTGACAAACCTAAATGCTCTTTTATTATTTTGGTCTTTTTTTCATCAACCCTTGTTAAGAGAGGAAATGAGGGAGCGGGATATTTGGTTTGAGACCATTCGAAACGTTGGTGACCTGTGGTACTGCAGGATAGTGCCGCAGGGATTTCAACTCTAATACAGGAAGACAAAATCTCTATTAAAATATTTTTATTTTAGATGACCTGTTACGTGGTCTTAAAACGAAGACCACCATGCTTCCTCTTCGAATATCAATATTAAAGCAAAAGCCACCCGTAAATTATGAAATTAATGAAACTCCTCAAATATCGTTAAATGGCCAAAATTAAATTTTAATTTATATGTTTATTAATTAAACTCTAATCTTAAGGCCCAAAATAAAAGAAGAAAAAAACGTCAACTGTTAAAAACATATATAGAACTAATTTTTATTGTGTCTGTTGGTTATGAAATACGTCAAATAAGTTACATACTAAATTTTGGAAACTGTATTGAACGAATCAAATGGCAATGAATTTAAAACCAAGCAGGGTCGTCAACCAATCCGCCTTCTTTAAATTAAAAGCTCGAAAATAGTCAATAATATATGTGGTTCGAGGAAAAATTAATTAGCGTGTTGCGTATCAGTACACACAAAAAGATACATATCTGAGAACAAACTGATTTCCTGTTGCAGCATATAGGGCGTTGTAGATATGATGTTATGCCTCTCCTTTCGTATGAATGTACTTAAGTAATTAATGCTAATCGTAAGTCATGCTGCTCATACATATTGTTGTAATGGCAGTTTGTAGCAACGACGACACCGACGCGCAATTAGCCCTTACATATACCGAATTAGGGCAGGGCGGGCGCACTATATAACTAAATCAGCATATCTATCCGTCAAACACATACATAAATTTGCTACAGTTTGCGATCTTTTTAAGTCATATTCCACGAGGACGAAGACGAACTAGAAGAGCTATCGTCGCTCTCAGTCGTTGCGTTGCTGCCGTTGGGCTTCGGCCCCCAAATTCTGACAGTCGCGTCGTCGCTGGCGCTGGCGAGCAGGGACGGGTACACAGGGTTCCATGAAACGCAGTTGACCGTTTTGGTGTGGCCGGCCAGTTTCGCCAGTGGTTCTTCGCGTTTAATGTGCCAAATATAGACCACCTTATCCTCACTGCCACTGGCCACAAAGCTCTCGTTGACGCCGCCAAAGCAAGAGTGGATAGCAAAGTTGCTCTGCCGTATACCCTGAAAACGACGTACCAAACACTTGTCCTCAATGTCCCAAAGATGAAGTCCTTGGTTCGAAACGTTCAGCAATGCTAAGCGGTCGGCGGAGTTTATGCTGAATGTCATGATGGGATGTGGTTCCCTCAGAATATCAAAGTCTGAGCGCGGGCTATCGAAGTTGTACCTAAATCAAGTAGAATGCAATCTGTATAAATTTCCATCTATTTGGAATTTAAAATTTTCTACTAATAGGTGTATTGTTTTCCCAATTATAGCGAAATTGATAATCATGCTCACCCTCTGATACGGTAGTGATTATCAGCTGCTAAGATCGTCTTGTTGTCCGCTCGAAAGGCTATGCTGTTGACGCGAACCCCCTCCCAGGAGTCCACAATGGTGCCGTTCAGGTCGCAGAGGTAGAGCTGACCCTTTTGACCGCCGCACACGAAGCGAGCGCCATCGCGACTGAAGGCACCACAGGCTAAGCTGTCCTCCAGCGACTGTGAGAATTTGACAACCAGCTTGCCATCGTCCACGTTCCAGATGTACAGTTCGTGAGAATCCTCAGTGCCGCCAACGAGAACGAGCTTTGAATCAGGGCTCCAGCTGACGAAACTAACGCTGAGCTGGGTTTGACCGTCAAGCACGCGCCGGTGCTTAAGGGTTAGCTTGTACGGATCAACGTCCCAAATAATCACAGTGGAGTCCTTGCTGCCCGTTGCCAGTTTGAGGCCATCGGGTGAGAACTTGCAGAACCATACTTCGTCGCAGTGATCAGTGAGAATCTGGATGGTTTGCATGGGAAAGCCGTCTGTGGTGCAGCAATGGTCGGTAAGGAGCGACACCGTCTGTAGATTTGTCTCCCACGCCATGTCATGGCAGGGGCAGTGCTGGCTCTGCAGCTCAACGGCCTGCTGCAGCAGAGTGCGTAGGCGCCGAGGTGACATCATTACCGACGGCGGCATGAACGTTTGCAGCCGCTCCATGACCAATGCTCTGGACAGGATGCCCTTGCCCTCCCACTTGGCGCGCTGATATAGGTCCTGGTTGGTGGAACACATCATGTACGAGGAGAGCTGGTGCACACGCGATATGTTGTGCTGCAGTGGCGTTAGCTCGCTGCGAAGAACGTGCAATGCATCCAAGGGATTGCCATCGTCCAAATGCTCTAAATACTTTTGTTCCAGTAGTATGAACTTCATTTCGGTGATCGTTGACAATTTGCCATTATCTATTAGTGGCTCTAGGTCCTGCAACAATTGGAAATTAAAGAATTATAATTAATTATATTGCCAGGGCTCCAGCTGTGTGTTTTGCGGGCTATATAAGAAACGCACGCACCAAATTTTAAATGTCTACAGTATGTGGTTATGTTTTTATAAATTAATAATTTCCTATTTTTTATACCCTTGCAGGGTTTTATAATTTTTTGTCAGATAAGGTATTAAGAAAGCTATCACTCGTATATGTATATGTAGAAATGGGCCGGATCGGACGACTACATCATATAAGTGCGATCGGAAAATTTTTACGAAAAAAATTTGCAAAATTTCCGAATTTCCTATGGCAGATATATACAACATATATACGAGTGAGAGTATATATAAGACTAACTACAAAGTTTTATTTAGATAGCTTAAAAACTAAGAGACTAGTTTGTTTAGAAACGGATAGACGGACAGATGGACAGATGGACAGATGGACATGGCTATTCTTCATACGGTCGGAAGTGACTCCTTCATTGCATTGCGAACTTCTGACTGAAATTATAATACCCTACAAGGGTATAATAAATCTGATCATACAAGCATATTCATCCGAGTAAACAAACTGTAGGCGTTTTAATTTCTTTTGTAAGCAGCGGCGAATCGTGTGTTTATTGTAAAATTTATAAATATATATTTACCTTGAGGTCAGAGTCAGCTTTGGACCAGTCGCCCATTAGGACGTGCTCCCGGAACTTGGTGGCAGAAGGGTGCTCCAAATAGCAGCCAGACTCAACCATTAGCGTCTTGACTGACTTGTCGAGGCCAACGTCGTGCAGATACTGACCGATCAGCCGGATGATCTCCTGGTTAGACTTGTCAAGCTGCACGCCGCTGTAGCTGGTGTTCTCGCGATTGTTCTCGCCATCGACGACAATACAACTGCCACTGCCATTGTTATTGACAGCGAAACCATTGTGTTTTGCGTCGTGTCCGTTGGTTGCGGCGCTGCTGCCCGAAGGATTCTCGTCCCCGACACCGGCACTGTCATCGCCGCTGCCGATGCCCTCGCGGGCCACGTTCTCGACACTGCTGCCAGAGTTTAAAGCAGAGCCGTCTAATGGCCTGGAGCAGGAGCCGCTCGATGTGGAAGTGGTACTCTGCATGTTCGATCCAGTACGGTTTTTTGCTTCAGAGACGGGTATATTACTGTTGGTGTTGCTGCTGCTGCTACTATGATCCCTTGGCCTCTTGTTAGTATTTGTCGATTTGCGGTTTAGCCCTCTGCTGGGATTTCCTGTTGGTTCCGCGATATAGCCAGTCGAAGTGGAGTTTAATTGTTGCTGTAACTGCTGAGCCGCTCTTGATGTCGATGCTGCCGCATCTACTGATTCAGCGGCAGTGGCGGGGGAAACGGACAAGGATGTGGAGCCTCCTGAGCGACGACCCCTTTTGCGCGGCGGCTGGTCCTCGGAAGAGGCACCAGTTGCAGCTGCCTTTTTGTTGTTTCTATCAATTTTGAGTCCTTTGCGAACCGCACAGCACCAACAACCAGACTCTGCCCCCGACGCAGTCTCTCTACAAAGTCACTAGTTAGTGCCTCCAACCTGGATCCGATGCCTGAGATGGGCCTAGGCGGCCTTTGTTGTCGATTTCACAAGGGGTATAAACGTGATTACGGCTCCGTTTCTGGCAGTTGATAGCACTCACTGATTGCAATTCGTTCTACGACCTGCGGAAAAGGTAGTGTTATACACATTACATTATATATCAGCAACTTTGTAAAATTGCAGTATATGTACATATGTATATGTATGTACATAATATAAATATGTACATATGTATGTACACATTCTCTGGTGGGTGCACAAAGGGAATACGTAAATTTGATTTCTCCACAGAAATGCATTCTCAACCCACCTCGATATCAGACTCTATACCTTGAAAACAAAATCAATGAAGATACAATATTTTGAAATTTGAAGGATATTTACATTTGTGTTCTATACTTTCAGATATCTATGTATGTACGTTTGTACATCTATTTACTTATGTGTACGTACCTACATCCCTAGCTGCTCGCTGAACAGTCCCGTACTAAAGTATTGGTATTGTATGTTCTTAAAAGGGGAATTCAAACCTTGCAGTGTTTTATAAAATTATAAAAACAACAAAATTGCAGTATTGAAATAATCATTAAATGTATGTTTTCTTGTGTCTTGTCTGTAGTAGTATTTTGTGTTCTTTTCAGCTCTATATATTTGGTTCCTCAATGAAAACTGGTTCGCCCACACACACCACCAAAAGAAAATGCACCCCCATATCAGAATATGGAATCTATTGAAAATGTTTCCCTATTTCTAACGAAATGGTTTGTGAAGCCAAAGAGATAACCAATTTACATTTGTACAAATGTGTCAAAGTTTTAAACCAATGATTTATTTATGCAGCAACGAAAGTGAATAATTCAATTTTATAACCAACCAAAATGAACTACGTCTTAAGAGGTAGAACAAAATTTCAGTTTTCAAAAATATATGCAGGTTTTAGAGAAATCTAAAATATAATCCGAAACAGCAATACTTCCGCCCCCGACTGTGTGGCATGTATTAATCAACTCTGCTTTGTTTTCGGTACAAAGAAAATGAAAAATACATCTATTTACATACACGCATACACATTGTTGTTCTCCCTTCTTTCCAAAAATGCCTGCAAGAACTGTGCACCCAGACCTTGTGTCGAAGGATTTAAAGTACTTCAAAAACTTGCTAATTTGTGCAACAACCCAGCTGTCTTAGGTTCGCTAATACACTTCACTTTCCACTCGCATTTCTCTTTTGGCCTCCCAAGTGCATCGTAATAATCATCGTGTAGGTATATAAACATACGTATGTATGTACATATACTGTCACACATACCAAGCATTTGTCATTGTTTATATCGACGATCCAATTTGTCTAATCCAAGTTACCAAGAGTAGTTGGACACATCATAAAACTATTTATTAATTGACAGGCCTCGCAATTAAAAAAACAAAGACGAACTGACACAATATACATACAAATTTGATGATGAAACGTACTTAAATGCGACTGCTGCAATTAGTGTGACCGGACAAAAATACCAACAAATTTTTAGTTTGTTATTACAGCTACGAATACTAAAATAATACAAGACCGCTCTAAGTATTCACAAAAAGTGCTTCAAATATACATTTTCTATTCGAATAAAAGTTATTTGTAATAAAATAGCATTTTTAATCTAGCTGAAATTATTATTTATTTTTATCCATGAAAAATTTACAAAATATTAATGTACAATATGTAACCTGTTTTATAACTTGTATACTGGTATACAAGTTATTTAGTGCTTGGAAAGAAAAATATACCGCAATTTAAGAAACCAGTAAAAATATCCTCATAAATAAAATCAAATTTTAATGTTTGTATCACTTACAAGATTTCTTATTTTTATTAACATAAAGAATAATAATCGTTACCCAACAAAGGAAACTAAAATTGTGGGTTGATAATGTTGTGGCTACAAAAAATTATTATTTTAATTGGGCAAATAAATTAATTGCATTTTACAATTTTGTAAGACAAGTAATGAACTACTAATTGATTTAAAATACAATTCATATTTATTTGAATAGGTCTTGAAGTTCCAAAAATGAATTTAGTTGATTTAATTTCCATCTTGAGATATTACCATTGGTGATCAGGCTGTAGATTTGGAGTATAATTATTCAACCTATTTACATGCATTATTTGAAGTAAATCAATCGTTTTCAGTCTCACGCACATCATGCAGCCACATATGTAAGTCTGATGTTGTGTGCGTTCAAACATCATATTAAAATATAATCTTATCAAATGCCTGCGCGTATGGGTAAATTAGTACATGGTTTTTACTGGATAAATTCATTTATAATTTACACGACTTAAATACTTAATAATAATCTAAATTAGTCAATATCCTATTTGTAGTCTATTATTATATAACAATTTCTTTATAATTAAAATGCTAATCTTTAACTTCTTCACTATATTTTTATATATTATTTCGTAGCTTTGAAACGTGGTCACCTACAAATCGCTTTCAGCTGTTCCTGATACGAATACGTACATACGATCTACTAGTTTACACTTTTGTCACTAGAGCTATTGCATTCATCCGTTCGTTCATGCGCGATATCCCTTCATATTGCCAATTCTGGATTTTAAACTTAAATGGCTAATTGCTATGTGCAAATTATATAAAATTGAACATATAGAACCATTAATAAAAATGTGTGTTTGCTATTATTGATAACATTTTCTTTTTACAGCACAGCGATCGATCGATTCAGTATGCCCAACATATGTATAAAGCAATTTATAAATATAGCCAAGACTTTATTGTTGCTGTCTTAGGGTTGACAGCGGCTAGATCAAGTCCAAGTAAACCTATTCTGGCCCTGTCACAAGGATAGCATAATGCCATTACTACTAACTACCAGATACGGCTAGTTGTCATTAGTTCCACCAGGAACACTCCTCCCCATTGCGCTCATTATCGAGCAGCGAGGCGTACAGCAAATGCTAAGCATCTCCCACCATGGCAGCTCCGTGCTGTTGGTATTTGGTGGATGCGATCACCGTCGGTGGAAGCGACTCCTGTTGTTCCCGCAGCTGTCGACGTCGCTTCTTGCTCCACAGCTCGTGGCAGTCTTGCCACGTGGGCAGTTGTGGTGTTGGCATTCTTTAAATTCAAAATAAGACATCGGGATCAGATGGTTTGATTCTCTTAGACAAAAATTATGAATACTAACTCGTCGGGGTTGATTTTCTTTAGCCACGGCGACCGTAGTGCATCTTCGGCCGTAATGCGCTTGTCCGGATCCAGATCTAGCATTTTGTCGAGCAGGTCTAGTGCTGGTGCTGGCATAAACTCAAAGTCTTCCCGTAGGCGACGTCGATGAGTCTTTTTTTGCTTGAGTGTGTAAAACAGCGGCAGCTTGATCACATTCGGCCACACGGCCGGAACAGGTGAACCGCATATCTTCGATATGGTCTCCAATTGGGCCATTTCTGCATTGGCCTGGAACAGGGGGCGCTTGACAAACAGTTCCCCGAGAATGCAGCCGCAAGACCAGACGTCGATGGAAGGTCCGTATCGCTCCTCACCCAGCAACAGTTCTGGTGGCCTGTACCATAGGGTAATCACTTTGTTTGTGTACGGTCGCTCTCGGTCGTCGGCATTATAAAGTCGAGCTAAACCGAAGTCAGCCAGTTTAACTTTTCCCCTGCAAGCATCACAATTAAATATTTAAATATTAAACGTAATAACCTATCAGTTGGACCTAACTATTTAAGATAACTTAGATTATAATATTAAATTAAGCGATCACTAAGAAAATAATACTAGCTTTGAAAATATAACGATAATAGCAAAAACAAAGTTTAGATCAAATTACTACTAAAGAGTTTCTGATTAACTTTACTACCAGTTGTTATATATATCTAGTCAAATATGCACAGAGCTCTCTTTTCAAAATGCTTTTACTCTAAAACTGCCTTGTATCTGTAAATTAGGGTCTGTCCATATGTTAAGTAATCTACTAGTGGCGCGGGTCTGCGAAATGATTACGTTTGATTATTATATTATTATTATTTATGTTTAAACAAATGATTTTTTTTTATTATTTGTTTGAAGGCCAAAGTGGTTACGTAATATATGGACTGCTCCTTAGATAGTTACAATATTCTTGTTCATCGCTGCAAATGTTATTAGAATTCCGAGAGTTAAAAAAGAATTCAGAAAGTAATACCGATGCAAAAGGTTATTTCTATGGAACTTCAGCCCCGAAGCTTAAAGCCGTCACCTCCTGAAATCTCCCCACCTGTTGTTCATTAAAATGTTTGAGCACTTGATGTCTCGGTGCAGAAAATTCTTTTTGTGGCAATAATTTAGCCCATCCAGAAGCTGCTTCATAATGCTGGCGTTGTTCTCCTCATTGAAGTCGACCATTCCTGACTCGAGCAGTCCCATCAGATCGTGGTCCATGTATTCAAAGACCAGGTAGAAGGAGCCCTTGTCCTTACGGAATTCCACAGCATCCTGTTTGTCGGTCACAATTTCGTGAAGATTGACTATGTTTCGATGGTTCAGTTGACGCAATATTTTTATCTCACGAACAGCAGTTATGGGAAAGCCTTCCTTTTCATGCTCTAGACGCACTTTTTTGAGAGCCACCATATCGTTAGTATGATGATCCCTCGCCTTATAGACCTGTAATTAGATATATATATATATATATATAAATATATTCATACACATAATTATATACTAAGAATATTTTAAAGTCTTTATACCAACCTGGCCGTAAGTTCCTTCTCCAATTTGGGCAATCATCTCAAACACGTCCACACATCGCTCGCCCCAGTCGCGAATGTTGTTCCGCGAATCCCGGCGATTTAATATCACTGGTCGACGACGGCTTGTTGACCCGCCAGCTGAACCACTACTTCCGGCCGGAGCATCAAAGTCTTCGGGACTGTCAATGACGTCATCATCGCCGCTCAGTTCCTCGCTGCCGGGAATAACTGGCGGCATGGGTAGATTTAACAGACTCTTGTTGGGTCCGGCGCTGGCGCTGGGATTAATGTTCTTTTCGTCGGATTCCTTCTTCTTTTGCGCTGGCGATGGAGATCTTGCGTTGACCAGGTCGAGGGCATTCATACCAGGCGGCAGCGGTAACGCAGTTAGGCTCTTCGGTTTAAGGCTGTACTTGTTCGCTGAGACGGCTAGAGCTACAGCTTCAACTGTTTGCTTAATTGGCGTGGAACAATCGGGGATATCGGTGCTCGGACCAGGGTTCGAGCCCAATGCCTCGTTCTCCTTGTTTGGCATGGGAATGTTGTTAAGGTCCACATCTGGTTTATTGCTTCCAAGACCTGCAAGACCGTTTGAGACCATTGTGGCCATGGTTGCAGGAGTTCCACAACTAGGGACAGATCGGGGGCAGTCACCAGTGTTGGGCGTATTTCCATCCACCGAGGAACTGTTATCGTTAATTGTAAGTGCTCCGTTGCTGTTGGTGGTGCTATTACTGTTTTCTTCCTGCCGCTCAATGATTTCCTTCAGCGCCTTCTGCCTTTTATGACGGTCCTTCACAAGCTCGGCAAATAGACTTGTTTCGCTGATCTTTTTAATATACTCTTCACGCTTGTGTTTCAGATCACGCGACGTGGGCGATCGACTGGGAGAGGCAGAGCTGCCGCTGCTGACAGAGCTTGGAGATCTGCGGCGACTGTCTCCTCTAGTCCTCTGGTGTAGCTTTGGTGAGCGACGATGGTGATGGTGATAGGAGCTGGAGGCGCCAACAGGTGAAGGCGATGATGCCGTCTCCAAGTAGCGCGAACTCGTTCGCGGCGATCTTGAGTAGCGATCGGTGGAAGAGATACCGATTCCCGAAGAGCGCTTTGTCGACCTCGTCGTATGAGAAGGTGGCGATCCGGCATTCGTACCATACTTGTGTTTGTGGCTGCTGCCATGTCGAAACGCATTCGTAGCTGCTCCGCTGGAAGAAAGGCCACCTGCGGGGGATTGTCGATTACGTGGGTGGTGTTGCACATTAGGACTTCTGAACAAAATACAGAGAAACCAGAGTTAGTTTAAAGAATAATTTTGGAATTTGTATGAATTCACAAATGTCTTCCGACAGAAAAATAAAAATGCAGTTACCTGGATGACCTCCTGGAATACCTATCCCTGCTGTAACGATCGTATTTTCCCGAGTGATGCCTATTGTGTTCGAAGCTCCCGCCAATGGTTGCCACATCCCGACCATCGCTGAATTTCCGCCGCTTGTGGGGAGGCGTGCTTGGATGATGGTTGTACCGATCCAGTTCTATAACAAATTTTATATTTCAAAAAGCCTTTTAACCTCACGGAATACAAATTCAACCTACCCGGAGAAAGCCGCTTCACTTTTCTGGCATCATGGCTGGTTGCACTTGCTGCAGAGTAACGAGACTGAAAGCCATGTTCGTGACTGGAACGATGGTGCGTAGTCAAATCCTCTTTGTGAGGACTCGGCACATATCGGGAACTGCGAGAATCTCGGGGCCCAGATCCACCACCACCACCTCCACCGCCGCCGCCGCTTGAGGATGTGTAATGTGAATGCGGAGGTGTTCTCGGGGAGTTGCCAAACCTCGGCCCGTTGCCACTGCCACGCGCTGAGGTCTGAGGGGAACGATGACGGCTGCTGATTGTCTGCTTATTTGTTACTGTAACCTGCAAATTGCTACCCAGTGCAGCATTGGCCGTTTCTACAGAAGTTGACTCTCCGTAGTAGGCATTATTGCTGGTGTTGGTGCGACGCGCCGGCGGTGGAGTTGCTGGCGAACTGTTCTCCTTGTGATTGTGCGGGGTGAAGGAGGACGGCCCCGCGCTTACCGTCCGTTCACTACTTTTGCTCGGGGCGGTAGGCGGTGTGTATCTGCGGTCTAGTAAGGCATTGATGTCATCATTATCCGACATCGAATCAATGCTAGAGTAAGATTTGGCCCGCTTCTTCTTTCGCTTCTTGGACTTCTTCTTCGACTTGTGTTTGTGCTTGTCCTTTTTTTGTTTCTTGCGCTTTTGCCGTTTCATCTCCGCCTCCAGCTCGTCAGTGTCGATGGAGTCGCTGGACATGTAAATCTCCCGACCCCACAACTCAGCTTTGGATGTGTTAGACACCTGGGAGGGATCCTCCCGGTGATTTGTGGTCTCACTGCTGGACGTTTGTCTCGATCCGGCCGGATCGGATTGGTTTGAATCTTCGGGTCGTCTTTTCCTAAAACAAATTAATAGTTGGGTTACATGATTTTATTCCATAGCTTATATGTATTTAATTACCTGAAATTATCATAACCCTCCTTATCGGGCTTAGGACCAAGACGGTTTCTGGTAAATTGATTATCCGTAGCTGGCTTTGGTTTTTTTGTGTTTGTGGTCGCCCCCTTTCCAGAATCGTTTGCGTCCAAATCGCCGGTCTCCGGATCTGAAAAGTCCTCCGAGCTGACGTCCGAGTACTCCACAAGTGCAGTCGCTGCGGCGGAGGATGCATGCATCGTAGCGTCTTCGACGAATAGGATCGGAGCACTCGAAAGAGCCGCAGACACCCCTCTCAGCGCCCTGCGGTTCGTACACTTATCCTTGAGTAATCGGTAGACTCTATATTCACTCGTTCTCCGACAAAATCTTCAACATCAAAGTTTGTAAAACTTTACTGTGTGATTTTCCACAGGAGCAGAAGTAAAAAATTTTATTTACATCGCCGACAAGCTCTTATTCGTGTGACGTTTTCTTTACATGATTATCGCGGAGATATGTGCCAATTCACAACGCTTCACTCGCACAGACCGTCAAGGGGCTCGGCACTTTACTGCACGGCTGGTTTAATAGTCGATTTAAAGTTCGCTTTCCACTAAAATTAACATTTACAAAAATTAGAACTTGTCATTTTAAGGTTATAATGAAGTGGTCAGTGTGACCAAGTCCAGCGCGTGGAAAAATGAATCATTTACTAGGGTGAACTGCGTGTTCTTATGCAATTTGATATTTCAAACCACAAGCCACACTGGTCACTCTGAAGATTGTCAGACATAAAAACAAAACTGAATTTAGCTTAGAAAATATACAAAAGAAAGGTATAGTAATGCAATTGAACAGAGAATGGTGTGTAGTTTTAGAAAATTTTATGAAATAGCTATACGACTGAATGACTAAAAGTATCAGCAGCGAGAAACACCTTCTCAAGAACAAGCGGGATATTTAATATATATTTTTTTCATCTAACGACAAGTTGAAATTAAAGATTATGGAGAGGATTACAAAGTTTCCCCATGGCGAAAAAGTTTATCGGCGATATAAGAATTTGTCGTTTGCGATATATTTAGAAAGGTAGTTATTTTTTCGTATTGGGAATACATAGGGTATTATAATTATTATAATTTTTGAATAAATAACTTGAAAATTAAGATTTTCGCTGACATTTTCCAGCACTGTTTTAACACTGTTGCTCGTCGGTGACGTATGTGCAAGCTGAAGGTTGTATGCGTGCGAATACGTATTAGGTACACGCACACTATCGCATAATCATGCAAATGTACGTATAGATGTGGGTCATTTTATTGTTCTACTGACTTACCAGTTTCTTTAAGTTTTTAATTTAGCAAAACGGCACTATTTTATAACTTTTGGTCACCGTGGAGAAGGCAATTCGCGATTAATCGTTTCGCAGTCGGCGGACGCACTCGATGCTGCGCTTAAATTATTAAATAACACGACTTTTGACAGGCCAGCAGGTCTGTCTTGTTTACGCTTTCAAAACGAATTCTTTTCGCGAAAATTGCATCCGATTATTGCAGGCTTTGCGCATATATAAGAAAGTTGGTTCAAATGCAAGTTACATGTCTCATTAGGCATTGTTTTAGCAGAAAAACCATTAGAATAGTTTTGCCATGATTTTCTCGCAATGGCTGGCAATATTTTCGGCGATTAATCAACCAGTGACTGCATTTAGTGTTGGAAAATGTTGACCACATATCGATATTTGCCTTATTTTCAATGTTTTCATAAAAAATAAGAGAAAATAAATTTGTTTTTAAAATTAACACGAAATGTTTCTGGGGGGAAATCATTAAAAACTATATTGCTGAAACTTCCGAATCCCACAGAAGTAAACGTCAGTGTTGATTAACAATTCTCCGTTGGACTATGTTTGAAAATTCTTCAACACTAACGGTGGCGTACCCTTTTAAATTTTTTTTACTTGTTTGTTTACATGGCTTGGGTTTACAAAATACTTAATTTATAAATAAACGTGTAAAATATTATTCTGAAAGTATCTACTAAGCAAAGCCAACTATGTTATCCAATCGGGCGTTTGGAGAAACAATTGAGGTATGTGTACCGATTTCCTGAATCTTGTGGAATTTTAGGAAGCTTGAATTATTTGCAGGAGTATGAAGTACAGCACTTGTTGGGCAAAGGTGGTTTTGCTAGTGTCTATAAGGCCAGATGCCTCCGCACTCACCAGGATGTGGCCATTAAGATGGTATGTTGGTCGATTTATTAAACTGAAACTGAAACTTTATGAAACTGAAACTGTTCATTAACCTGTTTTCCGTCCCGCAGATTGACAAGAAACTTATCCAGGGTACTGGACTTACCAACCGCGTTCGACAGGAAGTGGAGATTCACTCCCGACTCAACCATCCCTCGGTTTTGCAGCTGTACACGTTTTTTCAAGATGCCAACTATGTGTATTTAGTGCTGGAGTTGGCTCACAATGGGGAGTTGCATCGCTACATGAAGCACATATCAAGGCCTTTTACAGAGGCCGAAGCTGCGTCCATACTGAAGCAAGTGGTGGCGGGTCTGCTGTACCTGCACTCTCACAACATCATGCACCGTGATATTTCGCTATCCAACCTTTTGCTCAGCAAGGAAATGCACGTGAAGATAGCCGATTTTGGTCTAGCTACCCAATTAAAGCGACCGGATGAGCGTCATGTGACGATGTGTGGAACACCAAACTATATATCGCCCGAAGTAGTGTCTCGAGTTTCCCATGGACTGCCAGCTGATGTCTGGAGTGTTGGCTGTATGCTGTACACCTTGTTGGTTGGACGTCCGCCCTTTGAAACGGATGCCGTGCAATCTACGCTCAACAAGGTCGTTATGTCAGAGTACCTGATGCCGGCTCATTTGTCTTTCGATGCGCAGGACCTGATAAACAAGTTATTGAAGAAGCTACCACATGAACGCATTACCCTTGAGCAGGTCCTTAGCCATCCATTCATGCTGAAGAGAAGCGATTATAGTGCAAATCGCGGGTATACGACGACGCCGGGAGCGTTTAGCCAGAGCATGGAAAGCGGTGATAGTGGAATCCTAACATTTTCTAGCAGTAAGTATTCTTTGGAAAAATTTGTTCTAGGATTCAATGCAATACAACAATTTAGGTGACTCAAGGAACTCTCAACGTCTTCGCTCTGTGGATAATTCAGTACCACAGGCTCTTCCCCAGATTCGGGAAGAATTCATGCAGGATCATCCACTACGTCCAACTTATGAGCAGCCTGCGGCAATATTTCTCCAAAGTTCAAATGGGGAGGCGGAGCAAAACTGGTCGGGAAACGCTAAGTCGGCTCCACCACTTCATGTGAAAATGGACCTCGTGGAGAAACCCAGTCTAGCTCCACTTAAGGAGGAGCGACTTTCGGTGCCACCATTGTGCACAATGAGATTACTACCGACGCGTTACAAGACGAAAAATGCTATAATGAGTATATTGCGAAATGGCGAGGTGGTTCTTGAGTTTCTGAAATTCCGTCCCAAGCTAAATGAAGATCGCGTCACTGACATTTGCCGTATATCTCATGATGGGCGACGTATCATTATTTACCAACCAGATCCAGGACGGTAAGAAGATTACTATTGGTGATATTTTAAAACTGGTGCATGTTAATTTATCGTATATATTTCGTAGTGGTTTACCCGTAAGAGAGCAACCACCAGAGCTTCAGATACCAAGTGAGGACTGCATCTACAACTACGAAAGCTTGCCCAGCAAGCACTGGAAGAAATATGTATACGCGGCACGTTTTGTGGGTTTAGTGAAGAGCAAAACGCCAAAAGTAACCTATTTCAGCTCCCTGGGAAAATGTCAACTGATGGAGACGATGACGGACTTTGAGATCCGCTTCTATTTGGGGGCAAAGCTGTTGCGGTCACCTACCGAAGGACTTAAGGTTTACAATGCCAATGGAATGTTGTTGTCTGATCAAACCTGCCTAGAAGCTCGATCCCTGATCGAGCATGGAAACGAATGCTTCTCCCATTGTGTCACTGTTAGTAATGCTTTGGAGGTAGCTCAGACAAAAGAGTCTACGTGCTTTCCAGTCACAATTGGAAGGCGACCAATCGCAGATGTTCCGCCAGTTCAGAAATTTGATGGGTTAAGGGATACCACAAACTTTGCCTTTTCGACGCCGAAATCAAATCAGGTAAGCAAACATTACAATTCATAAGCTTCTGGTAGACCTGTAATTCTTTAAACCGATTTCGATTATTTCAGGGTTCAATTAACTTCTCAGTAAGTACTCTTTCATCGATTCGAAATACAACAGATTTTGGATGTAATTCTTCGAGATCAAATATGCTCGCTTCTCATCAAAATGTCCCAATTAAACGCGTCAACATTCCCGATCTTGGTGTCGCTACTGAGGTAAATATGGGTGATCCCTTCCACTAAACTATATTTATTGGATTCCTTCTTTGCCCATTTTAGTTATCCCACGGAGTTGTCCAAGTGCAATTTTATGATGGATCCGTAATCTCAGTTATACCAGACCACCAAGGTGGCGGCGTAACGTACACCCAACCGAATGGAAATTCAACCCATTTTGTCAAAGACGACGACTTGCCTTTCGCGGTCAGAGATAGAATTAGTCAGTTACCGCAGATTCAATTGAGGTTGAAGACCGCTCCTTTTCTAGGGAGCGGAAGGAAGATTGAGTACAACAATGCTATGACTCCTAAAACGACAACGCCTTGCTACAATCGCATGCTCATATAACATATAATCAAAGGAAATATACCCTCATAGTTATTAAGGTTTAATTATTTCATTGATATACTGTAAAATAAACGAAAATATATTTTTTAACTTCCTGCTCAGCTTGTATAAATATTTTATCTTTCAATATTAAAACTATAAAATCTGGGCAGGCGATTTATTGACCAATTTTACCGAACGCTACAAGTATGGTGAAGTCTGACTGTTTTGTGCCCTTTGACTAAACAATTATTTAAAAAATCTCTTATAAATACAACTTAATGCTGTCCAAAATAAAAAGAAAAAAGAAGCCAAAGTTTGTATACCATTTGATCATTTTAAAATCGATATATTTTGGTCGCTTGAAAACGAACCCTGTAAGGACCCACAGTTTGTATAAAAAAATCAAATGGAAATGGCTGGATTAAAGCTCTTCATGCTGATTAAGAATATAGATACTTTATGGGGCCAAAATGATTCTCCTACACGAAAAATATTTGTCACCGGTCAACAGCCTTTAATCTTCCTCGCTGGCAGTGAAATTCGCTTGATCAAATTTGATCAAATTTCAGATATAGCCATTTTACATACTCTAAAATTTTGTATAAAATTTTATGAAAATCGGACTATTATATCATATAGCTCCCATAGGAACGATCGAGAAATTAATACAATTAAATTTATAAATTTTTCAGTTTTCAGCTGATTTTCATTAAATTTCAGGTATAGCCATTTTATATTAGTCTTAAATTTTGTGTCAAATTTCATGAAAATCGGACGACTATATCATATAGGTCCCATACAAACAATTGTTTGATGTAGAGGAAAAATGCAAATCTGCGAATGTAAAACTGCAAATATAATATGTATAGGTGAATGAAATGAAAGCAGGTATTACTTCATTGTTTTTTAACACAAATAAATATAATTTATATTGTTGGGATTCCAAGTCATAGAAGTTCTATCTGCAAGGGTATATAAACTTCCGCGTGCCGAAGTTTGCTTCCTTTCTTATTTTTTATTAAAATCTTTTATTTCCAATTTTAAAGACTACATGTAAACAACACTCTTTCATTATCCCACATTTTTGTATACTTGTAGGGAAAGAAAAGTGTAGTATAAAATATATTAGTATTATAATTATGATGTATGTATGTGTATATATTAAAATACTAATAAAATAATGTATTATTAAAATACAAGATGCATATATTTAAACTTATATTAATGCCTTAAAATCTATTCGATTCGTATTAAACTCCGACCGCCGCATTTGATGAATTACCGCGGTAGGATTTATATTGCTTTACAATTGTTGATGCATGAAAGATGTAAACACATGTGAGGGTAATTTCTTGTACAGATAATGATGGTAATCGCGCACAGATGAATTTACTCTATATTATAGGAAACAAGTTCCAATTAACTAACATTATTGTTTTAATGCATTGGGCAATTCAGAAGAATCAATTTGAGCATAAGCATGTAAATTTATTATGTTTGTATGTATTTAATTCGCCTGCAAGGTGATAACAAACTAACATAATTGATTGAACTATAATTAGGTAAGGTATACTAACTTAATTTAATGGACGGAAATTGAAGATTATATAAAGTAGAATTTCAGTGGGATCTTTTCTGTTGTCTGTGGGACTTTGATAGAACTGATTTGAATATAAATTAAACATAAGCAATTAAATCATTAAATAAGCATAAAAAGCAACAAAACAAACTTTATTCTTAGCACAAAGCCGAGTTTTAACTAAAGAAAATAGGCTTTCGTTGCTATTTAGATCAGCGTTCGTTGTATAAAGTGTCAATGTCTCAAATAGCGCTAGGCTTGTCCTTAAGCTCAAATTGAATCTTCTGAAATATATCCTAGAATCGATCCTTCGACGTGGCGCTGTACTCCAGCTCGTTGAGGTTTTGGATTTCCTGTAACTCCTGAAATTTTTCGTGGTCGCGAATATGGGCATAATTGGCGGAGAGACACATCAAATAATGGACAAGACTAAGTATGACCAACAGAGTAGAAAGGGTGGCCAATATGAACATAACTTCAGCGTTTTCGACGCCGTCTTTGCAGAACGCCTTGATCTCGTACTTTTCGCAAACCTTCATATCCTCGAGTTTTGTATTTGGCGGAAACATGAAATCTGTAAAATCAACCAACAATATACATATATGTGATTTTAGCTGGTATAAAATCTTGTTTTTACTACATACGGAATTGTGTCAAATCAATGCAACTTTGCGAGTGCTCCACACTCGAGCACATGTTCCAGAACATCGTATATATAAATGTGACTACAACCAGAAAACAAAGGATCAAACTCCATACAAAGTTGAGCAGATAGGTAATTCCCATAAGAACTGCACAGGATATTCGACCTCCCACTCTCGATCGCCACGCTCTGTAAACCTTGTATCTGGTGGATCCGGTGGCTAAAAAGCCAACGAACAATATCATAAATCCGAGAGCAGCCATTCCAGCACCTATAATGACAAATATCATCTGCACGGCTTCGATCCTGTTAGGAGTTAAAGAGGAAATTAAATCTTATTCATCGTGAGCCAATGACTATTACTTACCATATCAGACGCAAATGGAAGACTTGATCAACCATTATGACGGTGAGTGAGGCTCCTCGATACATGGTGAAGCAAAAGATGCCCACTCCCAGGAGGCACATGAGTGTGGCTATCAAAGTGGCGTAAGGAATACGCGCCATGCATGATTGACAGCATTCTCCTGGAAAAATAAACATCGTTTCTTATTTAAGTAGAATCAAAGGCAATAAGTGTTATCGTTTGCAGAAGTGTTTTCCCTTTAAACACAAACAAATTTCAAGTCTAGTATACGCAAAAAGAATACTTAAATGTATGTACTGGCATTTCCATATACTGCTTATATTAATTACGATTTCTTCAAAGGCTTATTTTCTTTGCGAAACTTGCAATTATCCATATTTTGTGCTTAGTTTTTAAGGAAGTTTGTTCAATAATTGTATACATATTTCTTACAGACTAACATAAATAATTTCATTTATATCAAACTTTTAAAAAAAGTACCCTTTCGCACCGTTACAAGCCTGGGATAACCAAGGGCAAATAAGTTAATAATAAATAAGCTCTTGTGAGATACAAAATACATGTTTATGATTGATTACAGTAATTTCTTAAAGAGGAAATAAAACAATATCAAGGAAACAATACCTATTTCTTTATGATTTATGTATCTTTTGGTGAAAGTTAAATTTTAAGAATTTTAAGAAATTAAATACTAGCTGCGCGAAAATAAAATACAATGTAAGCAATAGAAAACAGGTACAGGTGAGGTACAAAAGAGGCACAGTTACGTACATATGTATGTGCATGGTATATCACACAAATATATACATACATACAAATATGTATATAATATATGTTGTACACCAGTTGCTTGTGAAAGCATAAAGGGAAAAATACAGTGATAAGATAATAGGTGAACCAGCGACAAACTGATGGCGTCCAGTGATTCACATAAAGCAATATAAGCGACAGGGTGTATACATACACACAACTCTTTAAGAATGAAGTGGTTTACTTGCACTGTAGGAATGTAGTTAAGTGCGACAACAAATTGTAAGATTCCTTGATTTCTGATCGTACCTTCGCCTCCGCGCTCTGTGTACCTGTCCAAGGAGTGATCCGATCGGTACGAATTTCTTCGCCTGTTTTGGATTGACGGATTGTACGGATTTCCGTTGTAGGCACGTGTCATGACTCCGCCATCGTCCTCGAAGTTCGTCTCGAGTAGGATCTCCTCGCGTGGATCGCGGATGCGGTCGCGGTTGTTACTCTTTCCCGGCATACTGCACAGCGATGTCTGAATTGCCTCGAGAGCTTTTCGGGAGGGGAGATGTTTTAGTCACTCAATTTCTATAGCCAGTAGTTTGATCGGCTAATAAAGATGAATCACATGCACACATATACATTTATATATGTGCACAACCGAAAGTTACCAATAAATATAATTAGTCTTTATAGTGAAACCAACGAACAACAACTGTTCCCGTAGAAAAGTTAGAATTCAGAGAGCTATGAATGGACAGTGGGAGCGACTGTAGGAGCGACTCTTAGAGCGTTAAAAAGATAACTGGCTTTGTTAAATGCTCATTCAAACAACTCTCTTCTCTTACCGATTCTCTTTATACGAAATGTGTACAGTGAAAAAAAAATTTAAACAAAAAAGGTAGTTAATTTTGTTAAATAATAAAAATTTATTTTGAGTATTTTTAACTTAATTAAATATATAATTCTAATTTATGTTTAAATTTTAAATACATATTTGATTATTTTAATAAGGAAAAATTCTTTTTATTTTAATATATATAAATAAACAAAAACGATAGGCCCAAATTTGCCATCTAATTTTGAATACCCCTTTTTAAAACATCGTATTTACTTAACTTTGTTACATTTTATTTAAGTGTATGAAAGGCGTATGGCTTTAATTAAATGAGACAATTAGTCCGAACTTTCTGAAAGAAGTTCAGTGCTGCAGTCGGGTTAAAGGGTCACACGAATAATGGGGAAAAAGAAAAGACACTTTAATCTTATACATATGTACATATGTACAGTTTGTCAAGTGATTCTTTGCAAAACGAAAAATCCCTCACAATTTTGGGTTTAAGCTGAAAATTTATTGACAAATACAAGAATTTTTAAAATTTTCTTTTATAATATTATTATGATAACTTTAATCTATAAATATAAAAAACAAAACTTAAATATTTTAACTTAAAACATAGTAAAAATAACAAAAACAAAAACATTGCAATTCGTATGCTGTCAATTAATTCTTTGCAATTTGCAAAGACGTTATAGTTTACCAAGGATAACTTATCTATTACATCTATTACAGCATGGAGGCGTCGCGACATTGGCATTATTAGCCCCTTCAAGTCGTAATATTCAGGAATTTTCTCCCATTTCTCCTGTATTACTTTAATTAAACCCTTTTTATTTGTTGGAGTCCGTTTAGTCACTTTCTTTTCCAAAAAATTGTTATTCATATTTGTATCTGGGCTTTCCGCAGGAGTGTCAATGACTTTTTTGCAATTAACAGGAGCCAGGTCCTGCACAGCTGCGATTTGAACTGTAGTTTGTTTTCCTGGTGCAGTTAATATTTATTTCTTTTTGGACAAGTTACGTCATGCAGACCAAATTTCTCCGCTCTTCTGGTCAATTCCTTTTTAAGGATGTCCAAATAAAACTCCTTCGTCATTATATCATTAAAAATCCGCAGCTCACCAACTCCTTTGGATGATATGCACCCCCTTATCATCACAGAAAACTTGCAAAATTTGAATGTTGGTATGATATTCTTCGGCAGGACACCTGTGTTTGGTTTCCTCCAAACTTTATTGGGTCAGCCATGAGTGTATATGTATATATACACAAAATTTACAAATATATGTGTATATTTTAGTCTCGTCACAAAAAAAAACTTCATCCCCATACTCAGGAGGCTGGTTAACGTGGCCGATAGAGAAATTAAACCGCCTTTCAATATTTATAGCTGAAAGCATTGGTTTCTTCCTGGCAATGTGTGAGGAGTATTTGTGGAGATTCAGGACTTTCCTCACAGTCTCATGGCAACCTGTTTTTCTGCAATAATTTTATAAGTCCAAAGCCAACTTTCTGAGGGTTGTTGGCGGGTTTTTATCAATTTGTTTCGAAATTTTATAATGGTCGCGTTTGGAGAGCTTTTGGTAATCTGCCTGTATAATTGTACAGGTCTAGTCTATTTTTCTTTTTAGACCGTTTAATTATTTTATACATTGTTCCTAACTTAATATCAAAAATTTCGGAATGTTCCGACGCCGATTACCCTTTATAATGGTTAAAGTAAACCAATTCTATTTTATTATCGTCAATTCGTTTGCCGGGCATGATTAAAATTTTGGACTCGATCAAACACGAACTTTTTCCAACGAAATTTTTCAAGAATATAAAAGTAAAGACCACTAAGAAGTGGCAAGCGTTAATTTTCCGCAGAATTTGCTTTGCGTTGCTTAATTCTAGGAACCTCTTCAACTCCTGTTTGCATTTTGCAAAGAATTAATTGACAGCATACGAATGGCAATGTTTTTGTTTTTGCTATTTTTTACCATGTTTTAAGTTAAAATATTTAAGTTTTGTTTTTATATTCATATATTAAAGTTATCCTAATAATATTATAAAAGAAAATTTTAAAAAATTCTTGTATTTGTCAATAAATTTTCAGCTTAAACCCAAAATTGTGAGGGATTTTTCGTTTTGCAAAGAATTACTTGACAAACTGTATGTAATTTTCAAAACTAAAGCGATAAACAATATTAAACAATAAACTGTTTGATCTTTTCTTATTTTGTAGCCAAATAAAAAGGTGTACAAATGTATTAGTTTTGTATTTAATTTTAATAAATTGAAACTCCTTTATTCCTACTGTAGGGCTTTAACAAAAATAAAACAAGAAAGGAAGCTAACTTCGGCACGCCGCAGTTTATATACCCTTGCAGATAGAATTTCGATGACTAGGAATCCATACAATATAAAATATATAAAAAACAATGAAGTAATACCTGCTTTTATTTCATTCACCTATACATATTATATTTTCAGTTTTACATTCACAGATTTGCATTTTTGCTCCACATCTAACGATGTGATATAGTCGTCCGATTTTCATAAAATTTGACACAAAATTTAAGACTGATATAAAATGGCTATATCTTAAATATAATGAAAAACTGCTGAAAACTTAAAACGTTATAATTTTTAATTGTATTCATTTTTTTATCGTTCCTATGGCAGCTATTTGATATTGTAGTCCGGTTTTTTATAACTTTACACAAAATTGAAGATTAAAATAAAATGGCTATATCTCATATTTTATGAAAATCTGGTGAAAACTAAAGAAGTTATAATCTTTAATTTTATTAATTTCTTTTATTTCTTATAAAATGGCTATGTATCAAATTTGATGAAAATCTGTTGAAAACTGAAAATGTTATACTTTTTAATTGAATTAATTTCTCGATCGTTCCTATGGGAGCTATATGATATAGTCGTCCAATTTTCATAAAATTTTACACAAAATTGTAGAATAATATGAAATGGCTATATCTTAAATTTGATTAAATTCTCTTGAAAACTAAAAATGTTATCGCCACTGCGATTGTCAGTCTTCCGACAACAGCCACCGCCATTCTCATTCCTCTCAAATTTCTCGATCGTTCCTATGGGAGCTATATGATATAGTCGTCCAATTTTCATAAAATTTTACACAAAATTTTAGAATAATATGAAACGACTATATCTCAAATTTTATCAAATTCTGTTGAAAACTAAAAATGTTATAATTTTTCTTGTAAAAATTTTCCGATCATTCCTATAGCAGCTATATGATATAGTCGTCCGATCCGACACGTTCCGACATATATACGAGTGAGAGTATATAGAAGACTAACTGCAAAGTTTCATTCAGATAGCTTCAAAACTGAGAGATTATTTTGCGTAGAAACGGACAGACGGACTGACGGACATGGCTAGATCGACTCGGCTGTTGATCCTGATCAAGAATATATATACTTTATATAGTCGGAGGTGCCTCCTTCACTGCGTTGCAAACTTCTGACTGAAATTATAATACCCTGCAAGGGTATAAAAACATAAAATATGAAGACATAAGTATGTTGTATACCCAAACATTTTATATACGGATTTGATTTACCCGTGATAACAACTGATGGTACGAAGTAAAAATGTTAATCTTATTTCATTTCGGATTATAGTATTAAAGAAAAAAATTTAAATTTCATACAAATATCTTTTCAATGGTCATAATAAAATCCTCATGTTTATATAAAATTAAATTAATTTTTAATGAGAATTTAAAGAAAGTCTACTTCAATTCTCAGTTAAAACTGGCGGTGAGCGACCCTAGAAAAGCAAATTAGACTACCAGCTGACGTCCTGCCAGCAACGGGCGACTGAAGAGCCATTTAGATGCATCCGCCTTTGAGGGATTCTCACCGGAACTCCCGCGGTGTCTGTAGGAGACGAAACGAAAATTGCCACCAAGACTCTGGCACAAATGCCAAGCCCGAGATGCCAATGACACCAAGACACAAGCGCAGGCTTGGAATAAGTGCAAAACATTAATTCCGGTAGCGTGCAATGACTCTTAGAGACCGAATATAATAATAATAGCTAGAGCGTAAATAAAATAGGACAGGGAGACAATTTTTAAAGACCGACTTTAAAATACTCTGAGGAATCCTAATGTAAATTGAATGCCGAAAGTCGCATTAAATAAAAATCATTTTTACGCTACAGTATTACCAAAGACATAAGACACTGTAATGTCTTTGGTATTACACAGCTCTGATTGACAATTGATTTGAAATCAACTGTCGGACACCCTGTTACCAACGCATTGTTCAACCAAGTTAAAATATAGCCATGTCCGTCTGTCCGTTTTTACCCACACTAGTCTCTAAGTTTTAAGCTATTTGAATATATATACTCTATAACTCTCACTCGTATATAAGTCGGAACGGACCGGATCGGACGACTATATCATATAGGGGCAATCGTAAATGTTGTATAGTTTTCAGTTTTTCGGTTTTCAATCGATTTTTATATAATCGTCGATGTAGTCATTTTGTAATATTCTAGAATTTTATGAAAATTGGACTCTGTATAACGTAGAATCGACCGAGAAAATAATAAAAAAAAAACACTTAGATGTTTTCCAAAATATTTTTATCTACTCAGACAGAGATATAGCCTTTTTTATTATTTCAGAATTTTGAATTTAATTTAATGAAAATCGATCGACTATATCATATATGTACATACATATGTATGGGCAATTATCTGGTGTCGAATGCGACATTCGTACGCATTCAAACTAAAAAAACACATGTGCCAAGACTTTATTTTAATTTTATAAAAATTGAAACGTATAGCTCTTGGTTAGCACTATAATAGATGCTAAAGTCGATTTTGAACCCTTGTTTGTTTTCAAGATATTCACTAAAATGTACTGCGTTCTCACCCGACAACAGTAGAAGTGTGCAAAAAACCAGTTTAAGCTCTGATTTCAGCGAAACGTAATGAAAATTGTAGTACAATAAATTTTAATGAATTACGCAATGAATTATCTTACTAACGTATTTTGTTTGATTTTAAAATATTAAGTGGTTATTTTTTAAATTCAAATTTAGGCCCGGTCGCACGCGACAGTTTGGAAAGCGATAATTCAAACTAAAACTACGAATATTGGTGATCGCATATATCCTTTTGCACTTTATATTGCCTATTTGGGTTTTTTATGTCATATTATGTGATCTTCCTGACCAATTTTTTATGTCATCATGTTAAAAATACTCGTTTTTAAGCAATTTTAAGTTTTTCCGCGGTGCAGCAAATCTGTAACTTTTAAACCGTAAATACTGTATGTATAGATGAATGTAATGAAAATAGGCATTACTTCATTGTTTTTTACATATATACTTTTAATTTTAATTGTATTTGTTATTAATAATTGAAATGCAATCTGCAGGGGTATAAAAAGATCGGCGTGCCGAAGTTAGCTCCCATTCCCATTCCCAGTATTTAATTCTAGCATCTTAACAAAGGGGAATATATTAGCTAAGATAAAGTTAAAATAGTTTTTGAAGGATATAAAAAGTACTTAAATTTTTTAAGTTTCTCGTATTTATACGATTATATTCCGATTCTATTTAATAAATATTTTCGAAAAGATCCATGTACGTCTGTGAGTTTCATATTGGATATGCAAGTGAAACAAAACAAAAAATTACTGTATATTGCTCAGAAATGAAATATTTTGTAATTAATTTGTTACCCTTTGGTTCAATAAGAAAAGGGTATTAGTAAATTTCACTGCTTTTAGTGGGTTCTTTTTTAGCTTTTAACTTAAATTCATAATTAGCTCATTTTAATACTTTAAAGTTGTATTTTTTTGTTCCAAACAATTATATCTTTGATTTAAAATTGTATACTTATAAAAACGAAAAAATAATATTCACATTTTTATTGTGACTTCAAATTGTAGGTCAATCAGAACTAGCATAACGTTGGCAGGCACAAACAAAAACAAATGTATGTATGTATGTACATATTTATGTATGTATCCAAATCACATCAGGTTACAACTTAATTTAGGCTTCCCAAAAACTTCAGATAAGTTAATTTGTTCCCAAAAGTCTTTGAACCAAGACTGAAAGTTCACTTACCCATTTTTATGGCAGTTGTATTAACTTGTATTAACTTTTAGTTAAAATTTAATCATTTATATTCGTGAAATGGCAATGCAACTGTTTCTTTCATGCAGCGCTATTCACGACTTGAGTTTCAATTATTGAAGACTTTTTCATGTAAATGTATGTTTGTATGTACACTAAGTAAACTCAAAACTGGTTTTAGGGTGTGCACTTCTTAATGAAAGTCGCGCTTTAACTAGCTGTACCCGAAAAAACTTCGTTTATATCCAAATATCACTCAAAGCGTCCCGTTAATTCTTTATTGTTCGCGTTACATTCATTTAATATCCTACTTCTTTTAACTTCAGTCGCCAAACAACACGGGTTTCTATAAGATTCCAACTTTGAGCTGGTACCAATCGAGTACGTATTCGATGTTTTATATTTGCACTTATAATCGATTTTCTGATAGTTGTCATTCATCGAACAAAAACAACCTGTTTCCGCTGTAGCGACTTAGCAGTCGTGTCACGAATCAGGCATAGAGGTGCAGTATTGTGCATTTTTAAACGATTCTGAAATAATGCAGAAACGAAAAAACAGGGTCATCCATTGTGAAAGTCTATTAAAGCAGTGAAATGTCAACCGCTAAAATTTCAACCTAAAACTATGTCGGATGACTTGGATGGGACCATTGAATGAATAATCAATTTTTACGGGTACAACTGTTTTTAGTTACCGGCATTTTCAGTCGTTCAGTCGGATGGGAAATAAAAATTAAATTACTTTTTTAAGTTTAATTTGTTTATATTCTTCATAGGGTGGTATTTTGCAGAGACCTCATTCTACGACCCACCACTAGTCGTGTGTCTTTGCTATCGCAGGCCATCCGATAGTTGTTCTGCTCCATAGAGTATGTTTTTTGCTTTAACGTGAATATTATTACAATTTGCACAGAGAACTAAAGACTTGCAGACCTACAAGATCGGGTTTTAAAATGTCGTAAAGTTTCCAAAGCGTACCGATCCCGAGATTAGCAGCTCCCGCTCCCCGATATCAGGAGGGTTTCAAGAAATGTCAAGAACGTGAGTGCGGATTTGAAACCGGCCTTCCATTTTCCGTATTTATTGTACTTGTTGTTGTGGCACTGCACTCCAGAACTTGACGAAACATATTTGCTGATGTGTTTTGGCGAAAAGAAGCGCATTGAACCGCCGTATTAGCTTACGCAAGCAACTGGCCATTAGGGGTCTTCTCGATGACCGGCCTCTGAAAACCGAGAGTCCATCAGATCGTTCGTGAAATAATATTATCAGCATGCTTCACCTACTGCTACTTTTTCTGGCGGCCACGGGGGTCTCTGCCGAGGATTCATTGCAACGCATACGACGGGCCGCCATTGCCGGGGAAAAAGATCCTGCCCAGGCCATGCACAAAATCATTGATCTGGCCGACTGCCAGGACTTAAAAAAGCTCTGCACGCACCAGAAGTCCACAGATAACCTGTCCATGCTGGAGTGCGCGCTTACCTTTAGCTCTAGTCAGTTGGAGGAGCTTTCCGAGAGCTGTCAGCACGAGCTGTGGCTGCAACAGCGCCAGTTGCAGCTACCCGCCTGGATAGAGAACACTTTTCTTCCTGCATACTGCCCGGCAGAGCAGTCCAAGCTGGAGAGCTGTTTAAACTCTGTGCACATGTGGAGCTGCCTGGACCAGCAGCGATTGAAGTTGCCCCAAAACAACGCATGTCACCAGCATTTGCGAAGGGGTTACGAGGCTTTGGGTCAGGACTACAGCGCTGTGGATGAGTTTTACAGCGCTTGCGGCTCGCTCGTGGAGGAGCACAAGTGCGGGCGGCTAAACATCGACCACTTGCCATCGGTGCTGGCGCAGCTTGGGACGGTGCAATGCCTCCAGTCGAGCGCAGATAAGTCCAACATTGAGCCAGTCTGCATGAGCGCCATTAGCTCTATCGAGCTGCAGCGAGGCATGTTGGAACTTTTCCGGGTTTGTCAGAATGATCTCGCGGCTCTGTGCCCACAGGTAAGGAAATCAGATATGCAATATTAGATATGAAATTTTGTGAAACTTAATTTTTCTTTATTATACAGGAGAAGGTCGGAACTGCTGGTGCTTTTAAATGCTTAGTTCGGCACAAGAACCATTCTGCGATGACGCCGCAGTGTGCCTCTCAGATAACGCAGCGGGATCAGCAGATGGGTCGTGATTACCGAGTTTCGCATGGATTGGCCAAGGCCTGCAAGGAAGATATTAAGTTGTACCACTGCCGGCGTGGCGTCTCCGAGGACAAGCACGTGCGATTGGCTCAGATCTTACTCTGCTTGGAGTCGGTTTCCAAAAATGGGACCAGGTTAGCGCCCGCCTGTCTCACAGAGCTAATTGATCACCGTCGCATGCTGATGACGGACTATCAGCTTTCGCCAGAGCTTTTGAACGATTGCGCTGATGACATACCCAAGTTCTGTCCGGACGAGCACAAGGCGCAACTGGTGAATGGAGTGTCTAGTACAGGTGGCGAGATAATCCACTGCCTGCTGGAGCACGTCAAGGCCAGGCGGCAACAGCGACGAGTGACTGCCCAGTGCCAGCGCGGATTGGAGACTCTAATCAAGGTGAGCGATGCCGGTGAGGATTGGCGTGTGGATCCAGTGCTAAGAAGAGCCTGCAAACCAGTTGTGGATGTGGCCTGCAAAGATGTAGAGGGCGGTGAAGCGCGCGTCATGAGCTGCCTTGTAGAGCGCATCGGAACCCCAGTAATGCTCCCGGATTGCGAGCAGGCACTCCTTATTATCGAGTACTTCGTAGCCAGAGATTTTAAATTGGATCCCCAGCTCTACAAGCACTGTCGCGATGACGCAGTTAAATACTGCCGAGCAAAGAGGCAGTGGGACGATGTACAGAACATACAAATGGATCCGGAGAGAGGGCCTATGATACTGCCCTGCCTGCACCGTATGGCCTTTAGCGAGGATGAGACCCAGACATTACGAAAGGACTGTTTTAAGGAGGTCAAGCGGGTGATGCGTCAAAGAGCCATATCTATGGACCTTATGCCCGAAGTTGAAGATTACTGCCTTAATGACCTTTCGCTGTTCTGCGCGGATTGCACAGAAAAGGGCAGCGAAATGGAGTGCCTACAAAAGAACATGGACCAGCTGCAGGCGGAGTGCAAAACAGTTGTGGTTAAGTACACGGAGGAGGAGGCAGCCCACGTCGAACTTAATCCTGTCATAATGACTGTCTGTGGCGAGGCCATGCAGCAGCACTGCTCAGATATCCTCAAGAGTGGAAAGGATAATGGTAAGGAATAAAAGTAAATTCCTTAAAAGACCAAAATAAATGTATAAATTTACCTCAATCTTCACCAGGCGACATGATGGACTGTCTCATTGCACACAAAAACGATGCTGATCTACGGAAGGATCTCCGTTGCCGTGCTGCAATCGAACACTTTCAGATTATCTCACTGAAAAACTTCCATTTCACCACCAAGTTTAAGGAAGCGTGTCGACCGTTCGTGCAGCGCTTTTGTTCCTCCAGCGCCACTAAAAACGAAGTGGTGGCCTGCCTTAGCGAGGTAATGAGAAACGATACAATCAAGGCGCAGCGTCATCAAATACCCAAGGAATGCCGCCACCAGGTGAAAGCGCAGCTCTACCAGCAGCGCGAGAGCATGCAGCTGGATCCCAAGCTGGCCAATGCCTGCAAGCGGGAGCTTGAGCAGTTCTGTGAGGACCAAAAGGGGCCCGGTCAGGTGAATGAAAAAGCAAGTTGTCATAGTCATCCCTAACACCACTTTTTCGCATTACCACAAGGAAACAGCTATACACATCTTCGCAAAAGCAAGCGAAAAAATAATTTAACTCATAGCAAACGCAGCAATTGATGAAATGCTTTCTTGCAAAAACCCAAATCACCCATAAAAAATAAGTTACCAACGAAACTCCTATAATAATAAGTTAAATAACGCAATACGATTTATATACCCTTGCAGGGCATTATTATTTCACTTAGAAGTTTGCAACGCTGTGAAGGAGTCATATTCATACATATGAAGTATATATACTATTAATCAGAATCAGAAACCGAGTCTAGCCATGTCCGTCTACCTGTCTGTCTGTCCGTTATTGCGCAAACTTGGCTCTCAGTTTTGATGCTAACTTAATGAAACTTTGCAGTTAGTCTTCTATACACTCTTAGTCCTCTATAAGGCGGAACGGGCCGAATTGGACGACAATATCGTATAGCAGAAAATAGACAAATAGCCAATTTGTATAATTCCAAAAATTAAAAAAAATAGGAACTCTGAATCATATAGCTGTTATGGGAACAATCGAGAAATTAATACAATTAAAAATTATAACTTTTTTAGTTTTTACCAAATTTGAGATATTAAATTTCCTTTTAATATTTTATGAAAATTGGAAGACTACCTCATATAGCTGCCATAGAAACTATCGTTAAATGTAAAGGAAAATATAATAATTTTAGGTGACTGTAATAAGAGTAGGAATGACTTCGTTGTTTTTTAAATCAAACATATTTAATTTACATTGTATTGATCAAATTGCACCCTGCAAGTTAGCTGTCTTTCTTGTTTTGCACTTGATTTTTTGTGCTGGCTCTAGACTTGTTCCCAAGGTATTTAAACCACAGGAAGCCAAAGCGCATAAGAGCCTCGACAGTCGACAACTGTACATCAATCATTCTTTTCGCATACATACGCACTTTGGCATGAATCTTGTTATTATAAGGTCTATGTTACCACTCTATATATTGTAAAAATTTTTATTGCAGGCCTTGGAGTGTCTAGTGAGGAAGACGACCAGTTTGGGCAAGCCCTGTCACCATGCCATTTTCTTAGTGAAGAAATCTGAGTTGGGCGACAGCGGTACCGACTATACGCTTCTTAACACGTGCAAGGATATGATCTATAAATTCTGCCCCAAAATTGATTCGGTTAAACTGCTCGACTGCCTCAAGACGTACAAAGATGACACGCAGTTCGACCAGCGGTGTCATCTAGTTGTAGTCAATCGCATGATCGAGCAAAATACAGATTTTCGGTTCAATCCCTCGCTGCAGACCGCCTGTGGTAAGAACATTGACCGGTATTGCTCGAACATTGTAGCCAGCGCCTTACCCAACGAGGAGCTCAATGGAAAGGTGAGTTTAAATAATTTCGAAATCATATATGTAAATAAGTTATTTATTTTAAGCAAGGTTCAAGATATTAATTTTCTAAATCTAATACAATTTGCTTACAACTTTTAAACAGAGGCAATATCAAACTTAAGTACTAAGTTTTAACATATAATTTTTTTTAAGGAGATTTTTCTTGTTTTCCCTTAAATTATATATATTTAAAGTATTAACGGCCATTAAAACTCCACATCATTTCGCTGTAGTCTGTCATTGTCTGGATCATCAATTGCCGCTGTCAGAGATTCCAACAAATCTTCACCTTTAGTTATATTTAAATTGAGTTTATTATATGGACCACTTGGACTGGTCAAGGCACTAAGTCCCTTAGGCACACCATCTATGGCAAACGATGTCCATAACTCCACCATTTTTTGGGACATCAATGTGTCTTGCCCTCTAAGAGGATGGGTGGCGAAAAGATATATGTTGTCATTGGAGTGGTGAACACCTCCATTGAATGGATAGTGGGAGTTGCCGAACTCGTAGCCAAAGCGAGTAAATTCGCCTTCGTACTCGAAACTATACACGTAAACCGGCGTCGTAGGCTGTTGGGCAAGGATTTTGCTGGCCAGAGTTATCACTGGGGACTTCATGTAGATTGTCGAAGTGAGCTGCATAAAATTATGTTTTAGATTCCGTTGAAATATGTGTTTTCATAACAATTTTAATCAATACTTATTAGCAACTTACATCAAAGTATGAAGGCACAGCAAGTTTGTGGTCATTACTGTTAAGAACTGCTGGCTTGAAAAGCATTTTATGTAGTAAATTATCTGTCAGTCCGGTCTTATCGTCGATTAACATGTTATTGATGCCCTGAGAAATCTGGCGGACGCTCAATGAACTTACATTTGATATCTTGGTGATCAGAGCATCATAAAAGCCTAAAAAGTATGTAAAAGAATATAATGAACATTTTATTAAATTTACTTTTTGTTTAATTAATTATTATATTGCAACAAAACCTCTCTTAAAAGGTCAAAATAAAATTGACAGTTCCACCTTCAACTCCAAAATTTTCTTATATCTATTTTGGTGACGTGCGTGCACGTTATGTTGGTATTTAATTATCCCTTGCCAGGGTATTATAATTTTAGTCAAAAGCAGTGAAGGAGACATTTTCAACCATATACAGTATATATATTCTTGATCAGGATCAACACCCTTATCGATCTAGCCAGTTTACGATTAATCTTCTATACACTCTCACTAGTTTATAAGGCGGAACGGGCCGGATCGGACGACTATATAATGTTGCTGCCAAGAAAATTTTAAGAAAAAAAAAATATTTATCCAGTTTTCAACATATTTGCATATAATTTTAGATAGTGCCATTTTTAATTAATTTAAAATTTTAGTTGCCATTTTATAAAAATTGAACTACTATATCGTATAGCTGTCATAGGAACGTTCGGAAAATTAATACATCAAAAATTATACATTCGCTGTTTTTCAACATGTTTTCATCTTCTCTAAGATATAGCAATTTGGCATTTTTCAGAATTTAGATTTTAATTTTCTACGAACGATCGTTAGATATAGAGGAAAATTCAACGCTGTAAATCTAAAACTGTTATTCTAAAACTGTAAATATAATAATTTTAAGTTTATTATAATCAAAGTAGGCATTACTTCGTTATTTTTATACCCTTGTAGGGTATTATAATTTCAGTCAGAAGTTTGCAACGCAGTGAAGGAGGCACCTCCGACCATATAAAGTATATATATTCTTGATCAGGATCAACAGCCGAGTCGATCTAGCCATGTCCGTCTGTCCGTTTCTACGCAAACTAGTCTCTCAGTTTTGAAGCTATCTGAATGAAACTTTGTGGTTAGCCTTCTATATATTCTCACTCGTATATATGTCGGAACGGGCCGGATCGGACGACTATATCATATAGCTGCCATAGGAATGCTCCTAAAATTTTTGCAAAAAAATTTTTAACATTTTCAGTTTTCAATAGAATTGGATCAAATTTAAAATATAGCCATTTTATATATATTTTTTATACTTTTCAATTTTGTTTAACATTTTATGAAAATCGGACTACAATATCATATAGCTCCCATAGGAACGATCAAGAAATTAATACAATTAAAAATTATAATTTTTTCAGTTTTCAACAGATATTCATCAAATTTGTTTTTTAACACAAATATGTATAATTTATATGGTATGGATTCCTAGTAATAGAATTTCTATCTGCAAGGGTATATAAACTTCGGCAGAATGGAAGCTTTCTTATTTAACATTAATATATAAAATTTATGTTGTACTAATTCCTAATGATCGAATTGCAATCTCCAAACTTCGGCACGCTGAGGCTAGCTTCCTTTCTTATTGGTTTTAAAAAATATTATAGCAATTTGTCTAAGTTTGAAATACACTTTTAAATCTACTTTTGTTTTGTTTGAGTAATACTTTCGCAAGAGGTTTGTATCCTCTCAAATGTTTTGTTTTCTAAAGCCACGAGTCATAGATAGCTAATTTTTTAGTTATTCTTAACAAACATAGTTTCTTTTGGAAAAAAATAATTAATGCTGGGCCAGAATAATACGTGCTACTTTGTTAAAGCAGAGCTTATGTCATTACAGCGGTGCAGAAAAAATATATAAGTGAGAAAAACCTATTTTTAAAACTAGAACTGTTACTTACTTGCTAGTACAAAAGATCCATCATGTTCTGTAAACCCGGTTATTAGGGGGATTTTCCTTTGATAATTCTTTACCAATTCACTTGGATGATGTGACAGGATTCCTTGTAAATCCCCCATTACTGGCGAAAATGTCTCCGTTGTCGTGGCCTTTAATATATCTACAACTTTGGCGTGTCGTAAACATTTATAAAACTGCTCATTCTCGTCGCAATTGAGGCAACCCAACTGGCTACAGATTCGTCGAGCCTGTCCCACTGGGTCCTTGTTTATGGCCCAATGGGCTAAAATTGAACCAGATTGCACAATCGCTTGCTGAAATAGATTCTCTCCAGTTTTGGGACTCAACAGCAAAGCGCTGGCAACTCCGGCTCCGGCGCTCTGGCCAAAAATGGTTACTTTCTTTGGGTTACCACCAAACCGACTTATATGCAGTTGCACCCACTCCAGGCCCATTAAAATATCCGCAATTGGGGCATTTCCGGGAAACTCTTTTGTGTAGGTCGACAACCAGCCCAATGCTCCCACGCGATAATGAGGTACGACTAGAACAATATCTTTCTCCAAAAGATAGTTGGGTGGATGATCCTCTGCGGAGCCATTGTAGTATCCTCCACCATAGATGTAGAACATAACAGGATGGTTGGCAGTAAGCTGTAATGGTCGATCAAAAATATTTACTTACCAGTTTCAGTGCAAATATGTATTTGCTTTGCTGATAATTTACTAATATAAATACTTACGCAACGTGGTTGCAAAATTACCTTTAGATCTAAAAGTATTTACCAATCTTATACTTACATTTTTTGTATAGACTGACAAGTTAAGACAATCTTCTAGTTCAGCATCAGACAAGTCGCCATCCAGATTGCTTATCACCGGGCAACGTTGACCAAAGTTCAATGTGCTGATAGTGTTCGTCCAGGGGGATCTGGCCACAGGTGGCTATCATAGCCCAGAATAGAGAGTATAAGGCATTATAATCCGTCATAGACCCACTTATCAGCTAATACGACGTAATTCACAAAAGTAATTAAGGCTCAAAAGGTTGCAAAAATAACAATATAATTAAAATGTAAGGATTATATTCAATTATTTCATATAAGATGAATACGCTTTAGTATCTAGAATTTGATACGATTTTCAATTCGATGACTAGGGTTGTAAAACAAAATTTGTTTTACCATATACTTCAAATACTGAACTCTTATATTTTTTCTCTTGCAACACACTAAGTTAAGTTAATCTGACATTCTTCGATGTCTATGAAATGGGATACTTCGGAACTAAACTTCAAACTGCACTGGAATTGACTTACCAGAAAACGCAGCCTATCAACTGGTGGCTCGGCATAGGGAATGCCACGGAATTGCATAAAAGTCTGATCTGTCCAAGCGGTTCTCCCGTAATTTCCGAGAACTTTCCCCTGGTTGTTGGATAAATCCACAGTCACCGTTTGTGTAACTGCGTCTGCCCCGCCGTAGTTCCCGGTGAGAGAGATCACCAGCACAGCGGTTAGTGCAGCACCCACCACACCGCACAGCGTCAACATAACGTATACGCCTCGTCTACGCATAGCACTGGACTGATTTCGACTTTGAACAACAGCGAAAACCAAATGATTGTTGAACGAATGGTAGGCATGACTGAGGAGAGCCATTCACGGTGACGTGCCTGTAACGAAAAACGCTTCTTTGCTTGGGCAATACAGTGATGGACAGAAGAATAGAAATCGACATCTGTTGTTTACCAAACAAAAAATAAAAATCGAAGGAAGCCACGGTCAATTCTCATAAAAGCAAAATAAATAATTTAAGTTGGTCAGACATGGATAAATTTATTAATTGCATTACTATATATGTTCTTATTTCACTTCGTATACCTTAAAATAATCCCATAGAAACGAGCGAGAAATTAATACAATTAAAAAGTATAACTTTTTCAGTTTTGAACAGATTTTCATCAAATTTCAGATATAGCCATTTTATATGATTCTACAATTGTATGTGTTTATGACAATCGGACGACTATATCATGTAGGTGCTATACAAACGATCGTTAGATGTAGATGAAAAATGCAAATCTGTGAATCTAAAACTGTAAATATGAATGAAATGAAAGCAGGTATTACTTCATTGATTTTTAACATAAATGTATTTAATTTATCATCGAAGTTCTATCTGCAAGGGTATATAAACTTCGGCGTGGCGAAGTAAGCTTTCTTGTTTTTATTTAAAATATTCACTTATATCTATTCTATTTTTGTTTCCGTCATTGTATGTATTTACGCTGAATTCCTAATCATGAATATTTTCTTATCTGCATAACGTAATTTAATTAAATTCTTGTCAATTCAACAGACATTTAATAAAAGATTAAGCTGCTGAACGAGACAATTACTATCTCGTTTTTTATAGTAATTTGTTATCTTAATTACCTCTTAAATCGCAATTTGATATTAATTCCTAATTCTTTTAAACTTGTTAATAAAATGTGAAAAGTTTCTTATAATAAAATAAATACAATTGTAGAAACAATATTGTAATGTATTAATTAAAGGTCTATTTGTCAGAACCTTATATAGAAGAGCGTATTATTTACCTTTTAATTGAAAAAATTAGTTTATTGATAAGTAATTTACTTTTAATTGCTTTCAATTAAACGGTTATTTGTTCAATTGCTTTGCAGGTTATTCACTGTCTTAAAGACAAGTTCCGGCAATCGGCGCTAGACGAGCCATGCGCTCAGGAAATGATAAAGATTCTGCAGGATCAGGCCCTTAACTACAAACTGAATCCCCTGCTTCAAGTATTCTGCAAGTCAGAGATACAGGAACTGTGTAAGGCCAACATGGAAGCCGACGAGCACGGCCAGGTGGCAGAGTGCTTAAAAACGGCCTTTTTGCAAAAGCAGATCATCAATAGACAGTGCCAGGTGGAGGTCGCCACACTGATCGCCGAAGCTAAGGCCGACATCCATGTCGATCCCATTCTGGAGAATGCCTGTATCGTCGACTTACTCCGGTACTGCTCCAAAGTGGCGGCCGGCAACGGTCGAAGTGAGTAGCTCTAAAATCTGACATTTATTGATTTTCAGTAATTGTTCCATTTATTTAAATATTACAGAGTTGAGCTGTCTAAGAACTCTGTTGAAAGACACTCCCAACTCGCTTGAAGCGGATTGTCGCGAGAAGCTGGAGCGTCGCATCGAGATGTTCCACAATGCGGACGATACGCTAGCTCTGCCCCCGGAGGATGTGCAGCAACTGGTTCAGCAGGTGGTCGCATCGCCGGCGCGCAAATTCTTCCTTGTGATACTAATGAGCGCAACCGGAATGGTCTTCCTCACCGGCATTTTCTTGGGAAGGGCCACCAAACGTGCAATGGGCTTAAAGAATAAATAAGAACATAAATAGTCTTAGAATGTAGTTGCTGTGTGTAACTGGAGTGTGCATGTCTGTGAGCTTGTTGTTTTCCATTTGGCTAACCCATGACCCGGATTTAATCATCCCCTGCCCTCCCATCACCGTCCCCTCACTCTGCCTGCCTTTTGAATATTTTTATAAGCAATTCGTGGCCTAATCGTGTATAAGACCAAAACATAAGCGAAAAAAGATTAAATGATAATATATGATAGTTCCATTCTTAGGACCTTCTTTTGTGTTATAATTCTTTTTATAAACATTTTTCCTGTACATTAAATAGTATTTTTGTAAACAATCTATCTTGCATTTTAAATACGCAATTGGGCAACAGGTATGTTTAATTTGAAGAATGAAAACACACAGAAACAGGAAAAACTATTAAATAAGTACCATTTTTATTTATTATTAATTACAGAAAGTAAATTGATTAAGCAATTTTACGTTTAATTTATAAATCAAATACACAACGGGCCGTTAAAATGGGATTTGGTTAGGGTGCTCAACAGGTGGCTTGGTATTTTATTGCCTTAGTATATTTCTGTAAGCAGCTTGGTATATTTTGTGGACACACATTGGTATTTGCCAGTATGACCAGCTGCCGCGGAGGTATAAATCTGCTATTTTTCTGTGGGAGTGTAGCATTGCAATCGGAAAGCCTGGCAAACGCTGCCATTGTTCGCGAGAAAAAAGGTTCAAGCAAGCTAAACGAGTCTAAGAATATTGCACTAAATCGTCGGTAGTGTATAACCATAGTGCCCTAAAAAAGTGATCTTTTAAAAGTTTAATAATGGTGATGACTGAATTCCTATAAGAATTAGCAAGACCCAAGTAAGCAGACCAATTCATTCACATTGCCACACACCAACACAAATGCAGTGAAAACGAGTTCTAGTAAATAGCTAACGTAGCAGAAGTGCTCACAGTCGCGGTCAAGATAATAGAAAGCTTGATTTTAAGTCCACTTAAAGACTTGGTATATAAAAAGAAAAATATCACGCGTTCATGCTTTCGGAACTAATCGGAAGCGGGGTATATTCAAATTATTTTTTAATAAAAAAAAATCTAGTATCTCTTAAAAAAGTATTACTTCAATTCTTAACAATGCTTGGGAAGTCGCAGGCTTATCTTTATTTATTCTTAAAACCAAAAGCCTAATGTATTAAAAATAATAATTCTTCTTAATAATAAACATATATATATTTTTTTTAAGTTTACGCCTATTTATACGCCGAGTTCTGTATAAACCAACAATGGACGGCGTTAAGGTTGAGGCGTTCATCAAAAGCGAAGGTAAGTCCGTACGACTGGTCGCAGTCGAGTCAATGCACCTTGGAACCCAGTCTGACATTGCCATTGCCCTCTGACCTTGTAGAAAACCGAGGAGCGATGACTCTGATTGGAAGTAGCAGTGCGTCGGGCGGCGCCCCTTCAGTGGGAGTGGGCAGCGGTGCAGGAGCCGTGGGAATCGGAGCATCCGCCACGTTGAGCGTGGAACTGTGTCTAGTGTGTGGAGACCGCGCCTCCGGGCGCCACTACGGCGCCATCAGCTGCGAGGGCTGCAAGGGCTTCTTCAAACGCTCTATCCGCAAGCAGCTGGGCTACCAATGTCGAGGCGCAATGAACTGTGAGGTGACGAAGCACCATCGGAACCGGTGCCAGTTCTGCAGGCTGCAGAAGTGTCTGGCCAGCGGCATGCGAAGTGATTGTAATTTTCGTTTAAGTCGTCGTCTCAAGCAATTAACGAATCTTTGGCACAGCCAGAGTGTACGTGCTCCAGCAGTAAAAATCCATGATCATGAACTCAGTGGATATTTATTTAAGGAAAGATACTATGATGAGCAATACTAGTAAATTCAGTATAAACCGTAAACAGGTCAAACTTCTGTCAATCGAACATCCACATACCCATCCAATTATTCTTGTTGTAATTGCCTGTTTTAAATTTAATTACAGTTTGGTAATGAAATTCTCGCGAAGCTGCAAAACCTTGCTGATCAAAAGACCTACTTATCGCAACGGTAGCCTCACCTTACCTGGATATCCACTGCAATTACTTGCTCATCATATAATATTTGCAACTGTGGGGGCACAAAAACCTTTCCAACTAGCACACACACACGCTAACTCACTCATATCCACACCCTCACTCTCACCCGCCTGAAATGAATCATCGAACCGCATCACATCGCAATCCTACATACTTCTTGCTCCAATTAATTGCTTTCCGTTCTTGGCCACAAACATTTCTTTGATTTGCAGCTGTGCAGCATGAAAGGAAGCCGATTGTGGACAGAAAGGAGGGAATCATTAACGCAGCAGCAGGTGGCTCATCCGCTTCTGGTGGTGGAGGAGGCTCCTCCACTTACCTGTCCGGGAAAGCAAGCTATCAGTCTGGTGGGCGTGGTAAAGGGCACAGTGTCAAGGCCGAGGCCGCCGCCACGCCCCCTGTGCAGAGCACCCCTGCCACGCCGTTCAACTTGAACGAGAATTTGTTCCCAATGGGCCTGAACTTTGCTGAATTAACGCAGACCTTAAGTGAGTTCAAACTTATTTTTTTCGCTCTCTGGCGAATTGCAAATTAAGCGTTTTAAAAATATTTATAAACTCACTCAGTAAATTTATTTTATGAGTTTAATCGACTTAAATAGATCTTGGCCCTAATAAGAAACCTTTTTTTTTCCAGTGTTTGCCACACAACAGCAGCAACAGCAACAACAGCAACAGCAGAGCGGCACATACTCCCCAGATCTTCCCAAAGCAGATCCTGAAGACGACGAAGATGATTCGATGGACAATAGCAGTACGCTGTGCCTGCAGCTATTGGCCAACAGCGCCAGCAACAATAATTCACAGCACCTGAACTTTAATGCTGGAGGCGAGGCACCGACGACCACACTCCCTACAACCTCGACAATGGGCCTTATCCAGAGCTCGATGGATATGCGGGTGATTCACAAGGGACTACAGGTGTTGCAACCTATCCAGAATCAATTGGAGAAGAGTGGGAATCTTAGTTTGAAGCCAGAATGCGATTCAGAGGCGGAGGACAGCGGCACCGAGGATGCTGCCGATGGTGAACTGGAGCACATGGACCTTGACTTTGAGTGCGGTGGAAATCGAGGCTCCAGCGCGAGCGATTTTGTGGTTAATGAGGTAGTATTTGAACAGGATCTGCTTACTGACGCCCAGTGCGCCTTTAATGTTCAACCTCCGACATTGGTTCACTCGTATTTGAACATCCATTATGTGTGTGAAACGGGCTCGAGGATTATTTTTCTTACTATCCACACTCTTCGCAAAGTACCAGTGTTTGATCAACTGGACGCCCAAAGTCAAGTGAAACTGTTGCGATGTGCCTGGCCGGCTCTCATGGCTGTAGCGTTGGCCCAATGCCAGGGCCAGTTATCGGTATCTACTATTATTGGGCAGTTTATACAGAGCACTCGGCAGTTGGCAGACATTGATAAGATTGAGCCCCTCAAGATCTCTAAGATGGCCAATCTCACTCGCACCCTGCACGATTTTGTTCAGGAACTACAATCGCTGGACGCCACGGATCTTGAGTTCGGGCTTGTGCGACTAATCCTGCTCTTCAATCCGTCACTATTGCAGCAACGCAAAGAGCGCCAGCTACGGGGATACGTTCGAAAAGTTCAACTTAAAGCCTTATCAAATTTACGTCGACAGGGAGGAATTGGTGGTGAAGGAGAGGAGCGTTTCCATGCACTAGTGGCCAGACTTTTACCACTAAGCAGCCTGGATGCAGAGGCCATGGAGGAGCTGTTTTTCGCCAATTTGGTTGGGCAGATGCAGATGGATGCTCTGATTCCATTTATACTGATGACTAGCAATACCAGTGGTTTGTAGTTGAAGGAAGAATTAAGAATATGCGGGGCGGGCAATGAAGCTGCGCAACGCCCACAAGCAAGACTGAAGATGGACCAAGTGCGGGCAATACACGTAGAAATTAGGAAAATCCCCATTATCTATATTTAATAAATATTTTATCAGACAATATTGAAACTTATAAGCCGTGAGCTTATTGTTATTCGCATTATAATTAAAAGAGGTAAATTTACAAGATAAAATAAACAATGTTTACAAAATTAAATTCTTAAGGATTCCGTTTTTGGGAACATTGGTGTATAATTTCTCTCTTATTTATTTTTTTTTTTAATAGAATTTCAGAGGTGATTTGGTTTTAATTTGATTCACAATAACTAAACATAATCAGACGGTTAAATTATCGAAATAATTAAGAAGTATCGTTATAGAAAAAAATCGCTAAACAATTTGTTTTTTAATAGAATAAAAAAACATGCATATGCCCAAAATACGCTTATATTGTAATCTTTAGTTTAATAGATGTTATAAAATACTTATTAGTTTCATTTAAGTTTGTTGTCTGCAATATCTAGATATTCGCAAGATTTAGAATTTTCACACGTCTAAAACAAAATGCAGGAGACCAGTAACGGACATTTTTTGGTCAACATTGATAATATAATTTAAAATTTTTTTTATTTCGATACTTTTTAGAAAAATATATGTTCATTGATAATCATAGCTTAGAGATGAGTGCCATCTAAACAGGCATTTAGTCTTTACAACTTAAAAGCAACCCTAAATAGACGTTATTGAGCTTCTGACTCATCCGGTATCTTTCTTGGGGGCTTGTGCTGCTTGTGAACCGCATCGTTGAGACCCTCACGATTTCTGGCAATCTCAATTGCTAGAAACTGAACGCGGAACACGAAGATTGAGTTATCCGGCGAGAATTCCTTAGTAGCATCCGCACGCATCAGAGTGCCATACGAGTAGTCGTCCATTTTATTAAACTTCTCCGCAAACTGCCGCCACTTTTGCTTCTCCACGTCGGATTTAAGGTTTTCATCGGTCAGGTGGCCCACCTGAAGGTCCGGAAAGTCCTGACGGAAGGTAGCATATATCTGGTCGTCGTATGGCGTGAGTCTCAGTTCTGAGGGGTGGACGCTGGTCAGCAGCTGCAGAAATACAAAACAACCATTAACAAACTATAATCCATACGATACAATATTAAATGCATTACATTAAAGTGAACCTCTGCATGTTCCAGAGCTTTCGCAGCCCACATTTCCTCCACTAAGGAATCATTACCAAATTCATCGGCTGGGCGCGAGAGCAGTGATGCTCCTTGCTGAAATATATGAACATATTAACCAAACGGCTGGGTTCTTCAACTGATTACAACTTACCATCATCTCCATATTTGCAAATTATATTCTTTGAGGAAAAACTTTAAAACATTAGCACGTTTCTTTATTTATCGGACTGTGAGACCAGCCGCGATCAAGCGTTTAAATCTATTCGTTTTTTGTATATAGCAAAGGCACTGTTTGCACTATAAAATCGATGACTTTTGGTGACTATCGAAGTATTTTATTCAATAGTTATGCGAAATTAATTAAACTTTATCATTTTACTTTAAGCAAAAAAAAATATATATATATTTACATTGTTTTTACATTCATATTTCATAAATTATTTTGTTAGCATCGGAAATAATGACCATCAACAACCGTAAAAACCTCTATAGTATCGCCAACGATATTTGATATATTTTTGGGGCGCATTTAATTAGAATATAATGTATAACGATAATATCGTAAATATTAGCATCATTTTAAAAAACGCATTAAAATAAAATAACGCCTTTACTTAGTTTATTTTATTTTGTTATGGCCATTTAAAGCCTACCGGTCTCAGGCTAAAGGCGATGCCTATCGATAGTATCGCATAGCGACGGATACGAAATCTGGTCAGGAATGTCACCCTATCTAGAAAAGAGGTTGGTATCATCTTCGAACGGTTCCCGCTCGCCCAGTAAATAAACATTTAAACAGCGAATTACAAATTTGGCGGAAGGCAGGCTCATTCTGGAGGGTGAATCGCATTTAAAGTCGAGCCAGCCGAACTTTTTATTTTCAAAGCTTTGCAAATGCACCCCGGCGCTTTTGTTTTGGAGATAGTAATTTCCATACATATTATTATGTCATCGAATCGCAGATTATTCCCATAAAGTTTACAATCGTTTTCAATTCAATTCAATGTTTCGGCTTCAGGAATTTCATAATTTCACCTCGTGTGTCTGCCAACAAACATTTTAAAAGTAATGTAAAATGTAAGAACTGATTTATTATCGAGATCACACCATCAGCCAAAAAGTCCCTTAAATTAAATATTTAAGAAATTAAATTTTTTAAAAACTACCAGTTTCGTTAAGTTTCGATGTTTATGGTGTTCAGTTTAAGTGTTGTCAAACGTCATTCCCTTGTATAAGGGATTCTATGTTAACGTAACGTAACGTAAATACGTTACGTGTGTCAGTGGGCCGGGTTGAGAACCCACGGCTCGAACCAGAGTTAGCCGAGACATGGCCCCAGCCGGTGTCTAAATGCGCAGGACCTACTTGGGTCATAATAGTTGCTTGCTAATGCTTATGATTATTTAATCTATTTTTTTTAATCTATTTTTTTATTTTTCATGATCGCAAACTTCGATGTGATCCCCTCTACCACTTGTGATCAATAGATTATATTTTTTTCTATAATAAAATTTTTAATTTATTTTCATAAATCAAATTTTTGCTTAATAAAATTTATTGTAAAATAAAAAAAAGAGGAAATTTTTTGAAGGCATATAAAGAAGATCAAAATTTGGTCACTCGATTTTTTGATCTATTTAGAATGTAGAGGGTGCTGTAGCACCAAACGAATTGCTTTGTCAATGGGCACTGCAGAGATATCGATTGACAGGTGGAGCTGCTTAAACTATCATAATTATTTCTGCTACGAAATACAGCGCCACCTACCAATCGATTCTTCAGCAGATTAATCGTATTTTGAATTTAAACATTTAAAAGGCCCCATCTATATATAAAAAAACGTAATTAAATTTAAAATAAATTCATGTTTTTTCACACCACATCTCTGGTGTCTGGTGAGTTTTAATCTGAATATAACAAAATAAATATTGATATTTAGTAAAATTGAAATTAAAGAAAGGTGTGGAAATTGTCTACATAAGAACAAATTCCCTCTGTTCGCTGATCTTAAAATGTACCCAACAATTTTAAATATTTTGATTTTTTTCATACATCCCTGCATCGCATTTTTGTGGATTGTGGATGTTGTGGTCGCGTCACTGTTACGAGGTTATGACCACCCGTAAAAACTATATTTTGTGCAAAAATAAGCTAAAACAGGCTAAATATAAAATAGAAATGCTTAACAAAAACAACAATGTATACATTACTGTTTTCTTAATAAATTGAACAAAAAATTATTTCAGATTCGTTCCGAAAACAGAAACAATTCGGAAATTAAAAAACGCTAAATCTAGTGGGAAAAGAGCTGCAGTACTACCGATTGTAGCCGCATCATAGTTGGTGCGCTCTCAAGTTCGGTTCACTGCTTGTTCTCCTTTGTGATTAAGAGATTATTTTACTTGCATCATACATTGTACATTCCCATATAAAATTTGACATCGTTGTTCGGTAAACGTGTAAAACTTAATTTTAAGAGTGATTATTAATAGAGTATAACACTACAAGAACTAACAGCATTTTGCTTATGCAACTTTACATTTTTAAAGGATAACAGCGTTCTGCTAATTGAATCGCACTGTATAGTAACAGTAATTATTGGTTAAGCCAAATTATATAAACAAACATTTTTAGCGGTTACATTTTTCAAATAGGTTAACAAAATTTTGGTGCCAATTGGGTCAATTTCCGAAATTGAAAATATAAAGAAAATAATTCATATAATAATAATTTGTGGTTTAATTTCTTAGACTGCAAAACTATGTGTGAACCAAAACATTTAATTAAGATAACTATGTGGTTGCAAAATGTACGGTATTAGGAAAATATTACTAAACATGTGTATAAACCATATTATTTGTATTTCTTATAAAGTAAAACACTCGTAGTATAAATAGGATTTATGCATATATATCTATTTATTTATGTTCTTATTTAATATATAGTAGAATGTGCTAGATAAATATTAAATTAAGCTATTTTTAAGGCTATAAGCTTTTGCACTTTTAAATATGCCAGCTTTAGCTTGAAGTAAGCTAAACTAGCAACACACGTTCGCGCGCGCAAGTTCAAAAAGTTTCAGTTCAAAAATTGCAATCAACGAAGGCGGTTGTGCCGCGGAAAAAATCGTCACTTCATAAATTTTCAAGGAGTAAATTATCTGCCGCGTCGTTGTGCTATCTTCAGAGAAATAACAAAATCGTCTTTTCATTTTAAATAAATATAAAGGCTTTGGATTGAATGTAATGTAACCAACATTTAAAAATGGCTGTTTTATCAGCATAGTTTATAGAGGCACTTATAAATTAATGCAAGCTTATTTGTTTACAACAAAAGGGTTTGATTCAAATGCATGGTTTGAGTTTTAAACAGGTTAATGCGGAAAAACTCAAGAATAATTTAATGCAAATCAAAAGAGCTAACGCACCGCCAGAAAAGAAAGTAAATGGCAAAACTGGAAAACATCGTACAAATATTTTCGCAGAAAATAACACGAAACAATTGATTTTGTTATCAAAAACAACGAAAAATTTTATAAAACCAGCGAAAAATCTCCACCTAAATTAGCGATAAATTCGAGAATAGTGTTTTGAAGGTACATGATATTGAAAAGTAAATCAGAACTACGCAAACCTCAGTAAAACCATACACGAACCTTACTTATGTACATACATATACATATATGTATGTACATATGTGAATTTTGTGCCAAAACTGCATTACGCGATATATGTACATAAGCTAATGAAGAAAGACGCCGCAAGTGTTTATTGCGTTCTGCTTTGCTTTTTCAACACAGACCAGACACACGCACGCACACAAAGACACCCACACGATCGCCGAGTGGCAAAAGTGCAACAGTGATAAAAACAAATGCACAACACAAAAAATCAAAGTCGGAAAAGTTTCACAATACAAAGGCGGCCTATGCATAAAAATGTCCAATTCGGCTCTGTGCACTTGTCACGTCGCGTTGCTGCAAAAAACCGCACTTTTTCGCTGCTATGTTTTTGTTTTGACTGCGCCGCGCACGCACTTTTTGCCTCCCCCGCTAGTTTTGCCATTTCTCTCTTATTTTCGTCCCCCTTAAAATAGCCATTGTTTTTATTTTGCAGATTGTTGAAAATAATTTCGTATTTCGGATGAGTTGCCAATTTGGGCATAAAGTGTCTTAAAATAGAAAGGCGCGGCTGATAAAACCCATCACTCTAGTTCGTCACGCGTGTCGCTTGTTCTTGTGTCTAATTATTAATTTTTTTAACAAATAAAAAATATTTATATTTAGTAAAATTTAAATTGATAAATGGTCTTTAAATTCGCTGTTATTAAGAACGTACCCGAAAATTTTTTTATATTTTGATTTATTTCACAAATGTTTGTGTATTAAATGAAAAGGCGAATGGCCGTAATCCAAGACTCGATGAAATTAAAATAGTTTATGGAACGTAGAAAATAAATAAACTTGGATTCCCAAAACGTTATTATCCAATACTTCCATATTTGTCCTCGAATGATGCTTGCTATAGTAGCTCTTATAGTTTAGGATATCAGCTATTTCACTCATTTTAAAAATATATATTTTATATCATTTTAGAAATAGATGACTATAATAAAGTAATAATAATATAATAATAATTTATTTTCCTAATATAGAAATCAACTGTACTAAATTTATCGAAGACTTAGAAACTTGCCATAAAAAAGGATCTAATAGATTTGAGAAACTTTGCCGCAATCTGAGGAAAGAATCCTCTTCAAATCTTAGGAAAATTTTCTTGAATGTTTGAAAATTTTCTTTATTTTGGGGCGATGTGTCTAAATATTGAAAACAAATTTTCTAAAATTAAAGGTGAATTGTTTCTTGCAGTTAGAAATGGGTAATTATGGCTGAATTAATAAAAAATGTTGTTACTTTTTTGGTAAGTAACTATGAACAGTAGAGAAACGAAACAAAGCAAAACAGAAAGAAACGCCCTACTTTTGAGGAAAATAAATATATTTATGGTGGCTTGCCTTGTTTTATGGTGCCTTGCTATAAATTCAATGCAACCTTTTCTTAGTATAAGGGCGGACAATATATTTATGAGTGCACATATGTATGTATATTGTACATACATACATAAATATGTATGTATAAGGGATTTAACTCACAAAGGACACCTAAATTATGCAAATAATACATTTTTGGACCGCATTGGTATTTGTAGTTACTGCTATTGCATTACATTAGAATTTGCCCCACCGTAATATTGAGTCATTC